GATATCATGTACAAAAGGCAAACATTAAATGCATTAAGTCCTGTTCAGGCAATTCATCGTCTTTCTAAATTTCAACGCGTCTTAGGGCCGTAGACCCGTAGTGACACTTTTCCGGATATGGGTCCCTGTACTCAAATGTTTTCTACTGTTACACTGAATAACCCCTAGAAATTTGATCCCTTAGATCTGAAACACCCTGTATAATAAATTATCCTTCACCGTCACTCCTGTCCATTTTTTGCATCCAAGCCATAAATTTCCTGCTGTCTAGGAAAACTAGCCCTCCTCGATTATAACTGCAACAAAACGAAAAAAAAAACTGCAGAAGGCGAATAACAATACCATTTGAAAATTGTCAGTAGTTGGCCGCAACTTTTTCGAATAATTGGCACAGCGGTCGTACTTGATCCTTTCACTCTACAGGGTGTCAAAGCCAGACGTAAGAAGGGTTCTTAATGAAAATTTAGATTTTAGCACGACTTTTATGGGGGTTTTCCGCTACCTTAAGGTAAATAATACATGGGCGAGATGAAATATTGACTTCTGAGTATTTTAAAACAAACCTGGTCCAACAAGTTGATATTTGTAGAACTGGCATGGAACTAACTGAATATAATCAACTTTTTCAGTAAAAAAATTGAATGTAAAAAATCTCGGAATCTTTACTACAACAAAATTTTACCATCTAGTAACCGCAAGTATTACTGAGAAGGATGCCATAGCATCAGCATTAAATAGAATTAACATGAGACTAGACGAAGTTGAGAAAAACCAGTTAGTAAAAGAAAATTCATACGCACAAATCTTAAAACAAACGATACCAATTACTAAGAAGCAATCGCTGAAATGCATCACAGTTATTCCAAAAGAAAAACAATCTTGCGATAATACGAGAAGAGAATTGAGTAAGAGAATAAATCTTTCATCTCTGAACATTCAAATAGAAAGTGTAAGAAACTCAAAAAATGGCGGAATTGATATAAAAATTGATGAATCAAATCATAATAAACTGAAAGATGAACTAAACGAAAATAAATTGAATGAAAAATATCAAGTTACTGAGCCAAAAATGTTGAATCCAAAAATTAAAATAATAAATTATAAAAGTAGTGAGAAACCGAATGAAAAGCAAATTGAAGAAGATCTTATACATCAGAATTATATGATTCAGAGTGGAGACATACAAGTAAAGTTTATAAAATATTTTCCATCAAGAAACAATTACACTATCTACGCGGAAACTTCTGGAAAGCTATTCAAAAAAATCTTCGAAGACAATAATAGAAGAATACTGCTGGGGTGGCAATGTATGACAGTATATCAAAATAACGACATTTCTCAGTGTAGAAAATGCTACCGTTTTAATCATACAGAAAAGAATTGCAGGAATGAGAAGATATGTGCCAACTGTGGCAACGGTCACGAAGGAGAAAATTGTAAGCATGTATCAATAGAATGCTGCAACGGTAGATATGGAAATGAAAGATATAAAAAAAATTATAATATTAACCACTCACCTACCGACAAAAACTGTCCATCGTACAAATATTATCAGGAACAACAAAACTTAAGGATACTTTTTTAAAATTCAAGTTCATCTTTTGATACTCCTATCTCTAAAGACGACCTAAAAATGTCAGTAAATAAATACATCAATGATTTCCAAATTCCAAATATTGCAACAAATATAGCAGAAAACGTCGATGAACTTAATTTATGTACACAAAATTCTGATGCAAAATTTCGAATTTTTAATATGAACATAAGGAGTATAAAACACAACATTGATTACTTAAAAATACTACTCTACCAAATATGGTACAATTTTGATCTAATAGTTTTAACTGAAACGTGGCAAGTGGTTGATATTTTTTGCTTCAATCAGCAGGGATATGACACGCTGTATAACTTTGGCACTTATGACCAAAACGATGGGGTGATAGTTTTTGTAAGAAATGAGCTACAATATAATCATGATACATTCACTTTCACCGATGGAATCAAAATTTTAAACATAATGATCCAAATTAACCATAACAAAATTGAGGTATCTGCAATTTATCGTCCGCCATGTTCAGAACCCCACGAGTTTTTGAAGAATATCGAATTTTTTTTTCAAAATCAAAATAAAGTTCATTTAAAGCAACATATTTTCTTGGGAGATGTCAATATAAATATTTTGGACAATGATCCCATCACAAATGAATACTTGAATATCCTATCAAGTAACGGATTTCTGTCCTATATAAACCTACCTACAAGGTCCATCAGTGGCACATGTATAGATCACTGCTTTGTGAAAGACCTATCCAACAAAATTACTTGTATACCAATAATCCTAGAAAGCGATATTACTGACCACTTCTCCACTATTTTACTGATATCTTCAAATGAAAAACATTCTAACATCCCTACCGTTAATAATAACCAGGAAAATTACAAATTTTTTGTCGACAATTCAAAACTAATATCAAATGTCAAACAAGAATCCTGGGAACAATAATTATACTCTATAAATAATATAGACAAAGCAACGGGACTGTTCATAGAGAAAATAAAAAAACTAATAGATATTAGTACCAATAAAGTAATAATTAGTCACAAAGAGAAAAGCAGAAATGCCTGGATTACCAAAGGATTAATAACATCGGCAATAGAAAAAGAAAGACTATATAATGTAATGAAACTAACGCCAACTACAGATAATACCGACTGTTATAACCAATATAAAAATAAATTTATAGAGCTTGCAAGGCAAACCAAACGAAAACATTACCTAAATAAATTGAATAATAACTTAAATGATCCTAAGCGGCTTTGGACAACTATTGATGAGATTACTGGGAAAACAAAATTTAAAGAGTGTGTCACTGAGTTAAATACAACATCGGGAACAGTATTAAAAAATACTCAACAGATATGCGATGAATTTGTACAATTCTTTACTGACATAGGCGAAAATTTAGCAAGTAATATACAAGCAAATGTACAAAATACTCAGCCTCCAAAAAGAACTTTGAACTCATTTATTTTGGATAAAGTCGAACAATGTGAAGTATACACCACTGTTATGTCCTTAAAAAATCGGAAAAGTCCTGGGTTCGACAGTATTAAAAGCGAGCATTTGAAAATTATAGCCGAGGACATAACAGAACCACTCACTTACCTAATCAACAAATGCTTTGAATCTGGCATATATCCCTCAATTTTAAAAAAAGGTAATATAATACCGATACATAAATCAGGAACAAAAACAGATGTTAACAACTATAGACCAATATCAATAATATCCAGTGTAGCAAAGGTTTTTGAAAAAGTTTTATCTACTAGAATGATTCGATACCTCACAAAATTCAAAATTTTAAGTGAAAATCAATATGGATTTACAGAAGGGAAGACTACATCGGACGCAATAACTAAAATTGTAAATCAAATATATCAAAATATTGATAACAGAATCCCTTCAATCTGCATTTTTGTTGATTTAAAGAAAGCTTTCGACACAGTTAATCACAAATTATTATTAGAAGCATTGGAGAGAATTGGTTTCAGAGGAAACGCGTACTCACTGATCGAAAGTTATTTGTCAAATCGCCCACAATCTGTACAGATATCAGAATCATTTAGTAAAGAAATGTATATTAAGAGTGGTGTCCCACAAGGAACTGTATTAGGTTCGCTATTATTCAATATATATTTAAATGATATTTTCCAAATTAATTGTGTTGGCAAAATAACTAGTTTTGCAGATGATACTGCAATAATATATGAAGGCACTGACTGGTCTGATCTGAAAAATGTAATTGAAAATGATTTTATCAAAATTATTCGGTGGTTTAACAGTAGAAAATTAAGCATTAACTACTCTAAAACACATTTTTTACCATTTGGATCTTATGCTAGACATCTGCCAAATTACACAAATTTCTCCTTCAATATTAATGATCAAAAAATGCAAATTAATAGAGTGCCCAACATAAAATACCTTGGAGTGGTCTTGGATCCTCACTTACGATGGGACATCCATGTCAATTATATTTTAAAGAAAGTTAGATTTGTATCCTACAAAATTAAATACCTTGGGAATATATTGACAGAAAAATATCTTCGAACATTATACCATGCACTGATTGAGCCTCATCTCACATATGGTATATTACCATGGGGAGCTGCATGTTCCTCACATATCTATAATTTAGATGTTTTTCAAAAAAGTATTCTAAAAATGATATTTAAAAAACCGAAACTTTATCCCACTGAAAAATTATATGCAGATGTTCGAATGTATGATATAAGACAGCTTTATTTCTTACACAGTATCACTCACTACCATAAATTTGTAAACACCGACCAAAAAATTAAACATAATCATTATACCAGGTACAAAATTCGTGGCACAGTAGTTCCTCAACCGCATAAATCTATAATGCAGCGATCATATCTCTATTTAGCGCCTAATTTATGAAATTATACCTAAAGACTTAAAAGATTTACGTTTCGGAAATTGTTTCAAAAGAAATTTAAAAAAGTGGCTACATTCTATATCTAGGACTGAAATTCATAAACTCATAAATACGAACATCAACTAAATACATAATCTACTGTAGCTAATTTTTATCCTTTTTTGTCATTTGCATTCTACAGTTTCAACTTAAATTATTGGTCCATGTACAGGCGATGCCTTCTATTGGGCCTGTTTTGATTTCACATTTATTTACTCATATTGTTTGTTATCTTTGTACATTGAGTAAATAAATATTATTATTATTATTATATACCCCTCTTGGATCGTCCTTCAATTTCGAGACACCCTGTATGTTTAAAATGCAAGGGAGATTACCAGCATTAAAACCACAGGATAAGTTTCAAATCATTGCAAAAATATAACTATTTTTCAGGCAAACTTAAAACTGCACGTGTTAATAGTACAGTGGAGCAATACGTTTTCTAATATGAACGCCTTCTGCATGAAAGTCCACGAACTCTTAAAATCGCCTAGTACCGGATTAACAGGCTAAGAAAATATTTTTTTACAGAATTATCTAACCAATCCGAAGACCCTCCAAGCAAAAGGCAGAGCGCTGTCACAACAAAATCAGCGAGCAGCGATCACAGTAGCAAAAGTGAAACAGAAAAAGAAGCCAACTGCCCAGCAACTTCGGAACCGGAAGTCAGTGAAGAACAAGCAGCAACGAAAATCCAGGCCGTTTTTCGCGGACATAAAGCAAGGCAGAGTATGAAACAGCCTGCCCAAGCGGGTAGTGGTGAAACGGTTAAGAACAGTTCTAGTACAATGGCAACAGAAGCTAAGGAAAGCGTTGAAGGTAACTATGTAGACTGATAAAATGTACAGGACATTCCAAAAACATAGCATAAGCATTCAAGGGATGGTTACCAATATTTTGATAACTGCAGTTCAACTTTGCTCTTGCGAAAAAGCAGGATAACTAACTTTCTTGCAAGAGCATCGTACGTCTAAAAAACTATGGAGGGCTTTATTTAGGTAACATGAATTTTGGTGGCTCTAAGCCTAAGACAAGAACTGAAAGTATTCCGTCTAACGTCGATGACGCTAATGAACGATTATTTTGCATCAATGTTTTATTCTGTTCAGTCAGACGAAGCAACATTTATTTTTTATAATACTGAAAGGTTCGGCAAAAGGTTTTTGTTGAGCCTAGCTCTATCAGTGGCCTTAAGTCAAATGCAAAGGGTATTAACGATATATCTCTTTAGATAAGAGGGCATGCGACAGCTGATCGAACGCTTTCATGATTTCATCATAGTAACTTTTATAAATATCTGATTTCTCGGATGTTGCAATTCACCACTGCAATAGTACGCATAAGCTAGTAAGCCTAGATGCTAGGATGGGACATTTACAGCAGCAGACTGATCATAAACAAAATTTATAGCCAACGAATAGCTGCTTAACTACCTTTATTAGGGATATTATACTGTGGTCATTAGTGACGTCTCTGTGAAAGGTTTTCGTACGTTTCTGTTAGCAACTCGAACCACACTGAAAGTGCAGATGTAACTCAGTTAAAAACAAGACAAAAAAGAAGAATGGCACAGATGAGGGGTTCGGAGTTTTCCAGTTAGAAGTACCTATAGTCATTTCGAACGTTCTTTGTCTTGTATCCTAAAAAACAAACAGTTCATCCAAAAACCGGTAATGAATAAATATATGTATATAAGTATATTACAAAAGATATTCGTTAATTCAGAATTTTCTACAGAACGTCAGGAGTACCTCAAGGATCAGTTCTTGGATCACTTTTCTTTATTTTGTATACAGGGTGTTGATATGCGAATATTTAAAGGTGTGAATCTACATGAAAAATTAATGTTAGTTTGCTCAAAAATGTGTCCTTACAAAAACTCGGGGTGTTGATGTTTTAGGAAAAATATGTAAATTAATTAATATTTTCAGAACCGCTTCAGATATTTTACTGATATTTAGTACGTATTGAAAGTTAATAAAGTTGCATATTTTTCAAAGCAAAAATAATTTTTAGCTTTAACCCGTACGCACGCCACTGTTAAAGCTAAAAATTATTTTTGCATTGAAGAATATGCAACTTTATTAACTTTCACTACGTACTAAATATTAGTGGAACATCTGAAGCGGTTCTGAAAATATTGATTAATTTCCATTTTTTTTCCTAAAACTTCAACACCCCGAGTTTTTGTAAGGAAACATTTTTGGACCATAGTTTATAAAGCAAACTAACATTAATTTTTCATGTAGATTCACACCCTTAAATATTCGCATATCATTGAGGAATACTCTGTTTAGCAGATATAAGGGTTGTGAAATTTTGTAGTATTCAGTTTCTTTGACGACTCACAACTTCAATCATGAACATTTTGGAAGCACAAATAATAGAGGACCTAAATTCTATTGAAAATTATGCAACAGATCATAGTCTCCGGCTGAATCCCTCTAAATCCAAAGTCATTATTTTTTCTCCTAAAAATCGAAGGTCCTTTATTAAATATAATCTGACCAAGCTATTCATTTGGAAGAATCAGTTAAAACTTGGGTTTGTTCATAGGTGAAAATCTCAAATGTATTTCTCGTGTGAATGATGTAACTAAAAATTGTTTTACTGTTTTACTTGATTTTATCTTGAACCATTAATAATATCAAAAATCCCATATTGTGATTTAGTATACTATCCATTCAGTTTCAGCTAAACGTCTACAAAAGAATCAAAATTCAATTCATTGATTTTCAACTCAAGAAAATATGATAGTATTAGTTATGTTTCGAACAGCTAAACTGGTTGAATGTTGAAAAATTGTATAAGTTTCTTTATTATTATATTAATCCGCAGAAAGGCCTACCTCGATTCATTCATTTTTGAAAAATAAACTCATATCTCGTGATTATATCCATTCAAGAAACATTCGATTCACTGACATTTTAACTATGTCTCTTCGCAAAACTTCTTTATTTCATAAATGCTTTACCTATAATGCCATCAATCTATACGTATATATGCATTACCATCGAGTGCTAAAAATCCTGATTTCAAAAATTTGTAAAAGCAAATTAGCCTGTAGCTAAATTTTGCCTGAAAGTCATTTATTACACTGGACAACAAATTTTAGTTTTTTAATTGTATCTTGTGGGAAAAGTGCACTTCTTAGTTGCGGTTTAGAAAAAAACTTTTTATTTTTAAGGATATATTAAAAAAAGTAACAAGATGCATATACTTATAAGAATCACTATATGCGCTGTCTTTTTGCTGTTCTTTTATGGATCGTTTCTGGAGCATCTTTACCAAGAGTCCAACAGTAGTCTACAAGCATGGAAGGATTCCACTTTCCCTGGTACCTTTTTTCCATTGTTGAAATATCCTGATGAAAACGTTCGCCGTGCTCATCACTTACGGCTCCGCAATTGTCAGGAAAAAAGTCCAGGTGTGAGTGTAGGAAATGTATCTTAAGAGACATATTACAGCCCATCTTTTGATACGATGACAGCATATTTTTGACAAGGGTTTTATAGTTGTCAGCTTTTCTATTTCCCAAGAAATTAGTGACCACCAGACGGAAATCATTCCAAGCAGTTTTTTCAATACCTGTTAAAGTGTTTTCAAACTGTGTATCTTTCAAAATATTTCGAATCTGTGGCCCAACAAAAATACCTTCTTTAACCTTTGCCTCACTTAGTCTTGGAAATTTCTGACGCAGGTATTGAAAAGCTGACCCATCTCTATCTAATGCCTTGACAAAGTTTTTCATTAGGCCCAACTTGATATGCAGTGGTGTTAATAAAATTTTTTTCGAATCTACTAATGGCATATGCTGTACATTTTTTTGACCTGGCTCTAGGAATTGACGAACAGGCCAGTTTTGTCTGGTGTAATGAAGTGCCTTTGCCCGACTGTCCCATTCACACAAAAAACAGCAAAACTTTGTGTAGCCTAGCTGCAGCCCAAGTAAAAGTGCAACAACTTTCAAATCGCCACAAATATGCCATTGGTGCTCATCGTATTTTATGCATGTCAATAGGTACTTCATATGGCCATATGATTCTTTCATGTGAACTGCATACCCTACAGGAAGAGATGGTAAAATATTTCCAAAATGCAATAACACTGCCTTTAAACTCAATGTTGAACTGTCTATAAACAATCTCCATTCTTCTGGGTTATAGTTCATATTTAAAGCCGCCAGTAAGCCGTTAATGTTACTGCAGAAAACCAAGTTATTCTCCATATTGAAAAATGGTTCTAAGTCTTTGTGGCGTTTACGAAAAACTACAAATCGAAACATCGTCTTCTAACAAGTTCCACTGCTGCAGTCTTGATCCAAGTAACTCTGCCTTACATTTTGGAAGTTCTAAATCTCTTACAAGATCATTTAATTCTGACTGTGTTATTTTGTGCGGTTGGTGGCATGACGTGCTCGGTATAAAATCAGGATCTCTTGACGTTGATGGCATATCTTCTTCCTGACGAATCACTTGATCGCCATGATCTGATTCGTTTTCTGATTCGCAGGTGTAGGATTCTGGGGGTTTTGGAATAGGATTTTCATCACTGTGAGGCACAGGTCTCACCGCAGATGGTATGTTTGGGTAGTTAATAACCGATTTTTTTTTCTTGGACATACCTGTGGCTTCTCCAACACAAGGTACCATGCAAAAGTAACAATCATTAATATGGTTTGTAGGCTCTCTCCAAACCATTGGGGCAGCAAAGCGCATAGACCGTTTTTTGCCATTTAACCAGCTCCTCAGACTTGAAGCACATGTATTACAGCAGATGTGATGTGCCCACTGTTTGTCTTGATCACCTAGTTTACAACCGAAATAAAGCTGATATGCCTTTGTTATTAGTGGAGTAATAGACCGTCTCTGAGACGCAAAAGTCACATCACCACACACGTAACAAAACTGATCTGGATTGTTTACACACTTTCGAGACATCTTGCATGAACGCTGTCAGCCAACTGAGGAAAAAATGGCTAATATAGAACAATATAATGTACACGTATGTATAACGTAACACAATCATGCCGATTACATCATCTTTCCTTGCCGAATATAAAAATGTAGCACGTGCATTCTTGTGAATTACAGTATATTAACACTGTCACAGCAGGAACACATATAATTACCGTCTCTCTAAAACTTGAACTAATATTGAATAAATAAGTTTCATTCCGGTTTTAGCACATTAAAAATAGTAATATTTTGTTGATTTTATTTAGGATATTTTTTGGCTGTTGATCAGTGTTATCATTATTATTACTATTATGATTATTATTATTATTAAAATATTGTTGGAGTACTCCAAAGAATTACCCTTGAATTGTTGACTAATGAGTAGGAAACACCAAGCATAAACCAAATTTGGATTTGTTGAAGGATTTACAGAAGCTAGCCTAAGTCGGGGAATCGATCTACGAATTACATATTTAAGACAACAAGATTATCGTATCATTTATTCAACAACCCCGATCCGCCTCTTGTCCTAACGATTATCTCCTTCCTCTTTGCTTTACGGCACTCAGACCGTTCTAACAACCAACAAAAGCTCAACTCGGAAAATCAATAAATAGGCATATTCACTAGTAGAATGCCAGGCCAGTAACTAAATTGAAACTCATTTTAATGCAAAACAATGCGTTCAGCTATCCAATTTGATCTGAACCACCAGTGTAGTGAACATCTAGGTCAGAGGTTTAAATAGGACCCACTATTTAATCCACAGATTTCAAATGCGTCTAAAATTTTACGTAATGATGAACCGAGATTCATGAATGACCAGGATAGATTTCAATAACTCTGAATATCGCTCTGTTTAGGTAAAAGAACGTCCCTGTTGAACGAGGCGATACCACCCAGTCAATCCAGACCGCGAAGGCCCAGGGGTGTGTTTATATTAGAAATGTCATAATTTATCTAACTGAACTGAGTATAGATTTTCATGATGACTATTCGGTAGCTTTGAGTGTATGTGGCGGTGACTCTGAACGTGATTAACGATAACGTTAAACCAGGAAGTAAGCTAATTTTTTTATTCATGGTAGTTTATAACAAAAAATGTCGTCAAGCACGCTGTCATCAATTCATGGGACACAAGTTAGTCCCTCTTATTCAAAAACGCAAATATAATCTGATTGTCACCAACAGTAGCTGGAGTAATCAAAGTATTTCATCCCACCGAGTAGCACGGGTGTCATGTAAAAAACCTAGAAAACGTCAAAAAAAACCTATAAGATGTCAACTTGCAGACTAGGTAGTTTTTAGGACCCAAACAGTCATTCCACGTTTGCTCACTAGGATCGTTGTGAACGTCCATCTGTGGAGGAATCACTCAACTAAACTACGCATTATTGGTTGCATAGTTTTATGAGGCTGAGTGATCCGTCTGGTGATCCGGGTCTGTAGTTCTTATCTCTGAGATGAAAGTTTGTTGAATAGAAAGATTGCACCTGGATGATTATGTGTACGGGAGAGCGGGGCTGAAGCTGCCGATTGTGGCAAATCCTCCTATAAATCGGATAAAACACATAATATAACTAGCAATTGTGGTTTATCTAAGGCAATATTTAATCTGGTTTATGAATTTATATGTAGTTTTAGTACACTAGTAGCAGTTTTTGACAGAAACAGACTTTTTTGAGAAGAGGTCGAGAGGCACTACCAACCCCGCTCTGGGGCAAGTTGTGCCGTAGCTGAGGTCGATTGTGCCGTTTATAAGTATTTATAAGTATATAAATAAATTAGAAACACAAAGGCAAACATTCTATAAATGTATATGCATTAATAGGTATTTTATACAAATCAACAGTTATTGAACTTTCTTGCTTCATATAAATGGAATTAAACAAAAATCAAACAACATTTATTATTCTAGGTACAGGGTGCGGCAGAGAGGATGAACGGTTTTAAAAAAATCATAAAATAGTTAATTTTTACTCGAAAACAAATTTATTGATGGAATCAGGTTTGCAAGGAAATAGCATTTGAGATAGTCAAGTGTGGAAAATCACATCAGGCATGTGGTGGCCGAAATCGTTGATGCAGTGCTGGAGGCGTTCTTGGAAGTTCGCGTAGACTCTCTCCAACATCGCTCTTTCTACTTGGGCGACTTCCACGCGAATTTCGCCCTTCAATTCGTCCAGAGTTCAGGGCTTGTTCGCGTATACTCTAGCCTTGAGGTGTCCCCATAAGAAAAAATCGCATATGTATAAATCTGGGGACCGAGGAGACCAATGAACATCGCCAAACCTGGAAATAAGGCGACCAGGGAAGAGAGGGCGAATAACGTCCATGGATGCTCGGGCAGTGTGGGCGGTCGCCCCATCCTGCTGGAACCACACACGTCGGATTGGAACACGTCGCCGTTGTAATTCAGGGAGAAAGAAGTTGGTGATCATGTCGACGTAGCGCTCTGAGTTCACGGTAACATCAGGACCATTACCGTCTTCGAAGAAGTAAGGGCCAATGATGCAAGTTTGCGATACAGCGCACCAAACCGTTACTTTTGGGCTGTGCAGCGGTCTTTCGTATAACTGTTGCGGATTTTCATTAGCCCAGTAACGACAATTCTGCTGGTTAACCATGCTGTTTAGGTGAAAGTGGGCTTCGTCACTCATAAACAAAATGAGGTTCTCATTTTGATCGATAGGTGCTTCTATCTCACGTGCGAAGTTCATTCTTTGTGCATAATCTCCGGGCTGTAACTGTTGCACAATGGCCAATTTGTAAGGGTGAAAGCGGAGATCCATATGCAAAATTCGCGTTACCGAACGATCACTAAGGCGAAGTGCAGCAGCATGTTTCCGGGCAGATCGAGTCGGACTGCGAAGAAAGACCTGTCGGACGCGTTCAACATTTTCAGGAGTTGGAACTGTTCGCGGCGCTCCTCTTGATCTTCTGTTGATCAGTTCATCACGCCTGCGAAGTGATTCAACCGAACGAAGGATGGTGTTTCGAGAGGGAACAACTCTATTCCGATGAGTGTTGAAGTGGCGACAAAACTCACGCTGTACGACGATGACTGACTCATTATTTCGGACGAAACAATCATAGGCGAAAACGCGGTGCTCCACCGTCCAAGGCTCCATAACGACAACTGGTAAAATATTGCTAGGATCTCACGAGTCAAACAGCACCCTCTCCACCTCTCTCGTAGACGGAGACGGAGAGTACTACCCATCTCAAAAATATCCGTCCTCTCTGCCGCACCCTGTATTTCAAACTTAAGGTATCTTCTCTATTAATAGTTAGCATTTATTTTTCAAGACAAATCTATACTATCAAGTATAAATATCAGCCTCAATAGACAGCCTAACGAAAAATAATCAAACTTTCTTCTAGATTCTAAAGTAACTGAGATCTATCTTCGTAACTATTCACTAATTAATCAGTCTCTCCAGTTGAAGGTATTAGTGAAACTTAAACATATCAAAAATAAACTTAATCTAAAGAGGACTAGTCAGAATAGCAATTAGGACACACAAATGATAAGATATCTTCATCTTCAAGATATTGCGAATGGGCCCAATTCTTACAATCTCTGCATTCAATCCAATTTTCTCCTGGAGCTGAGTTAGAGTAGGCATCACAACATATGATGCAGTACCATTCTAGTTCAATAGGTACCTTTACATTTACACTCTTTCCTGCGGGACTGGAACGCCCCGTTCCAATCGTGTGCGAAAGCATGCCAGTGTAAATGAGAAATAATCGCTCGGTTTTTAGACGTGTTCAAACTCGCATTTTCGTCGCTAGTGATTTTCGTGCAGGTAACGCGTTTGATTACATTTTACTTTCGCGCGGGCAATTGTGCGTAAATTGTGTTCTAGCGTGGGTAAGTATTTTATTGTATATACATATACAAAGTTTCAATTATTTTAATTGTTAGGTAGATAATATGGCAGATACACGATATTGGTCGAAAGAAGTTGTTTCAGAGTTTATTGAAATATATAAATCTTATCCATGCTTATGGAAAATCAAATCCCGAGAATATACAAACAGAAATTTGAAAAATGCTGCTTACGACAAATTAGTCGAGTTTTGTACAAAATTACATCCAGAAGCAAATCGAGATTATGTTGTGAAGAAAATACAAAGTTTTCGTGGTTCTTTTCGGAAGGAATTAAAAAAGATAGAGGAATCCAAGCGAAGTGGAGCTAGTACAGATGAAATTTATACTCCCACATTATGGTATTTCGACTTACTCCAGTTAACTATTGATCAGGAAATACCCACGCAAAGCATTTGTAACATGGAAGATGAAGGAACAGAAAATTCCAACCACTCTACTGAAGAAGAAGTTGAATTTCAAGAGAAAACAGAAGTAAATAATACACAAGTAAGTTTTTTAGGTACTTATTTATTAAAAACAAAAATACACATTAAGCTTTTTCTTTGGCCAACATTTCATCCTGCCAATCAACTTTTCCATCTGAATTGAAATAACTTGTATAATTATCTCGATTAGTTTTCGCAGCTATGGTAGCTACTTTTTTGTTACGACTTTCTAATTTTGTCATATTAACGGCATTTTTTCTCCAATCACCCACCTGTAACTCTTTAGTTATCAGATTTTCTTGATCAAATGATGTTGATGTTGTATAAGAAGTATCACGCATCCTAAGAAAATTGTGAAGAGAACAAATAGCAAGTACAACGTAACAGATGTTTTCCGGGTTCTTCATATGTATTGGTGTATGCAGAATTCTAAACCTTGCCGCTATCAGGCCAAATGCATTTTCCGAAACATTTCTCGCTCGTGATAGTCTATAGTTAAAAATTCTTTTACTATAAGAAAGATCTCTTTGAGGATACGGTTTTAAAAAGTTTTCATGTAAAGAAAATGCTTCATCGCCCAAAAATACAAAATTGAAATTATTTTCTGTGTCTGTGTTATTTGGCAGATGTAACTGGCCTAAAACCACAAAATTATATTATTCATAATTACATATATACAAGTATAACAACTTACCATGAATTAACTTATGATAAAATTTGGTGCTTTCAATTACTTCTCCATCAGATAATCTTCCATTTTTGCCTACATCGACAAAAATAAATTCGTAGTCAGCATTGACGAGAGCCATTAAAATGATACTATAAAAATTTTTATAGTTATAGTATTGTGCTCCTGAATGAGGAGGAGGTACAATACGAATATGCTTGCCATCCAGAGCTCCTCCACAGTTTATAAATTGCCATTTTTGTTCAAATCCATTTGCTACTTCCAGCCAATCCTGCTGCGTAGATGGAAACTAAAATAATATTTTTTTTAGAAATCTGCAAGTGTTTCATCACAAGTGCCTTCAACATCTCATGCACGTCTAACAAGTCCAACTGCCTTCAAGCCTGCCTCAAATAAAAGAAGTAAAACCCAAACAGACTTCATGAATTACTGCAAGAATCAGCTTGAAAGCAAAAATGAAATTGATGAATTTGATGCAGCCGCAATTTCGTGGGCGAAAAAAATTAAAAAGATGAATCCAACTCAGGCTATTTATGCAGATATGCTTATCAATCAAGTTGTAAATAAAGGATTATTAAACCAATTAACCGAGACAACGATAATTATGCAACAATCACCAGTTCCACTTCCACTTTTCTCACCGCCTAGCCCATATAGTGTTGCTTCATCAAATTCTTCATTACATCGTCCAGAAAGAACATCTCAATTACATGCTTTAGATTCAGCAAGTATAACAGCTTACTATGAGCAAGCTAGTCAGGATTTTAGTAATTAATTTTTTAGTTTATATTCAAGTTTTGTTATCACAAGAAGTTTATTTCAATAAAACAAGTAATCTTACCTTTAAATATGTTTTCCTTAATACTTCATATATAGCTTTACATGTCTCAGGTATAATTTTACATAAAGATGGTGCAGATATTCCACTTGAAAATTTCAAATCTTCAAGCGAACGACCTGTAGCTAAGTATCTCAAAGTAGTTGTTAGTCTTTCTTCGGCACTTATGCTCTCCCGCAATCTTGTGTCTTGTTTAGAAATCATTGGAGAAACCAAATCCAACAAAATTCTAAATGATTCAGAATCCATTCTCAAATAGTTTCTAAAATCCATGGGATAATTATCACGCAACTCATGAAGCAGAGGCAAATGTCCATATCTGTTGCGATTTTCCAACCATGTTTTCACCCAACACTTTCTTTGTCTCTTATTTGGAATATTTAGATACACAGCCAAGCACAAAGCTGCTCTTATTTTCCGTTTCTTAATTATTTTATCCATTATGAAGATAAAAACCGCCTTGAAAACTGTTGAAAATTTCAAGACTCCACATGCCATGAATATCACTCGCGAAAGATGACAGTTTTTGATTTACATTTGCACTTTTATCCTATACCGTTCCACGACACACACTCAAACCGTGCGATAAGCAGTTGTAATTTTTAAGACAGTTCGTATTAGGACGCGCCACGCTTGGACGCGCGAGAATTCGCGTGATTGGAACGGGGCGTTCCAATCCCGCAGGAAAGAGTGTAAATGTAAAGGTACCTATTACTCTCTTCACTGGAACTCTCATCACTTTCCTGAAGGACCTTTCTTTTGGCGGGATTCTTGATCCGCTTTTTCATTTGTTTTCGATCTTTTGTTTTCTTTAATATTCTTCGTTGGCTTACTTTCCTTCTTCCTTTTCTTGTTAGCCTGTTCTTCTGCCAAAGCATTTTTCTCAGGAGTATCCGTAAGAACAGCTGACTTTCTTTTAGGACATTTATTAACTCCAGTTAATCGGGGAGGTGCTTTGGGCAATGGACTTATTGATTCCGGTGAGAAATACACACCGCCTTTATCTCCTCTCCTCCTCCCAAGCTCTGGTCGATCCTGGCGTGACTCATTCTTTTCACAGCTTATAATTTCCTGATCAGCTGATGATACACAGTCATTTACACAGTAAGGATGCTGAATACCTGAAAGTCCTGATTGACTTGTACAGTCATTTGGCTGAATTGGTGATGGACCAGTCTCAACAGTGCTTTCTATACAGATTGTCTCCTCAAGATCTTCAAGGACGGTTTCTCCAGTGTTTAAAAGGCCAGGCAAATTGTATTTTTCTTGGAGGGGTTGGTTTTCTGACATTGGGCCATCGGTGACGAAAGACGGTGCAAAATCATCGTCTCTAAAAACATTAGAATCGAAGGGCCAAATACCAGCCTTTTTGAAAGCGTTACATATATTGGTAGATGTTACTGCGTATTTGACTATTCCTGGTATTTCATAAATGGTCATAGTCCTTCCGGGATGCGTTCTTAGCCACTTGTTTTGGGCTTTAGAGCAGTACGTTTTGAAAGGGTCGTTAATACCCACATCTAGTGGTTGCAAGCGGTGAGTGCAATGTGGGGGGAACGATAATAATATAACTGAGCTGCTCTAAGCTTTTTCAATCACATCTATATTAATGTGAGATGAATGATTATCCAGGAGTAACAACACTGGCTCTGTAGGAGTAGGTTTAGTGTATTTTATAAAATGATTCATAAACACTAGAAACTTTGTGCTTGACATCCATCCGGAGCGGTTGCCAGCCCCAATGCATTCAGTCTAAATTTCGATTATCCGAAAGCACTTGGGTCCACATTATTTCGGATAATCGGGGTTCTGCTGTACCTTTTTTGTTGACATTTATGTATAAAGTCGGGTGCGCAAGCATTTTTCTACTTTGACAGCTAGAAGTAACCATCTACCTTTTATTATTGTATAGTGTATAAATGATACATATAAACATTTTTTGGCCTAGTATCTCCTATTTGTTAACAATGAGGTAAATTATCTTTAAAAGTATACTTTTATTCAACACTTTTAAGTTTATTTCAAAACTGCGTGTGCAGTTATAAAAACAGTTGCTCAAAATAAACATTTTATGACCCTCATTTTTGGTTCTATTGTCCGCTTTCAGTGTGGACCCTTTTATTACAACCTTAATGTTTATTCAAAGGGTCATTGGTTTTGACTGCAGTTTTTTGACAGTTCCATGACGAATTACCTGTAGTAGGCGCGAAAAGAAGTACCTAGCGGCTATCTGGTGCGCAGATTGACATTTTACCGATTTTTAGACAGTATATGGGTTGTACTACTTGGGCCTTTCTTCTTCGAGACCTTAAACGTGGCACCAGAGTATTTTAAGTACAAATGATTGCGGCTGCGTATATTCCCTTTAATTTCAAATTACAGTACGACAGATACTTTTAATGAGTCATTTGCGTGCGATGAGAATAAAATTGCTGCTATAAACGGGCACTTGATGTAAATATCTATATTCGGACCCGATTATCGGAAATACGATCCCATTTTATGGAGGAAATCAAATAAAAATTGAAGGTTCCATCCTTGGAATTATTGGTAGATTTATTATCGCTTCCCGCCGATAACGCATTGAGGTCACCTGGAAGGGTAAAACTATCATTCTGCGCAAAGACACCGATATGAAGCATCAACTGGATCATTCTTATTTTCAGCGAAACAATTTGTCGATGACCTCAAATATGACCTCAGAGATCATTTGAAGGTCAACTTTGTAAATTCAAATGGCATCCACCATTTTCAACAGCAGATTCGTGACGAGTTCGAGATTTTACTTAAAAGTTCATTTTCATACATGAGGTCAAGCGGTTATAAGTGGTTCAATCTGCATGACCTACTGTAACGTCATAAAAGTGGACAGGCACCCCGAAAACTTATCAACCATGCATTTTAAAAAAAAAAGGTTCTATGAATATCAAAAAATCAATCTTTCGATGACCTCAAATATGATCTAAACAATGACGCTAGAGGTCGTTTGGAGGTCAGCTTTGTAAATCCAAATAGCAACCGCGAGTTTTAACAGCAGATTCGTGTTGAGCTCAAGATCTTAGATAAAAGTTAATTCTTCATGAGGTCAAGCGGTCATAAGTGGTTCAATCAGCATGACCTACTGTAAGGTCAAAAAAATTTCGATGACCTCAAATATGACCCAACCAATGAGCTCGGAGGTCATTCGGAAGTCAACCTTGAAAATTCAAATAGCTACCAGCATTTTTGACAGAAGATTCGTCTCGAGCTCAAGACTTTACATAAGAGTTCATTTTCATACATGAGGTCAAGTAGTCATAAATAGTTAAATCAGTAAGGCCTACTGTAACGTCTGAAAAGTACACGAACACCCCGAAAACTTTTGACACATTTTTTGGAGAAAAGGTTCAGGAAGTTTCAGGGTTTAAAAAAATCGATTTGTCGATGACTTCAAATATGACCTAAACAATGACCTTAGAGATCATTTGGAGGTCAGCTTTGTAAATTCAAATAGCAACGACCATTTTTAACAACAGATCGAAATCTTAGATAAAAGTTCATTTTTCCTGAGGTCAAGCGGTCATAAGTTATTGAGAAAGGTTTCAGGGCATACAAAAATCAATGTGCCTATGATCCCAAATATGACCTAAACAATGACCCTAGAGGTCATTTGGAGGTCAACTTTGTAAATTCAATTAGCATCCGCCATTTTTGACTGAATATTCGTTTCGAGCTAAAGATTTTACATAAGACTTCATTTTCATACATGAGGTGTTGTAGTCATGACCCTAAAGGTCATTTGGAGGTCAGCTTTGTAAATCAGATAGTAACCGCCATTTTTAACAGCAGATTCGTATTCAGTTCGAGATCTTAGATAAGAGTTCATTTTTCATGAGGTCAAGCGCTCATAAGTGGCTCAATCAGCGTGACCTACTGTAAGGTCAGAAAAGTAGACAAGCACTCCGAAAACTTATCAAACATGCATTTTTTTGATAGAAGTTTCTAAGAAATCTTTCAGGGCATCAAAAAACCAATGTGTCGATGATTTCAAAACAATGACCCTAAACGTCAGTTGGAGGTCAACTTTGTAAGTCAAATAGCAACCGCCATTTTTAACAGCAGATTCATGTTGAGTTCGAGAACTTAGATAAAAGTTTATTCCTTATGAGGTCAAGCGGTCATAAGTGGTACAATCAGCATGACCTCCTGTAAGGTCAGAAAAGTAGACAAGCACTCCGAAAACTTATCATCCATGCATTTTTTGGAAAATCGTTTCTAAGAAAGTTTTCAGGGATCAAAAAATCAATTAGTCGATGATTTCACATATGACCTAAACAATGACCCTAGAGGTCATTTGGAGGTCAACGTTGTAAATCAGATAGTACCACCAAAAGTTTATTCCTTATAAGGTCAAGCGGCGATAAGTGGTTCAATCAGCATGACCTCCTGTAAGGTCAGAAAAGTAGACAAGCACACCGAAAACTTATCATCCATGCATTTTTTGGAAAATCGTTTCTAAGAAAGTTTTCATGGATCAAAAAATCAATTAGTCGATGATTTCATATATGACCTAAGCAATGACCCTAGAGGTCATTTGGAGGTCAACGTTGTAAATCAGATAGTAGTACCGCCATTTTAACAGCAGATTCGTGTTCATCTCGAGATCTTAGATAAGAATTCATTTTTCATGAGGTCAAGTGGTCATAGGTGGTTCAATCAGCATGACCTACTGTAAGGTCAGAAAAGTAGAGAAGCACTCCTAAAACTTATCAAACATGCATTTTTTGGATAGAAGTTACTAAGAAAGTTTTCAGGGTATCAAAAAAAAGATTTGTGTGATTTCAAAACAATGACCCTAAACGTCATTTGGAGGCCAACGTTGTAAATCAGATAGTAACCACCATTTTTAACTGCAGATTCGTGTTCAGCTCGAGATCTTAGATAAGAGTTCATTATTCATGAGGTCAAGCGGTCATAAGTGGTTCAATCGGCGTGATCTACTGTAAGGTCAGAAAAGTAGACAAGCACTCCTAAAACTTATCAACCATGCATTTTTGGATAGAGGTTTCTAAGAAAGTTTTCAGGGTATCAAAAAACCAATTTGTCGATGATTTTAAAACAATGACCCTAAACTTCAGTTGGAGGTCAACTTTGTAAGTCAAATAGCAACCGCCATTTTTAACAGCAGATTCATGTTGACCTCGAGAACTTAGATAAAAGTTCATTCTTCACGAGGTCAAGCGGTCATAAGTGGTTCAATCAGCATGCCCTTCTGTAAGGTCAGAAAAGTCGACAAGCACTCCGAAAACTTATCAACCATGCATTTTTTGGAAAATCGTTTCTAAGAAAGTTTTCAGGGGTCAAAAAATCAATTACTCGATGTTTTCAAATATGACCTAAACAATGACCCTAGAGGTCATTCGGAGGCCAACGTTGTAAATCAGATAGTAACCACCATTTTTAACTGCAGATTCGTGTTCAGCTCGAGATCTTAGATAAGAGTTCATTATTCATGAGGTCAAGCGGTCATAAGTGGTTCAATCGGCGTGATCTACTGTAAGGTCAGAAAAGTAGACAAGCACTCCTAAAACTTATCAACCATGCATTTTTGGATAGAGGTTTCTAAGAAAGTTTTCAGGGTATCAAAAAACCAATTTGTCGATGATTTTAAAACAATGACCCTAAACTTCAGTTGGAGGTCAACTTTGTAAGTCAAATAGCAACCGCCATTATTAACAGCAGATTCATGTTGAGCTGGAGATCTTAGATAAAAGTTCATTCTTCATGAGGTCAAGCGGTTATAAGTGGTTCAATCAGCATGACCTACTGTAAGGTCAGAAAAGTAGACAAGCACTCCGAAAACTTATCAACCATGCATTTTTTGGAAAAAAGGTTCTAAGAAAGGTTTCAGAGTATCAAAAAAACAAATTCTCGATGACCTCAAACATGATCTAAACAATGGCCTCGGAGGTCAAGAGTTCGTACTCATACATGAGGTCAAGTATACAAGCTGAAGGTTTATAGTTTTCTCCGGCTTATCGCTCAGAAACGACTAACTTTAGAGAAAAAATAATAAGGAGCTTTGTTGTTCAGAATGACCCGAGAAATCTGACAAAATTCGGAGCGCAAAAAAACATTTTGTAATGATTTAATGCGGGGGAGGGGGGAGAGTTTGAAAACAAGTACTACCCTTTGGGCAAGATCTGGATAACTTTTCTTTGACCTCTTCTCTGTTGATATCTATTCATAATGTACGGTCCTCTCATTTTGCACACACAATTCCATACAACGCCTGGCCTAATTAGAGAAAGAAGTGCGTTTTTCAAAATAATCGCTTATTGATTAAAGTTTTTGTTTTTTATAGAGCTGGCTCATGCAGCAACCAAAATTCAGGCAACGTATCGCGGACATCTAACTAGGAAACACGAAGCTGAAAAGAAAGGCGAACCCGAAAGTACTTCGAAAGAAGAGGTATGTATACTTTTGAACCCCACCAGGAAGGTTTAAAAATGTTCCTATGAACACGATACTTACAACTCAGCTCTGAACCGGTGCTATCAGGTCAAAAAATGGCGTCAAGCAGGTTGTCTCTGCAGTTCATAAAGGAATAAGGTGAATGAGCCAGTGGTAGGACAGTTTATACAAACGAGGAATACAAAGTGTAATAAAGAAATTTGGGTTCAAGATAACACGACTAATGCTTTTGGAGGTGATCATACATTATGTTGTTATCTTTTCGCCGACAACAAATTCATTGCTAAAAGATATTCTTGTAATTTTATAAAAAAATATTAATCAAAAAGGTGCTACTAGTCGGGCCGGCTAGTTTCCAATTATCGGATAGCATCTGATTGGCCAGTTTTAGACAGAACCGTATTTAAAAATTTGTGATAGTAGAAAAGAAATTTCAAAACAGACTTTGAGGAAAAGAAACTGAAGACACTCATACTGAGTCCATTTAATATAGGTATGTCAAGTTGGCGTCACAGACTAATTTTTTCCTTTAATCCGGTCCTGTCCTGTCGACTTTAAACTACCATGCTGTTTACTTATTTCAAGCAATTTTCCAACATTTCTCAGAGCTTCGACTGCCTCGTTTAGTCTGCCTTCACTATATATACAGAACTTACGAGGGATGTCTTTTAAGTTTTGCATATGGAAATAAAACAACACGGTAGGTAGTTTTAAATTACTTGTTTTTCGAATTATTCTCCACGAAGATTAATACACATCTGCATGCGCTCGATCCAATTTTCGAAGCACTTATTCCGTTTGCTGGCAGATCCAAAACGGCATTTTTGAATGCGTCAACCTCTTCTTCTGGTGACTGGAACCTTTGAACACGCAGTCTGTTTTTAATTTTCGGGAAAGTAAAGAAATCGTTAGGACTTAGATCGGGACTATATGGAGGATGATCCAACATTTCCACGTTTTCTTTCGTTAAATACTGCCTTGTTTTTTGGGCTCTGTGCGAGCTTGCATTGTCTTGGTGGAGGATGATTCTTCTTTCGGGGTTGATTTTTCGAAGCTCGGTGATGACTTTTGGCAATAAAATGGTGGTATACCAATCCGCAGTAACAGTTCTTTACTCATCAAGAGGAATTGTTGCAATATGACCTGCTTTTGACATAAATATCGCGACCATCTTTTTCGAAACACTTCGAGAACGGATGAGTTTTGTTGGCTTTTCTTCACCTTGGAACACCCAAACAGCCGACTATTAGTTTCTGGATCATAACAGTAAATCCACGATTCATCAGCACTAACAATGCCTTACACATTTTTTGAGTTTCCGGAACTGAAACAGTCAAGCGTTTTTTGACACCAATTAACCCTGGCTGCTTTCTGCTCTTCAGTCAACAGGTGGGGTATCCAACGATAAACTAATTTTCTTACTCCTAATTCTTCACGTAAAATTTTTTGAATTGAGGTCTTTGAGATCTTCAAAGACGCCTCAATCTCGCGATATGTCACATGTCTAACGTCAATGATGAGTTTGCGCACAGCATCGACGTTTTCCTGGGTGACTGCCGTTTTTGGCGCACCCACCCTGGGATCGTCGCTAATACTCACCCGTCCACGTTTGAATTCTCTATACCAACGGGAAATTGTCGACTGACGTGGCGCTTCGTTGCCGAAAACAGACAGTAACTCAACAAGGCATTCTTGTTGCGATAATTGTCTCTGAAAGTTGTAATAAATTATGGCGCGAAAATGTTCTCGGTTGAGTTCCATTTTTCTAATGACTTGGTGACACTTAAAAATTCACTGTAGTGAGAACACTGCACGTATTGTTGTGAAACTTTGAATTTAAGTTTACTAAAGAGTGAGGTTAAGATTCAGTACTGACGTTCGATCCGCGCGGCCTACTATGTTTCTATATGCAAAACTTAAAAGACATCCCTCGTATTTTTTCATTGCTATCTATTGAAGTTTAAATGTGAAATTTTATTTCGCAGTCTCGTGAGAAATGGCGGGAAAATGGAAGTAGCCGGTTATTGGGACGCTATGTAATTCCGTTCATTCCAGTAGTCGGCATAGTCTCCACATTATTTATCTTTCGCTGTCCGTTCACTGCCTCTGGCTTTAGTCGTATTTTGGTTTGTTTAATCCCAGGAGTAAAGTGTGATAGTTTCTAGTCGGACACTTTTGCCCCAAATACGGCCGTTTTTCTGATGAAATAAAACGCACTTATTAAAATAACTGACTTTGAAATCAAGTTCCACACCAGGATGTTGCCATATGTCTGGATCTGGATGGCTTGGAACCATTAAATATTTTTCTCATTTTTGTAATTGTACTTATAATGTTTTTTGGCATTGCTCATTTGCTCTAATTTCAACAGAAAATGAATAACATATCAAAACTCACCAGCTGACAGCATTTTGTATAACACCATCCCTCCATCAAATGCATCCGAATTTTTCACGATTATCGCCACTATAATTTCGCACTGATCGACTGTTCAACACGTAAAATTAATTCCCGAACATCAAATTCATCTCTCATCAATACATCGTATCGATTATAATCACGATTTCCACATAAAATCAGTCAAAATCCATTCCGAAAAGTAGACCTCTGCAAATATGAAAGCCGCGCCCCGCGACACATCCACTAAGAACAATTGAATGTAAAACAAATGCATCTGGCCAATAGCAAGAAGTTTCGCGATTCCAGGACTCAAAGTTGGCGGGAGTGCCTGTTCCAGGAACTCACTCGTCTTTATAGTCAAGTCAAATAAGTATGTACAACAGATCGACATGAATATTTATTTTGTAAGTACAACATATGTACTTATGCAGAAAATTGGAAAAACGCCGATATCTCTAAGATTTAGGAACAAATTTGGAAATAATTAATCTCAGATGGCGCATTTCTCGATTCTCATAACCGTACCAATCGTAGTACCTGATTATTTAGGCCCCGACGTCATGACAGCTAGAGTAAAAGATATTTTTCAAAATCGTACTCCATTCCACATAGTTCGGAGTAAAGAGAATATGGCAGCACCAAGTACGTACCGTGATGACTGTTTTGTTATGGAATCACACACATCCGCCGTGCAACAGCATAGTGTTTTCTATGCTATGACCGCGGTATCGCGGAGCCACGTATGCCCGAGTTAGGTTTGGGGAGAAGCGGCGTTTCCAGATGCACTACCGATAAGGCAAAGAAAGAATGTCTATGGACTAATTGTATGCAACTATTTAACTGACTTTTCTCGCAGAGAGTCTAGTTTGTGAGGTGCAGAGTCAACCTACTCGACGCCATTTTTATATTAGGTACCATTTTCTATTGTTTGTGATCACTGTCTCATCTAACCTCATATTTTTATTGTAAATATTTGACTTTCGTTTACTCTATGGTTTCTGTATCCCAATGTACGAGGGTGGTCCCAGAAGTACCCGGCCTGACCTAGAGATGGCGATAGTTGTTTGAAAAATGTCATTGTATTAGAAAGTATGCAACCTATAAAGCATATGTGTCAAGTTTGAAGACGCCACGTTGTTTAGTATTTGTTTGGCAGCCATCAATACTGAAGACGAGCATCGCAGTGATCGAAAAAAAGGGGTGACGACTCCAGAAATGGTGAAGAAAATTCACAAAGCGATACTAAATGATCATCGACTGAAAGTGCGCGAGCTAGCAGACATAGTAAGCATTTCAAAAAGTGCGGTTCATCGCATATTATCTGAAAATTTGGACATGAGAAAGCTGTGTGCAAGATGAGTGCCGCAATTGCTCACAATCGAGCAAAAACAGTGTCGAGAAGATGTTTCAATTGAGTGTTGAGTGAAAGCAGAATTTTTGCGTCGTTTTATAACCATGGATGAAACATGAGTCCATCACTTCACACCCGGGACAAAAGAACAATCAAAACAATGGACTCAAAAGGGACAACCGGCTCCAAAGAAAGCGAAGACGGTTTCATCTGCAGGCAAGACTATGGCGTCGGTTTTTTGGGATGCGCGTGGGATAATTTTCATTGACTATCTTGAAACAGGTAAAACTATCAACGGCGAGTATTATGCGAACTTATTGCAACGTTTGAGCGATGAAATCAAGCAAAAACGGCCGCATTTGGTTAAGAAGAAAGTGTTGTTTCATCAAGACAATGCACCAGCTCACAAATCCGTTATTGCAATGGCCAAAATTAACGAATTAAAGTTTGAATTGCTACTTCATGCACCCTATTCACCAGATTTCGCCCCCTCGGATTATTTTCTGTTTCCAAACTTGAAAAAATGGCTCAGAGGTCAAAGATTTTCGAACGATGAAGAAGTGATGTCGGCAGTTAATGGCTATTTTGAGGAGCAAGAAAGTTCTTATTATAAAAAGGGTTTCGAACTTATTGAACATGGCTGGGAAAAGTGTATAGAGCTCAAAGGAGATTATGTTGAAAAATAAATACACTTTTTTACAAAAATTTTGTGTTTTCTTCGTTGGGTCGGGTACTTCTGGGACCACCCGTATATGTACTACATAAAATCTTATCAATGAAATATCTACATCTACCTTCACTTTTTACTAATATCAAACTATTTTTAGGGGATTTCGAAGGAAGAAGAGCTTGACATCGACCTCACAGACCCTGACCTCAATAAGGCAGCTGTGAAGATTCAGGCCTCCTTTAGAGGCCACATGGTGCGCAAGGAAAACGAAGATGAACAGGAGCAGAATGCTGCGGTCTCCAAATAAACTAAAATAGTTGAATCTACCTTTAAGCCACTTGTGATCCTTCCTTATACCTACCACTATAACTGTAAATAAAACAGTTATGGAGCAATGAGATAATTCGTCAGTTGAGTTTAGTGATGTTCAAGAATTTAAATAATTTTATTTTTTCAACAGTAATCCAGTAAATCTTGGACCAATATATGTAATATAACTATCAAAACTCACATTACAGGTTTTACATGTAAGAATGTCAATTCACTTTTGACTGACACAAATTTATTCCTACAATTTGAGGTTTCTGGTATTTTCCTTTGCTTATACAGCTTTTGGATATGACAGGTCACAGTATTTTCATTGTTATTACCTGAAAATTACCTAAGAAAACCTTAGACTTGCAATTTTGCAGCAATCTTTGCAATCAAGCAAAGTTTTTTGGAATACACCAAATTGTAGCAGCAGCAAAATAAGTCAACAAGTAGTCTAGAACTGTATAGGCAATCGAGCAAAGCCTGCAATACCAGTTTCTATAATATAGGGTTTCCTTACACATATCGCAGGCATCTGCGATAACGAATCACCCCAATATCATCTACAGTGTAGAGATTAATAAAATTGACGTGATCTCATCACGTATTTAGATATCGAATAGAATACCAACACAAAATTGTAGAGCAGATAGATGCACTTTAAACTTTTGTCCAGAATTATAGTGAATCAGATGAATTCTGCAGATAGCATGGGCCAATAACGAACAAAATATTCGTTTTTTGCAATTTTTTGGCTACCCCAACATAGCTATGGCTTCAACCAGGTATAAAAAACAAATACCCAAAATAAATTCGGTCTGTTTTGAGTGGTACATTATTGGTTATATGATTTACTGAAATATCAGTATAGGAATTATAACCGAATTTCTTGATTTGCCTCTCCGCCATGTGAAAGGTTTGAATATTTAGAAGTTTTATAATTTTACCAGATAAGGCCCTTCTTATTCTTCATCTATTTGGGTAATAAAAATAAATTACATAAGATTATCCCATTTAGCAGCATTTCTCAATTTAGACGTTAGAATTTAGCTAGTTGAAAAACCAATACCAACATGTAGTACCTGGTTACGTAAGCTTAACTTAAGATCCAAATCCAGAAAGCTAAATATCGTTTAGTCCCAAGAGCTTATAGACCATTTAACTGAAGACTTGCATACTGTCCACTATCTTAATGAAAGTCAGGAATTGACTACATTTCCTACATATCTACAATAGACATACATTCTAAGCGAGCTTGAACAATCCTCAATGTTTTTCTCCCATAACAAAAGAAAAATGCAACAATGTGCTTTGTAACCAGTTTTATAACAGTGATTGACCTATTGTACAGTTTTGTGAAGCCTGTTGGTTCTTTATCACATACCTAGTTCAAATTACATTTTATAAACGTATTGGCAGACTTTAATATGTTAAACATGTACAGGTTTACAGGGTGTCCCAGAAAAAAGTACACATAGAACACAAAAAATAATTTCTCAAGTTCCATAAAATCTCATACTTATGAGACACAGGATGGAAAATTCCCACGCCACTGACTTTTCTTAAAATAGAAAAAACCTGTATTGTCATATTAACGATATTGCTATGATCATGCAGAAAAACGGTTTTTATTGTTTTACGCAAAAATTGTTCATCAGATTGGAAAAAAGAAGAAAACAAAATTGCTTAGGAATAATTGGGGATTTCGAGAAATCAGCGGCGTACCATCAATGTCTGCCAAAATAGGCGTACGAAAACCAAAGCTGAAAATTAACAAAAAATTAGTTCATTAAAAACTGCATTTTCATATATACAGGGTGACTTTGAAGTTGAGTCATTAATTTTCAGATAATGATTGTAGAAGGAAGATAAACCAAAATATGTGTGTAAAAATAAAAAAATAAATAAAAAAAAATGTTACCTTGTTTAATAAAGTATCGTCCCGACAAGTATTTCAGTGCGGACCTGTATTTGATCGTGCGGTCTTGGAGCAGCATGCCCTGACCTGTGAGGTCTTAAGTCACCTGATTCACGAGCCCTTTGTACTACATTAACAAAGGCACGAGGGGTTGGTTGCACTCGATTGGGAAACCGATTCGCATACATCCGTGATGCATCCGGGAGAATTTTGTAAAGACTGCCCCCCCGTAAATAAGAATCATGTCCACAAGTTCAGCATTTTCGTAAACATGTGCCACTTTTGATTTCGTTTGAGCCACGCAACAAACACTACTATTCACTGACGAAAAACATCGTGATAAACGTTTCAAATTCTTTCGCTTTTTTGTTTCCGATGCGATGAACCGGTCAGGCGGATTATATCCGTTGTCGCCAAACACGAACATATTATTATTGAGACAGGGCGGTACTCAAACTTCCAAAGGGCTATAACTTTGTTACTTTAATTTTACCAGAAAAATGGTAAAGGAAAAAAGCATTTCTTTTGATCAGATCTACTCACTGTTAAAATAAATGACTCAACTTCGAAGTCACCCTGTATATATATATATATATCCTTTAAGTACTTTGGGTAGAAAGCACTGTATTGCAAAAGTACTCTCTTATAACTCTTATAACTTAAACTCTCAAGCTTTCGAAGATCTATGTTTTCATCGTCTGGACCTGAAAACAATTATTGACAATAGCAACAAATAACAATTAGGAGAAAAATATTTACTTACTAAGTCGGCGAGATTGTAGCTGAATCTTTTTTTAAACAACAGTGAAGGGAACACATAGTCGACGAATAATGTCAATAATTGTTTCCAGCTCCAGACGATGAAGACATAGATCTTCGAAAGCTTGAGAGTCTAAGTTATAAGAGTGTACTTTTGCAATACTTTGCCTTCTACCCAAAGAAATTAAAGGATATCTTCTCCTAACAGTTAAGGCAAATAACTATGAATACTATATATATATATATAGATTAAAATATCTAAAGTGGCATTAAATATATGAATAAATGACTCATTTTTTTAAACTACCCTGTATCTCAAAAGTTAAGACGTTTAGGATACCCTTAAATATTGACATTCAATTAGGAAACGCTATCTATAGCAGATTTCAACACTTTATTAATGGACCAGATATAATATTTTGGGAAAGCCTAATATTTTGGGAAAGCCTAATATTTTAGCTGAAAAACTGTATTTTTGTTTGATATCGATAGTCACTTTTAAGAAAAACAGCCTTGTTTTCATACCGTTCCTTTCGATTTACATTGCAGCTACTTTCAAAAAAGATGTAAAACTTAATCAAGTGATCTGAAGATCTAGTGGCAAAAAACTGTGTACTGAAATGAAAACGTTTTTTCTCAAAAACGGTCTATTCTATCAATGTCAAACAAGCATACTTTTTTTAGCTTAAATATCAGGCTCCCAAAAATTATCTTTGGAGTATCCTGATGCAGTTTGAAAAAACAATAGCAAAAATGCGTTGGGGTAGTTAGTCTGTTCCTGGCGATCTAAATAGTTTTCCATGGACTCGAACTAATTACTATGCTACCAAATTTCCTTGAATTCTACATTATGGTTCAAAAGTTATTTGAGAAAAATCGATTTTAAGCATCCTTTAGAGGCCTGTGTTTCTGCAGAGCATTTTTTGTGTGTTCTACATACGAGAGATTGACATGTTATTCTAGGACACCCTGTATAATTTGCTTTTAACAGCTAATTTTTCTACATAAAATTCGTATATTGCTGAAAGTTCACTTTATTAATAGGCTATATAGTTTATGGTTTAAGTCCAATAATTAAAATTATATTGTTGTTTGCAATGATTATGCTTTTTGAAAAAACCTTGATCAAGTAGATTGAATGAACCTTCTGCACACTAGCGGTAGTTAAAATGCAGCTTGTGAGTTCTGACTTCAATCGAATTTATTGGCTTAAGGTCTTACAATTGTTGAATTTTCATAGAGAGCTGAAAAATATCATATATTCTCAGAATTGTAAGTAATGAGGGTAACTTTCTCGTTTTGGGATTGGAACACATAATTCACAAAGTCAAGTAAAGCAGTTAACTTTTCATAAGTTTGGTTAGACAAACTCACTGCTAGTGTGCCAGGGCAGGTGTGTTATCTGATTTGGGTAGTGTACCTACATGTTATATAGCTATTATTCTAACTATTAGGATTGCCCTTTTGCTTAGGTGTACAATAAACAATTGATAACTGTGTCATACTATGATTTCCTCATCCCTTTTAGTTCAGGAAGTATCTTCGCAGTCTTATTTAAGGAATCTGCATGTTGCCAGACCCAAAATTGCGTCAAATAATGTTTTTTTCGCCTCTGTGTTTTTACGTTCTTTGGAATATTCTAAACAAAAAAGGTGGTTTTAAACGTTTCTCCAAAGTTCGAGATATAACCGATTTTATATTTAAAAAAGTGTAAATATGCTATTTTCAACCCCGAAAAACAGGTGCGGCGTTTTAAGGGCTAATGAGTGACATATGTCTTCTAGGCACGTCGAATTACCAAGGTTAGGAGCATATAACTACTAACATCAAAAAATTAAGATAGACCCTCCCCACCCCCTACAACACTCACCCCCAAGTGTTTTACCTCATTTTTTTAAAAGGTATAGGATTTGATTTTCAAAACAACACAAAAAAATTGAAAAAACGATTAAATCTTTATTTGAGTCGATAGAACGGTCGATATAATTTAATGTTTAAAGATTATTTCATGTAAATGTTGGCCGCGGCTCCGCTTTAGATGGCCAATGCGCAAGGTTCAATTTTGACACACTCTCTCCAACATATCGGCCGGTATCTCACGAATAAATGCTTCAATATTGGCTTCCAGTGCGTCAATCGTTGCTGGTTTATCCCTGTAGACATTAGCCTTAACATGGCCCCGCAAGAAATAGTCCAACGGCGTTAAATCACACGATCTAGGCGGCCAATTGACGGGCCCCAAACGTGAGATAAACTGTTCACCGAACTCGCCTCTCAATAGGGCCATTGTTTCGTGTGCGGTGTGGCATATAGCACCGTCTTGTTGAAACCACATGTCAGCCAAGTCCAGCTCTTCCATTTGGGCATATAATCCACACCAAACAGTGATTTTTTGGTAGCTCTTGCAATGCTTCTGGCTGGTCTTCACTCCAGATGCGGCAATTTTGCTTGTTAACATACCGATTCAACCAGAAATGAGCTTCGTCGCTGAACACAATTTTTCGATAAAAATGTGGATCTTCCCCCAACTTTGCCAGCGCCTATTCACCAAATTGGAAACGTTGTGGGAGGTCGTGTGGCTTCAATTCTTGCACCAGCTGTATCTTATAAGGTTGTACACCCAAATCCTGTTGCAAAATTTTCAACGTAGTGGGTAACAGAGGCCCAATTGCTGCGAACGGCGGCGAATCGACATTTCACGGTTATCACTAACACTGGCGGATACAGCCGCAATATTTTCTTCAGTCCTCACTCTACGTCTGCGTGTTGGTGGTTTAATGTCCAATAATGGAAACTGGGTTCGAAATTTAGTCACAAGCTTCCGAATAGCTCCCTCAGTGGGCCGACCAAATTGCACATAAATTGGAAGCAGTGCTCGATGCCCTCTCTTAACCGAGCATGAATTTTGATAGTAAAATTCAATAATTTGCAAGCGTTGTTCGTTCGTAAGTCGATTCATGGATAAATTATAGACCAAACTGAACAAGTTTGACAATGACACAAGACACGATTCACGCGTCATCTGTCAAAAACAGTGTTGCAAAAAAATCACCCATTATATATAACGTATATATTATAATTTTTTTTAATAAACTCTAAGGCTCATCTGTGACCGCGTGAAATTTCAGGTCTAAATATGTATACACAAGAGTATGAAGATATCTCGAAAAAAAAATATTTTTGTTCGCAACAAAAGATGATAGACACATCCGCTTTGTTTTAAAAACTGTATAAAACGTATGTTTTTCGAATATCGTAGCGAGTCTGTTCAATTACGTACAAATACGAAATGTTTAGAAGAAAAACCGCAACCCTTCGTTTTTCGCATAAAAATAACAATTATCTTCCGGAATGGCTTGTGATTCTTGTCGGCAAACTCATGTATTTTGCTATAAAATGCCCTTAGAAGCGAACCCTGTATAATTGCTCAATAAACTAGTAGTGAACGCCGGAAGACATGTGTTTTGGGATAAACAATTAGAATTTCTCAAAAACTGCTTGACCAATCGACCCCAATTTTGTTGTTGATATTTACAAGTATGAGCCTGCATTTTGCCTCGGCTTTCGGTCATAACTTTTTTCCTATCAGTGGGATCTTTTTACGCGAGGTCTCATTCAGTATGTCTCATAAATATCTAAAAATCTTATCTGAAGCGTTTTTTCGTTCCTGCTAACACTTTCGATTGAATCCCAAAAGCGCGTTTTCTCATTCTTTGTTGTCGAATAAAGTTTTCCCACAAAAATTGGTGTACCCATTTCATACGTCCATGCTTCAAATACCACATTGAACAACTAGCATCACTTATTTCGCAAACCATGGGTATTTTCGTCTAATATGATTTGACTAACATGTCATAGTCGTATAACATCCAAAAAACGTATATCACTTTTCGTGATCACAATACTTCCCCGACCGTAGGCGTGGAAAGTAAAACGTCCTAAAATGGGAATTACGAAGAAATCTTTAAGTTTGGGAATAACAAGAACAAATTGACCATAGATATCCCGCGAAAAGTAGGTTTAGATAAAATGAAATATAAACACGTATAAAAGAATATTCTATTAAAAAAATTGCACATATAATATAAAATACAATAGTAACATATTACGCTATATTCTCTATCCGATATGGCAGTGTAGTTGTGATAATTAATAAGTGACAATGCTACAATTTTATAAATGAAAATATAAAACTAAAATACCCAGTAGTAGGTTTAACAAATGCTAAAACTACTTTCGATTAAAATGGAACGAAATTGATATTATATACAAGGCGGCTGTACAATCAACCAGACTGAGAGTAAAGAATAGAATAAATAATTTAATAGATACACCAGTCTGTACCCTACGTGCTCCAACAAATAAATGAAAATATTATGCTTACGCAGATCCCATAGGAGTTCAGCGACGTGCTTGCTATCATGCAAAAGCTGTCAATAACAAATCCATCAAATCACTCAATCCAGTAAATCTGTCAATGCTTTCTATTCGTGCGTTTGTCAACATATGAAAGATGACAGAAACAGTAGAATTACCTGTTTTTGTATTTTGATGACAATTCGTTTATGATAAAGTATGAATTTTATCGAACATATTTATCACAGAAATCTTTGAGATCCATAATTCAATGAAGTCATGTATCTCTCCTTGAATATAAAGAATTGTTTTTTTAATCAACCCAATTTTTTAATAGCGTTGTATGGGAAAAATATGGAATAATGACTGATACTGTTACACGTAAATGGCATTTGACGTATTAACTTGTAATTAAAAATGAACTGATGAATAACGTGAAGATGATAAAACTAGGTAAAACAGTCAACAAAATATCAAGATAGAATTTATCCTTTGCACGGATTTGTACTGTATCAGAATGCTACCTACCTCACTTGTATCTATTTTCATAGAATAAATGGATATCTCTTACAGTATTTGGCTTAGGAAAACGGAATATATCGATTCCAATTTTTAACAGCGCAAGATTTTTTTAGTATGAAACGGCCATGATGTGACGTCATACAAATTGTAAACAAAAAAACGTCATCCGTATGCCACTCGTGGACTAATGTTGTCTCCTTCAAGTATTTATAAAAACCCGTAATCAACGTAAAAAGTGAAATCGTTTTCTCGTTTAATTGAAAAAAAATAACCAAAGCCATTGGATTCGTAAAAACACAAAGCACAAATTTGCCGAAAATTGACACATTGATCGTTAGTCATTTTTTTGCCTTCAACCCAGATTTCTGCTCTGCTTAGCTGAGGAACATCAAGACTTCTATGAAAATATGTACAGTGCATCTGATATAATGATAGACATAAAAAGAAAAAATAAGAGCCGTATCCTCAGTCGTTCCTACAATTGTAGAACGCCTTTATGGCCTTTCTTTTCTTCAGAAAGGCTGGGGTATTTCTAGATTTCTATTGTTCCGTAAGTAACGTCCAACTCAAACGAGACGACAGAATCTGCAGAGCAAAATCTAAAATATAACTCGAACATAAGGCAAGCAATCACAGTGTTGCGTATATTTATTTCTCTAGTTACTCTAAGACACAGCTTTCCTGGGATCTTTATCGATGTATTTTCACAGTCTCGGATGACACAATAACCATAATTACTATATTACATGTACACTGATAGAAGTGATGTTTATATGTTTGAAAGGTTATGCTGCTGTCAGATGCTGTTTACAAATGGTATGACGTCAAAGCACATTAATATATGGGCCGAATATGGCGTTTTCCCCTGTCTGAGAAAAAAATATTTTTTTAGACAAATTTATTGCTCGACATTTCATTTGGCCGCCTATCTTCGTAAATAATACAGCAACATGCGAAACGACTATTTTCGTTTGCGTATTTGTTTCCAATCAAGTGTACAACCGCCTATACTTATTGATGTTGATATATGATTATTAGCCAACCTCAAATCCCGATAGTCAGTCAGTTCTCGAGGCTGTTGAAATCTGAAAAAAGTCACTAATCAGTTTATTCACTTTGTATGAAGCAAGAACTTTTCACATACGAGGGTTGGCTCAAAAATAAGATTCTCCCATTTTTCAGGTACAAAGAATTTTTATTTGAAAAAACGAATTCACCATTGGAAATGTTGATTATCAAGCTATTTTTCTATGCATTTTTTTAGACGTGTAATACACTGTCCCGCCTGAAGAAAGTCCGCCGCCGATCCGTTTAGAAACTCTCGTATGTTACGTTCTTGGAATATGTAAATATTATTTTGAATTGATACGCATAGATTCCATTAACACTCTATCTACTCCAACAAACACGTGGTTCAAATGTAGTTTATGTCAAAGATTGTTAACATTAAACATACCATCACTTAAAACTTACCTACATATGTCTACCATAGCCGGTCTAATGACCGAACTTTATGTTTCCTCAATGAATGTATGAAATATGGATGTCGGGAAGGAAATGAAGTAATTAACTGTATTATAATTAACTGTGTATAATTCATAGAAAAAATCAAGAAGTCAAATGGACAAAAATTCTAAAGTGAAAAAATTAAATTTAGAATTAGTTTAACGTCTTTCTCTGTTTGTTAATAAATTCTGATATACAGGGTGTCCAAGATAAGGATCCTATGCATGGGGATCTCAAGGCCTGTGGGAGATACAGCTTAGGTTAAATTAGGAAAAAGTTGCGTTCTTTCGTATTTTCATGAAATTTCATGGCTACCTGAGATACTTGGGAAAAAATAAAATTTGGACAAATCATTTTATTATTTTTTATTTTTTAACATCAAAAACTAATGTCAATTTTTAGGCACTGTATGATGCCTGACGGTTCGTTTTGATAAATCGTCATCAATTTTATTTGTATATGGTCCGAAAAAAGTACACTTTGTATCTAATAGCATCTTTTATACGAATTCAACATGTTACATTTATTTACTTGGTTTTAAGAAAAATGAGTTTTTCCTGATTTTTTTCAAGTAGGCGTTACAAATGTTTGATTTGAAATAAATACCTGTCACCGAGTATTATTATTATTGTGTATTGTTAATATTTGTTCATGATCGTAAAAGATGCCAAGCGGCCATTTTAACAATGAAGAAAGATACTAAAAATTGTGCAGAAATTTATCTTGATAATTTTTGCGAAAGTAGGTAGCCAAGTAAGTCCATTTTCTTCTAGTTGGCTCGAAATTAAAACGAATATGGTACATTCAAAAAGCCTGCCAAGTCAGGAAAAAAAGAATCTTTAGAGGAATCTCAGAATAGTGTTTTACAAGCAGTTTCTGAGAACTCTGAGATATCAACTCAGAAAATGAAGGGGTAGCCAAATCCACAGCCCAATTTATTTTGCGTAAAAATAGATCCCTTATAAATTCAGGATTCGTGAGTGGTACACGAACGATTTCCCGTCAAAAATAATATGATCCGACGAGAATATGAAGAAACTCTACGGACTAAAAAAATCTTGGGGGTTTAATACGTGGTGTACAATTTCAGGGACCAAAATTTACCACAACTCATTAACTGCCGTGTACCTTCAATTTTAGCAACATGATGGAAGACTGACTGTATAATTTACAAGACGGTGATCCTGCACATACATAAGTGTCCTGGCCAGCGAGTTTCCCGATTTAACACCTCCAGACTTTTTTACGGGGTTTTATTAAACACTAAGTTCATCAGCACACTTTTGAAATTGATCAGAGAATGTGTAATGGGACCATTTAGTATGATTACACCAGAAATGAATCATATTCATATTTAGAATTATTTGAACACCTATTGTGAATAAAATAAAAATAATGTCTAACATGTATTCGTTATTCTGAAGATTAAGCATCATTTTATAAAATATCACCTCATCACATCATTATGTAATATGTAATATGCATCTATCAGTAATCACATGATCTTACATCAAACATTTGTTTGGACACCCTGTAAACTGCATTTGAACCATAAGGATAAGGTAGACACTTACAGAATCTGCCATTTGAAAGTTCAATCCAACTTGAATGTAACTAAGTGTGTTTTATGAGCTCAACGATTTCCGACTGCATAATAATGTTTCTAAACTTACCCGGCTCTGAATCGTATATTTCTTCATCAAGCTTAACGTCATCAACATCCGGAACTACCGCCGCTTCTTCAATTTCCTCGCAACACTCCATGCTGACCTGGGTAAAGTCCAATCTGCAAGCCGACCTGCTGCCCCGTCGGATTAAAGGACTAGATATGATCGACGAGGGTTTTTTTGCGATGGGTGAGATAGGGCATTCGAAACGCGAACCAACAACCAATTCTTCTACCAGACGATCGCTCAACGGGGAGAACTGGAACACGAGGAACAGGAATCAATTAGATGAAAGAATCTTGGCAGGCCAGGCAAACAGGTGGACAACCTAACGACAATGTGGGAAATTTTTTTCATACTTCAAACAAGAGGCTTTTAAAACGTCATAGTCTAGGGAGAATCTCCGCATCTGCTCGGAAAAATATCCTGATTCGTTTTTTATATAATTTTATAGAAATTGGTAACGAAATTGGATTGCTATGGATTTCAAGTTTCAGTATTCAACTTATTACAAAATTATTTAATCAATAGAAGTCAAATAACTAAAATTGGCAATACATTATCAAACATTTCGGTAGGTGTGCCACAGGGTTGCAAATTAGGTCCATTACTATTTATTTTATACGAGTATATTAACGATATTCCTGATATTTTACAACACTGCAAAATTAAGCTATTTGCTGATGATACATTAAAATATATATATACAGGGTGTTTCAGTTTATTGTTGCATAACTTTAAGATCCGATAGAACTTATAAAATTAATGCATAAAGTCTATATAAACATGGTGTTTAAATTTACTTTCTAAAATAGTTTCTTTTAAATATTTCGAACAATATTTGATGTATAACAGTGAAAATTGGTATACAAGGGTTTTTTGGTACGACAAAACGAATTATGGGCATAGTCTTACTGTAGCCGCTAGAGGGCGCACTCTACTGTACCTGTAGTGTATTAAAATGACCGAAAATGCTTTCTTAGTGCAATTTTTTGCTTTTTGAATAAAAAAACTGATTCTTCGCACTTTTCAACATAAAAAAGCTCTCTTGTGAATTTTCGTTATAGTTAGCCGTTTTTGAAATATTTCGATTTTTAAGGTTCGATGCATTTTTAATTATTTATGATAAAATAACGTTAAAAAGTCAGTATCTAGATAATTTTTAGAAGTAGGCTGTGACTGCAAATATTTTTGAAATTGAAAGCAGAATAAGGTTAAGCGTCAATTAGTTGACAGTTAGTTTTGTTGTCTGTTGAAACCTGAAACGTTTTTTGCAATTGTGAATGCACGAAATTTAGTTTCTTTTACCTGTTTTTTTTGTAAGTTTTATAAAAATACCATTTTTATTCTCCAATCAAGAGTTAGCAGATATTCATTTTGTGTATGGCTTTGTAAATGGAAACACATCAGAAGCAGCCAGAGAATACGCACGAAGATTTCCAAAGACACGACATCCAACTCGCTCAGTATTTGTAAGAGTGCATCGCCAAATAATTGAAAATGGTTTTGGAAATCTCCAAAGGGATCAAAACATAAATGTTCGTCGGCGCAGATTTACCCGTATGATTCTGCGCGAGTTTGATAGAGATCCGACCGCAAGTGTTACGAGAGTTTCTGGTGTCTTGGGAATTTCAGCAAGCCATGTTCACCGTGTTCTTGGAAATGACCATAGGCGTCCTTACCATTTGCAACCTGTGCAAGGACTACAGCCAGGGGGCGGAGAACGAAGAATCACATTTTGTCAGTGGATTCTTGATAGAACTGATAATAATAGGGAGTTTTTAAGTAACGTTTTATGGACCGATGAGTCATACTTCACTAGACGTGGAGTGGTAAATTTTCATAATCAACATATTTGGTCGCATGAAAATCCGCATGCAGTTCGGGAAAGAAATGTTCAGCATGAATTTAGTGTGAACGTGTGGATTGGTATCTACTGTAATCGACTATTTGGACCCTACCTTTTGGCTGCAAGGTTAAATGCTGCGACCTTCTTGGAATTTTTAAAGGCTGAACATGCAAATATGTGGGATGATGTTATGTTAGATTTAAGAAGATTGGCCTGGTTCCAGCTTGATGGTTGTCCAGCTCATTATTCGAGAATAGTTAGAAACTGGCTGGACGAAAATTATCCAGAAAGATGGATCGGCCGTGGAGTGTACCAGATTCCCGTAACCACAAGAGATATGCTAATAGACAGAATCCGGAATGCATGTGATGAAATAAGGCCTTATTTGAATAATGCTATACGACGTTCGATCATTCGTAGATGTGAATTGTGTATTGAACAATTGGGTTTACATTTCGAGCAACTACTTTAGATTTTGTATGTTTGTCCTAACTATCCAATAGCATTTTAGTTCTAAATAATTAATTTAATTTGTTAAAAATAATATTGGACAGTTAAACAAATTAATATTCTGTTTTTTGTGTTTATTTGGAGTTAGGAATTATTGCTGTGTTTAAAAACACAATCCAAACGATCATCTTAATTACTTGTAATGCCCAAATCGAAAATGTAAAAAAAAAATATTATGTTCCCATAAATAATTAAAAATGCATCGAACCTTAAAATCGATATATCTAAAAAACCGCTAACTATAACGAAAATTCACAAGAGAGCTTTTTTATGTTGAAAAGTGCGAAGAATCAGTTTTTTTTTGCAAAAAGCAAAAAATTGTACTAAGAAAATTTTTTCGGTCATTTTAATACACTACAGGTACAGTAGAGAGCGCCCTCTAGCGGCTACAGTAAAACTATGCACATGATTCGTCTTGTCGTACCAAAAAACCCTTGTATACCAATTTTCACTGTTATACATCAAATATTGTTCGAAATATTTAAAAAAAAAACTATTTTAGAAAGTAAATTTAAACACCCTGTATTTCGGAAGTCACGCATTTTTCGACCCATGTTTATATAGACTTTATGCATTAATTTTAAAAGTTCTATCGAATCTTAAAGTTATGCAACAATAAACTGAAACACCCTGTATATATATATAAGAACATTGAAACTGCAATAGAGCTGTTAAATAATGATATGAAAAACGTAATAAATTTTTTAAATGTAAATAAACTTAAACTAAACACAAACAAAACAAAATATATGCTAATAGGAAAATCTTTAGATCAAAATACGATAAATCTTACAATTAATCATAAAAAAATTGTGTCAGTCGAATCATTTAAATATTTGGGCATATACGTAGACAGTAAATTAAAATTTGAAGGGCCTATGAATATATTATTTACCAGAATCATAGTAGTGAAATTTTGTATAAAAATATGTAGTCTTGAAGACATAATATATTTTGTGATATAATATGGATATTGTGGAGATTGTAGCATTAATGCTAAATAAATCTGAAACAAACAAACAAACAAATGGCCCCTTTCCACGAATCTGCATGGTGCGAGGGCCAAATTTAGGTCATAAATTGTTCAAGGAATTTTTTAAGCAATCTCAAAAACTGTTTTTTGCACAGGACAAACTTTTTTAAGTGTTCTGGCCATTGTGAAAAAAGGAGCTTATAGACTTTTCTCTAAAGTTGATAGTGTTCTAGAGATAAACGATTTAATGTTTGAACAAATTTAAAATTTGCTATTTTCGGTCCCGAAAAAACAATATGAAAGTACGAAAATTTTAATGTTGTCAAAGTTTCCCAAATATTTTTTAAAAACATACATCACAAACTAACTATGATGCTTTCGTCCGTCCGATCAAAAGGACTGCCAACCATGGACAGCTGTTTCGTGCTTCTTGGCTACTCATGAGCATGGTCTAGGCTTGGTCTCTTGTCTCTGGACGAATGAATGAAAATATTGCAACTATCCTCTATATCGGAGATACGGTCAGTTAGGGATCTCAGTTCACGTTTAATTGCCCAGGCATCTCGTGACCGCTAACTGGCTGACTAGGTCGTATAGTCTAATTCACGGAACTATATAAGTAATTTGACCTTGAAATAACCTCTAAGTTAATTAGACACTTGGTCATGAGATTTTTCTCCATTTTCAGCGTTGGGCTTCAAAATTGAGTGTTTCCATGCGGAAAAATAAATTTGACCTTGAACTGAATGAAGGTCACCATCAGATGTGCCTTTGGGTGTCCTGCAATTTTCGGATTAAAAGTTCTCCCTCTACAATCTTCTTTTTCCAGCAAACCGCGGCTTCACGACATTTCATGAAAGGATAAAAATTGACCTTGAAATAACCTCTAGATGTAATTTTAGCTCCTATGATAGTCATATTGCTGAAAAGGAATTAGATGCGCCATCTGATTTCCTAAAACTTTTGTGATGAACGTTTTTTTTCTAGGACCATTAGTTTCAGAGCTATTTGGGTGTGTTTATACTTTTGGAACACCCTGTATGTGGATTACCTGTATCGGCGACATGCCTGTTGAGATGGCCGGCGATGAATTTTGGTCTTCAAAATCAAAAAGGCGTTGGTGTAGATCGGAAGTACTCATCATGTCTTGATCTTCAGTGTCGTATGTTGCATTACCACCTATAGAAGAATATATTATTTCAAAGAAATGACGAAATCGCATGGCAAGAGAGGACATAGTTTAGAAAAAGTTTCTGTAGTAATATTGATCAACATATTCTCCAAGAAGATACAATTGAAAACTGTGTCTGCGCAAAAATAAGAACAAATATTATACCTGTATCAGGTAACCAAATAAGTTCGTGCGGTTTTTAGTAGAAAAATATAATTTTTTATTGACAATAAGACACTATTCATTCGTCCAAGTGATTACCATCACATTGAATGACCTTTTGCTAACATGGAAACAATTTTTGTTGTGAACTGTCGGTGCCTCATACAGTTGTCAAGAGACAAAAAAAAAGGTGATAATCACTGAGCGAAATATCGGGAGAATATGGCTGTGCGGTAACGTTTCCCAGCCGAGGTCAGAATTTTTCTCGGGTCACTTTTGCGGTGTGAGGCTTGGTGTTATCCTGCAAGAATATCACTTTCTTCCGATTGATCAAAGAAGGCTGTTTCTGGATGAGTGCTGCTTGTACTCATTGAAGCTGCTCACAATATAAGTTAGCAGTGATGGTTTGACTCCTTTCCAAAAACTCATAATGGACAAATCCAGTTGCTGTCCACCAAACACACAACAAAACCTTGTTTGGGTCCAAGGAAGCCTTTGGCGTGTGTGGTACCGAATCAGTAGGCGACGACCAATGATACGAACGCTTAGAATTCGAATACAAGATCCATTTTTCTTCGCAGGTTAATAACGGATTAAGAAATGGTTCATTAGCGTTGCGTGAAATGTTTGCTGAACGAATGGTAAGACGACTTAATTTGTTATCATTTGTCAGTTCATGTAAGACCCATTTGCTTAACTTCCACGTCTTTCCTAGCTGATGAAGATGCAAACGAATAGTTTCAGGACTCACTCTGAACATTTCTGCAAGTTTTTGGCACGTTGTCCTGGAACTTGCGTCCACAACCTGTCGAAGATACTCGTTGTTCATGATTTTTGGTCTCGCTGAGCGCGGTTCATCGCTCAAACTGAGATCTCCCGAAGAAACTTTTTTGAACCACTTCTGTGCTGTTCGATCAGTAACGGCATCATCTCCGGATGCGGTATATATTTTTCGCACCGCCACTGCAGCTTTTGTACCAAGTTTCTACTAATACAGTAAACAACTTCGAATTACTGTTTTATTCCTCGCCATTTTCAATTATTAAAACTAGGTATGTAACAATTTTCAGCAACTTTTTATATGTGTGAGAAAAGAAGGATTCATACTAAATTGACTACAGGTAACAAGCAATCACTATGGATCAACAACATGCATGGCAATGTGCGATATACAGCAACCGCACGAACTTATTTGGTTACCTGATATTTCAATTAAATTAAATTATAACGAAGAGGTATCTCAAGGATCACTACTAGGTCCGATCCTATATTCAGCTTATATCAACGATTTAATAAATTTAAACATAAATGGTAAATTCATACTTTTTGCTGACTATTCCACAATACTTTGGCAAGGCACAGATTTAAATGAAATTTTCTCATCATCGATCATGAGCCTAAGTGTATTCTCACATAAATGTTTCCCTAATTAATAACTAATTATTAACATTTAACCAACTTATAATTTTTTATATCACTATCACACCTTTTGAAATCTAAAAATACTGTTACAGTACATTCTTTCTCATCTATACTTCCTCCCCAGTCTTCCCTCACCATCTGTATTGCTGTTTTTTTTCAACGAACTCAATGATTTGTTCGTATATCATCACCAAACCTTACTTCATGCTTACAACAACTAGGTGCAAACTGGACGTAACCTATAACTCACTTTTTGCCGACGATGGTGAGTAAATTTTTCTATTATGTGGAATAAATCTTTTTGGCGTTGTGTCGGAATCCATGGATTCAAGCAGTCTTTCTGGATTTATAGATCCGTTATCTGGACTAGGGACTATCACATGTTCGCTACTGAAGAATGCTTCTATCCTTTGCTGGATCAAAGACTCCACCTAAACAGAAAAACGTTGCTTATATTCAATATACAGTACTTTTCATCTTCAAGTTACATGTTCAAATCTGGGATGATGAAACTGATGCATGATTGAACTTTCTGGTTGTATGAATATAAAATTTTCGTTATTCTTTCAATCAAAGATGCAATACCTGGGGGTCTTCTTCCAACACATGCTGGCTAACTGTGTCGTCAATATCAGCTGGCTTGAGACTAGATATATCTTCAATGGTCCATTTGAACTTGTCTTGAGATTTATTTGGAGTTGATACCTTTGCAAATACTGAAGGGCTAAGCACAACACAATTATTAGTCAAAAAGTAATGTAAGTAAAAAAAATGAAAGATATTATTGAAGACGAAAAGTCATTAGCAACATTGAACAATGAAGCATAAGTAACAAAAGTTATAAAAACTGACAGTACAATTAAGCGGAAAATAAAAATCAAGTTTACGCGGCTGATTGCGATTAAAAATTGGAGAGCTGCGTGGCAGTGCCGCTTCTCGTGTGCTCATACTGTGTAGCAGAAATGTGATTTAAATAATAAATCTAATTTAAAAGGATTGTTAGATAACAGGATTTGATTCTTTTTTTTATCTTCTTGCAATTTATAACTTCTTCCGTATCTACATGTACAAATTTATAGCCATATAAAAGAACCAGTTCAGTTAGGCGATCGTCTGCCATAGGCGCTTGCAACCACGTCTTGAGCCTCCTGGGCGTAAAAACCGGCCTATCGGCTGTCGGTACACTAACTGATGATTTACCAACGATACATAAGAATTTTATGATGTTGGGATACATTTCGGCATCGCAATTTTCATTAAGAGTAGGAATCGGCGCGGAATATTCTGCATTCGCTGCCATTTTGCCATCCAGAGCCGATATACATTCACAAGGTTAAAGGCGCGCAGGAAACGCTTTATACTCTCGTCTGAATGTTCAAATTAACTACCTTAATCACAGAACACATGACCCTCAATCTACCAAGTCGAAAAATGCAGTATCGCAATTTTATTTATATTTGCATCAAGCTGAACATATAGGCAACCAGACTTACGCAAATCTATAATTTCCAGGTCATCCAGGTGTGGTGATTTTTCACCAAATCTAAATATTAGTGGTCAAACTAGAATTTGCGCTTGGTATAGAACTATAATCTGTGATAAAAAAAGGTGCAACTACAATGTCGACAGTCGCGAATTTAAACGTCGAGTGCACGTGCTTGTTTTGGGGGGAAGCGTGAATTAGGTCTGAGAATGGAGTGTTTTGGCGGTCTTTATTAGTAATACGTTAGTTAGTAGTTAAGTTCTCCATGCCTTACTTGTAATTACCATATTGAATGGTGTTTGTCAGGTGTACGTCATAAATGAATAGATAAATATCAAAAAGTATTTTCAGAAATTGAGTGAAAACAACAGTCCTCTATCACCCAACTCCTATGTGCAAGAACGTGTAGTAGCTGCTTTACGGATCAGCTTGCACAGTATACAATTTCCCTTGTGGAAGTTAAGCTACACTCATGAAACAACAATCTGTTTACTTAGTCTGCATGACATTCTGACCTAACCGCCAAAAAACCGTGAAAAGATTAGCTTGCCATCTGGTTTAATTATAGATTGGCACTTAGGTCAGCTTATTGCCCTAGGGTGAATATAGGTATATAAATCCATGGGCTGAAAAAAAGGACTCAACTCCTGAAGTACCTACGTGTTCAAAAAGTACATTTTATGGCAAGGTTGTAAAAAAATTTAATACATAGACATGTACATACCCTATAAGTAATTAGAATTTACAAATTTAGGAGGAGTAGGAAACTAAGTGTTTTCACCAACTTTTTTGCTTCTGATAATTTTAGACCTATAACTGAGATAGCACAGCTATTTTTAAGAATCAATGCACTGAACATCTACTAAAAAGTTGTCTACCATCAGAAACAATATAAAATATATCAGTTATATCAGTTTTGATCTCGGCATGGTGACATATGCCATATCTCAACAGAGAGGCTCTATTGCTGGGTCTGACTATTGAGGATTTTTAAAACTTGACCCCTTGTGGTGAAATTTGTTACCCCCACTCTTCAAAAAATTTTGTGGGGCAGGTACAAACTTTCACAAAAAGTTGTCCCTTATAATGATTGGCCCCCTGAAGAAAAAACCTGCAGGCGACCATGGATCTGGCAGTGGTGTATCTGATAAGTTGTAGGCCTTTTGGGGCTCTCAGTGGCGGCCCCGTATATTTAATTAAAAATTGAGGAGACAGCTTTTGATGTGGATGCTAAAAATTTACTTGTGGGGCTACCATGAAAGTCAAAATAAAGGCCTTATATTCATATTATGGGCTCTTCACAGTAGTGTATATGGTGTGATCGTCACAAATATTAGGAAATATTAGAAGCAAAAAATGTTCAGCTCGAATGAAGCGTGCATATCTCCCAGAGACATTGGTCTATCCAACATATGGTCTGTCTAAACCCACTCCTTCACTCTGCATTGTCCAATGGGGGTTCAAAATATTTGAAATTTATTATTTATACTTTCATTGTTTACAAAAAAAGCCTGAATGCTAAGGGAGCTGTGCTTAATCAACATATACAAACATTGTAAATATGTGTGGGTGTGCCTTACCTGAATACTGGTAAATGTAGTCTGTGTATTAGCTGTTGTTCAAAAGGGTTGAAAATCGTGGAATTCCTCGTAGGAGGTGTCGAATTGGTTGGTAAAAGGCTTATAGGGCTATTCTCTCCTGCGTTAGTTAGGGTGCTAGAAAATATGCCTGTATTTTTTGGTGTTATGTTCCTGTCGTTGATATATTTGAAATCCATTGTGCTTAATATTTGTAAACTATTTTACAACATTATAACTTTGCTACGACTTTTTTGGTATTGTGTGTATTATAGTTTTTATAAAAAGAATACCGAAATTACCGTTACGGTTGGATATTTGAAAAACAAATTTTGACATTAGATGACCGTTGATTCTCAAGCGGGAATGGCATTGACAATGATTGTGTGTTCTGTGTCACGCATAGTACAAGTATCTTCTTTAATTCACCGGTTGATTCCATGACTGATGGATCCGCTGACAGCTGATGTGATGACGTCAGCAACCGGTTCCGTTGAATGGCGGTTAATAAAAAGACCCATTCTTAGCCTTCACGTTGCTGTCATGTCATATGAGAAAACCTAACCTTTGTTTTATCGTATGGATACTTGTTAATTTGATTCTAGTAAAGATGACATGGCCACGCAAGGCAACTGTTGAACTGTATTCTACTAGAGTCTAGAAGACTATCCATAGCGAAATTTTTGCTGAAAAAGTTACACAACTCTACGTCTGTACCCCGGGACAGACATCCGTCTTGACAGATAACCTTGTCATTCTTGCCACCTGGAATGTGGCATTGCCAGCTTATCGGACGATTTTGCTACTTCTGCTATTTTGATAGAATGTTATATAAAAAAAGAAGTTTTGAATAAAATATTGAGGAATACTCATCGAGATATATAAAATTTGAGGCGTAGCAATGTTTGCCAAAATACTAAACAAAAGCTGTTATTTACATTTTGCGTCGCCTGGCGTCTGTGCGGCGGTACGTTAATTTCTCAGAACATTTTTTAAATGCCCAGTTTTATAGGATAAAGTACTTTTTGAATACAACAATTGGAAAAAACAATGTTTTATTATATAAGTATATTTATTAATAATTATTCGATCTAAAATTACATGATCTTATTAGAAGTACGATTTTCATTTTACTCTACTATTTTTAGTATCCGTCTTATACGCAGAGGTATTAGGCATTCATTTTGAGGAAGCTAAAAATGCACAGCTTGATAACTTGAATCCAACTTATACCCAACTCATCGATCATGTGGAATTACAGGGAGACCCATTTTCGACGCATCACGTAACCCCCAATAACCAAAAATATGGCGTATTCTTTAATTCACCGGTTGAGCCACCGGTGCAAGCAATTAACCAATTTTTCTTCTTTTAATTTCCGTCTGAGCGACCGGTTGTACACCAAACTTTATACAGGGTGACTTCGAAGTTGAGTCATTTATTTTAACAGTGAGTAGATCTGATCAAAAGAAATGTTTTTTTCCTTTACCATTTTTCTGGTAAAATTAAAGTAACAAAGTTATAGCCCTTTGGAAGTTTGAGTACCGCCCTGTCTCAATAATAATATCATGTACTCGTGTTTGGCAACAACGGATATAATCCGCCTTACCGGTTCATCGCATCGGAAACACAAAAGCGAAAGAATTTGGAACGACGTTTTTGCAATTAAGTGTTTTATTCAGTTCAGTTATACATACAGTCAGTATCTGTCGGTTAGCGTGTGAATAGTTTCTGTTGCGTGGCTCAAACGAAATAAAAAATGGCACATGTTTATGCGGATCGGTTTCCCAATCGAGTGCAACCAACCCCTCGTGCCTTTGTTAATGTAGTACAACGGGCTCGTGAATCAGGTGACTTAAGACCTCACAGGGGACCTCACGATCAAATACAGGTCCGCACTGAAATACTTGTCGGGAGGATACTTTATAAAACAAGGTAAACATTTTTTTTTAATTTTTTTTTATTTTTACACACATATTCTGGTTTATCTTCCTTCTACAATCATTATCTGAAAATTAATGACTCAACTTCAAAGTCACCCTGTATAGTTTATAGATAAGTTCGGTGTACAACCGGTCGTTCAGACGGGAATTTTGGTTGCACCGGTGAATTAAAAAATACGCCTAATATACCTTACATATCTTGACAATCAGCTGATTGTGACATGACTTTGCTGTCACACATAACCTTTGTTTTTATTTTGATTTAGCTGTGGGATATTTGATATTATTGAAAATGTGTTATTGGTGTCTTTAGAAAGATTGCGGTGTTGGAGCGGTTTTACTACCACCAGATGAAGGCTTTCAAATAACATGTAAAAAATAAGTTATTTTTTTTCTGTGAATTTAATTCATATAAAAAGTCGAACATGGAATTATCAGAGAAGTATGCAGATGTTTCCAAATACATTCCAACGTTGAACGACGAAGCTTTCAAAAAATTAACGCAAAACTGTATTTCTTACCTTACTGAGAATGGAGAGATACACAACCTAAGTTCAATATCTGCTGCCAAAGGAGACATAGTCAAATACCTGTATGCCTTTTTGTTAACAATAACATCACAATTTGCAAGAAAGAGGAGTAGCAGTGAGGAAATTGTTAAGCACCTTTCTCACTATGGGATTCATTCTGCTAGAGCAGAATGGTATGCAGATCAATTTAGAAAACATGACAAGATGCTAACAGGTGTTTTACTAAATATTGGGACATATTTGCCTCACATAGTTGATATCAGGTGGAAGATGGCCTTTACTGGTACTTAACATCCATTATTCAGATTAATCATGGGATTTGAAACCTCACACCTTTAAGTTTTGACTTTTTACTAGAATAGTGACTCAGAATTGATTGCAACTGAATTAAGGGACTGTAAATTATTACTGTTGCCACTTTTACAAAATTCTGCATACAGTTATTATGTATATTTATTATTATTACAAAGGAAAGCCAAAATATTACAAATTTTAGCATGATTTATTGTTGCAATCTTTATGAGAAAACTATTTCTTACTGAATTCTGTTTTTTTTTTTAGTAAAAACATTGGAACTAGATGCTGTAGATGGACCAGTATTTATGATATTATTAGTAACACAAAAATATGACCTGGCAAAAGAAGAAACTGTAACAAAAGAGATTGCATTTAGGTGCACTGTGAATGAGTTACAAGACTTGGTTTTTAAGATTAAGGATGCTGTGCGACATTGTTCTGTTTTATCTAAGGGAATTCTTTAGTTTTAGTAGATTCATTATGCATAATCTATAAAGCTTGCCTAATAAAAGTTATTTTATTTGCTAATTGTGTCTTTTGCTGGTATGCCTTTTTTGAATTTAACAACACAAGCTGCTTGTGAGATATTAATGAAAACTTGTTTCTAATTGAATGGCCCATATATGCTACTGTGTGGAAGGTAGCATCGTTCACATGTCCGCCGCGGTTTTGCAGTGTTCTTTTTGTTTTCCTCTTTTTTTATGCACCATATACACTGAAAAGCAAATGCCACTGACGTCGTAATGTGTACGAGAGAGAAGCGCGGAAAGCGTGCAGTACGTGTGTTAGAAAGAGATAGAAGCACCTCGTTGCCTAGCAACCCGAATACGAGGTCATGGGCGCACTATTTTTAATATACATATTGGACGCTTCTGTCTCGTATGCATTACAACGTCAGCCAAATTTAAGCCTCACCATATGATTGATTTTCACCGTTCTGAACTGGCCATAAAAAAGTTGTACCTATGGAGAGATGGAAAACGAGTATTTACAAATGTTTTCTAAACTACTAATTTGCGAAGTAGATAACCTTATACAAAACTGTGCTTATTGATTGAGGGTGTATCATTTTGAAAAAATGAGTTTTGTCATTTTTTACAATTCAATTTTCATCCGATTTTGTTGACTTCCCTGTATTGCTATCAAATATCGAATGAAGTTCACTGATGTAGACCCCTTCTACAAGTAAACTGCTACATATCGTTAACAGATGAAAATATACGAAAAACGGATAGGATTTTATAAATCTGCATTTGTGATTTTTTTACCCAAAATTAAATATTTCTCAAAAACGGTTAGTTAGGTATCGGATGTTATACATAGAATATATTTAGAATCTTTGGAAGATTTCTAAAAGTGAAAAACACAGAGTGTTCCACTCAAAATAAGCAACTTGGTGTCTATTTCCGGTGCAACCGGAAGTGTCACCATATTGAAAATATTTTATCCGAATTCCTTATACCATAACCCCTAGTTTTTAGGTCTCGACATTGCCAACTCTCTGACTGTTGCCGTGGGATATGAGATTTTCTTTTTCGCTATTAAGAATTTCTGAGAATACGAAATCTTAGGAATAATTACAAGGGTTGTTGTGAGGTGATCATTCATTGGAGCGTTGATATCATGTTTAAAAATAAACAATTTTCTTTAAAAGGAAAATTGGTACCACATAACCAGTGTTGATGATGCTTGATTTGCGATATTAGTGGCAATATACGATGAGTAAATTTTTTATTCAAATATTAATTAGTTTTATATTATATCCCTCAAAGTAACTCCCTTTTGAAGTCACATAGCGCTGGATACGGTTCTTCCACTCCTTATAGCAGTGCTGGGACTCGGATCCTGGAATAGCCTTCAGCTGGTCTGTTACAGCCGTTTGAACGTTTTCCACTGTGGTCGACGTGATTTTTCAACTTTGGGAAGAGAGAAGTCACAAGGAATCAAGTCAGGTGAATAAGGAGGTTGAGGAGCCACATGAATGTCTTTGTTGGCCAAAGACTTTGCTTGATGTTTAGTCTCACACGAATGATTGTTTTTCAAGAACCTCCCGGTAAATGTGTTGATTGACCGTTTGGCCTCGAGGTAGAAACTCGCTTCCGTGAATATCCAAAAACAAATCAGTATGCATTTGATCTTCGACTTTGTCTTTATTGCTTTTTTTGAGTCGTATTCAGACACCCAAAACTCGTCACCAGGAATGACACGTTCTAGAAAATAGGGGCCATTTTCAATCGAATCCAAAAAGTCAAGGCATCTTTCCGATGATCTTGCTAAAGGTTTTTGGAACCATTTTTGGGTAGATTTCTCTCATCCCCAATTCATTGGTCAAAATCTGATGAACGGTGGTGTGAGTCAAATTTAACTATTCCCCGATCATTCTGTCAACCGATGATCTGAACACACAAGATCCCGGATTCTGCCGACATTGTAATCGGTTTTTGAAGATGAAGGCCTTCCACTACGTGGTTCATCTTCAATAAAATCTCTCCTTGCTAAAAATGCCTTAAACCATCTAAAAACCTTGGCTCTTGACAAAACACTATCTCCGTAGGCCTACTGAAGTTTAACAAGAGTTTCCATTACACTGTGCCCAAGTCTGAAACAAAACCTGATAGCACGCCGTTGCTTGAAATTGATGTCACTCATCAGAATACAATAGAAAAAGCTGTTTCAGAAAATAAATCGCTACGGACAACTAAATGACTCGAGCGAGTTCAAACTTGTACTGATCGCGGATCACATCTTCCCCTGTCTCCCCTCGAAGACCGGCGCCTACAGACATCGTATACGCCTCTATATGGTGGTATAATAAAATCAATAAGCTACTATTATTTTAATTGAACGATTTAATCCTAGCATATCGCATTTATCTAAGCAATATGTATAATAGGAAAAATAAATATATTTGGTTCAACGAATGTGCTACACGAAAAAAGAAGTTACAATATAAAAATAAACAAACAATCGTCAACTAACGCATAATAAGCTCATATCTATATGAAAATATTGTCCATATTACAATTGCTTTTACATGTTCCAAAAATCTTCAGACGATATTTTTTTACATATATTTCACTGCTTTGAGAACATTAACAAGTAAATCGTTTAAACTTGAATAAATAGATAATATGGAATGATCACGATTCTTAAAGCAAATTTGATGCTATGAGTCACAACAACACTATCTAACTTGCGAACATGTTCTGTTGACTAGCATCGTTCTCGAAGTCGCTCCATGCATTGTTCAGCTCCATGAAGATCAGCTTGGCAAGATTCTCGTTTTCAGTTCCCACTTGCTAGAACATAAGAAAGATCTCGATAATTATTTATTTATTTATTTAATAACAATGACATCCAACAAAGACCAAATACAAAAAATTATAAATGCACATAAATATATAACAACAATATAATTCCTCTTCATCAAGGACATCCTGATGACAGAAAGATGCACCTAGATGGTTCAAACCACCTGTATGTGCTTTCATCATCCGGACTTACAAATGAAAAGAAAATGCTAATTATAAAATACAATAAAAAAAAAACAATAATCAACCTCAATATCCCGAACAATAGTTCAATCATACTATGATACAAAAAATCATTAGAAAAACCTTTCAAATTGTGCAGTATTCTCAAAAATATATTCTCTGCAGCTGGTGCTAAACGTTTTAATATTTTTCAACTTTTTCAAGTGTTCTGGCAGAATGTTATATATCTTTGGTCCTATATACGTTATGTATCTTAAGTTTAGGTTATTGTTATTCTTGGGAATTTCTATTTGCCTGCCCACATTTGCACGAGTACAGTAGTTATGACTTACTTGTTTCTGTAGTTTTTCATTTCTATAAATAAAAGTAGATACTGTCATCGCGTACAAGGATTTAATATTACACACATCCTTTGTAAAAAGTTTATTAGTGGGGAATCTTTTATCTTTCTTAAAAATAATTTTAATAATATATTTCTGAATAATGAGTTTACGTAGAGCATTATTATACAATCCCCCCCCATACTTATATCCCATAGCTAATTATAGATTCAACAAATGCTTTATAAACTGTTATTAAATTTTTTTTATCGAGAAAGTCACGCAGGAGATAAAATTTATGGATTAATTTTCTAACTCTACTCGATACAATCAACATGCGGCTGCCACTTTAAATGTTGGTCAATAATGATTCCAAGGTATTTAGTTTGAGACACTTGGATCTGGCAGTGGTGTATCTGATAAGTTGTAGGCCTTTTGGGGCTCTCAGTGGCGGCCCCGTATATTTAATTAAAAATTGAGGAGACAGCTTTTGATGTGGATGCTAAAAATTTACTTGTGGGGCTACCATGAAAGTCAAAATAAAGGCCTTATATTCATATTATGGGCTCTTCACAGTAGTGTATATGGTGTGATCGTCACAAATATTAGGAAATATTAGAAGCAAAAAATGTTCAGCTCGAATGAAGCGTGCATATCTCCCAGAGACATTGGTCTATCCAACATATGGTCTGTCTAAACCCACTCCTTCACTCTGCATTGTCCAATGGGGGTTCAAAATATTTGAAATTTATTATTTATACTTTCATTGTTTACAAAAAAAGCCTGAATGCTAAGGGAGCTGTGCTTAATCAACATATACAAACATTGTAAATATGTGTGGGTGTGCCTTACCTGAATACTGGTAAATGTAGTCTGTGTATTAGCTGTTGTTCAAAAGGGTTGAAAATCGTGGAATTCCTCGTAGGAGGTGTCGAATTGGTTGGTAAAAGGCTTATAGGGCTATTCTCTCCTGCGTTAGTTAGGGTGCTAGAAAATATGCCTGTATTTTTTGGTGTTATGTTCCTGTCGTTGATATATTTGAAATCCATTGTGCTTAATATTTGTAAACTATTTTACAACATTATAACTTTGCTACGACTTTTTTGGTATTGTGTGTATTATAGTTTTTATAAAAAGAATACCGAAATTACCGTTACGGTTGGATATTTGAAAAACAAATTTTGACATTAGATGACCGTTGATTCTCAAGCGGGAATGGCATTGACAATGATTGTGTGTTCTGTGTCACGCATAGTACAAGTATCTTCTTTAATTCACCGGTTGATTCCATGACTGATGGATCCGCTGACAGCTGATGTGATGACGTCAGCAACCGGTTCCGTTGAATGGCGGTTAATAAAAAGACCCATTCTTAGCCTTCACGTTGCTGTCATGTCATATGAGAAAACCTAACCTTTGTTTTATCGTATGGATACTTGTTAATTTGATTCTAGTAAAGATGACATGGCCACGCAAGGCAACTGTTGAACTGTATTCTACTAGAGTCTAGAAGACTATCCATAGCGAAATTTTTGCTGAAAAAGTTACACAACTCTACGTCTGTACCCCGGGACAGACATCCGTCTTGACAGATAACCTTGTCATTCTTGCCACCTGGAATGTGGCATTGCCAGCTTATCGGACGATTTTGCTACTTCTGCTATTTTGATAGAATGTTATATAAAAAAAGAAGTTTTGAATAAAATATTGAGGAATACTCATCGAGATATATAAAATTTGAGGCGTAGCAATGTTTGCCAAAATACTAAACAAAAGCTGTTATTTACATTTTGCGTCGCCTGGCGTCTGTGCGGCGGTACGTTAATTTCTCAGAACATTTTTTAAATGCCCAGTTTTATAGGATAAAGTACTTTTTGAATACAACAATTGGAAAAAACAATGTTTTATTATATAAGTATATTTATTAATAATTATTCGATCTAAAATTACATGATCTTATTAGAAGTACGATTTTCATTTTACTCTACTATTTTTAGTATCCGTCTTATACGCAGAGGTATTAGGCATTCATTTTGAGGAAGCTAAAAATGCACAGCTTGATAACTTGAATCCAACTTATACCCAACTCATCGATCATGTGGAATTACAGGGAGACCCATTTTCGACGCATCACGTAACCCCCAATAACCAAAAATATGGCGTATTCTTTAATTCACCGGTTGAGCCACCGGTGCAAGCAATTAACCAATTTTTCTTCTTTTAATTTCCGTCTGAGCGACCGGTTGTACACCAAACTTTATACAGGGTGACTTCGAAGTTGAGTCATTTATTTTAACAGTGAGTAGATCTGATCAAAAGAAATGTTTTTTTCCTTTACCATTTTTCTGGTAAAATTAAAGTAACAAAGTTATAGCCCTTTGGAAGTTTGAGTACCGCCCTGTCTCAATAATAATATCATGTACTCGTGTTTGGCAACAACGGATATAATCCGCCTTACCGGTTCATCGCATCGGAAACACAAAAGCGAAAGAATTTGGAACGACGTTTTTGCAATTAAGTGTTTTATTCAGTTCAGTTATACATACAGTCAGTATCTGTCGGTTAGCGTGTGAATAGTTTCTGTTGCGTGGCTCAAACGAAATAAAAAATGGCACATGTTTATGCGGATCGGTTTCCCAATCGAGTGCAACCAACCCCTCGTGCCTTTGTTAATGTAGTACAACGGGCTCGTGAATCAGGTGACTTAAGACCTCACAGGGGACCTCACGATCAAATACAGGTCCGCACTGAAATACTTGTCGGGAGGATACTTTATAAAACAAGGTAAACATTTTTTTTTAATTTTTTTTTATTTTTACACACATATTCTGGTTTATCTTCCTTCTACAATCATTATCTGAAAATTAATGACTCAACTTCAAAGTCACCCTGTATAGTTTATAGATAAGTTCGGTGTACAACCGGTCGTTCAGACGGGAATTTTGGTTGCACCGGTGAATTAAAAAATACGCCTAATATACCTTACATATCTTGACAATCAGCTGATTGTGACATGACTTTGCTGTCACACATAACCTTTGTTTTTATTTTGATTTAGCTGTGGGATATTTGATATTATTGAAAATGTGTTATTGGTGTCTTTAGAAAGATTGCGGTGTTGGAGCGGTTTTACTACCACCAGATGAAGGCTTTCAAATAACATGTAAAAAATAAGTTATTTTTTTTCTGTGAATTTAATTCATATAAAAAGTCGAACATGGAATTATCAGAGAAGTATGCAGATGTTTCCAAATACATTCCAACGTTGAACGACGAAGCTTTCAAAAAATTAACGCAAAACTGTATTTCTTACCTTACTGAGAATGGAGAGATACACAACCTAAGTTCAATATCTGCTGCCAAAGGAGACATAGTCAAATACCTGTATGCCTTTTTGTTAACAATAACATCACAATTTGCAAGAAAGAGGAGTAGCAGTGAGGAAATTGTTAAGCACCTTTCTCACTATGGGATTCATTCTGCTAGAGCAGAATGGTATGCAGATCAATTTAGAAAACATGACAAGATGCTAACAGGTGTTTTACTAAATATTGGGACATATTTGCCTCACATAGTTGATATCAGGTGGAAGATGGCCTTTACTGGTACTTAACATCCATTATTCAGATTAATCATGGGATTTGAAACCTCACACCTTTAAGTTTTGACTTTTTACTAGAATAGTGACTCAGAATTGATTGCAACTGAATTAAGGGACTGTAAATTATTACTGTTGCCACTTTTACAAAATTCTGCATACAGTTATTATGTATATTTATTATTATTACAAAGGAAAGCCAAAATATTACAAATTTTAGCATGATTTATTGTTGCAATCTTTATGAGAAAACTATTTCTTACTGAATTCTGTTTTTTTTTTTAGTAAAAACATTGAAACTAGATGCTGTAGATGGACCAGTATTTATGATATTATTAGTAACACAAAAATATGACCTGGCAAAAGAAGAAACTGTAACAAAAGAGATTGCATTTAGGTGCACTGTGAATGAGTTACAAGACTTGGTTTTTAAGATTAAGGATGCTGTGCGACATTGTTCTGTTTTATCTAAGGGAATTCTTTAGTTTTAGTAGATTCATTATGCATAATCTATAAAGCTTGCCTAATAAAAGTTATTTTATTTGCTAATTGTGTCTTTTGCTGGTATGCCTTTTTTGAATTTAACAACACAAGCTGCTTGTGAGATATTAATGAAAACTTGTTTCTAATTGAATGGCCCATATATGCTACTGTGTGGAAGGTAGCATCGTTCACATGTCCGCCGCGGTTTTGCAGTGTTCTTTTTGTTTTCCTCTTTTTTTATGCACCATATACACTGAAAAGCAAATGCCACTGACGTCGTAATGTGTACGAGAGAGAAGCGCGGAAAGCGTGCAGTACGTGTGTTAGAAAGAGATAGAAGCACCTCGTTGCCTAGCAACCCGAATACGAGGTCATGGGCGCACTATTTTTAATATACATATTGGACGCTTCTGTCTCGTATGCATTACAACGTCAGCCAAATTTAAGCCTCACCATATGATTGATTTTCACCGTTCTGAACTGGCCATAAAAAAGTTGTACCTATGGAGAGATGGAAAACGAGTATTTACAAATGTTTTCTAAACTACTAATTTGCGAAGTAGATAACCTTATACAAAACTGTGCTTATTGATTGAGGGTGTATCATTTTGAAAAAATGAGTTTTGTCATTTTTTACAATTCAATTTTCATCCGATTTTGTTGACTTCCCTGTATTGCTATCAAATATCGAATGAAGTTCACTGATGTAGACCCCTTCTACAAGTAAACTGCTACATATCGTTAACAGATGAAAATATACGAAAAACGGATAGGATTTTATAAATCTGCATTTGTGATTTTTTTACCCAAAATTAAATATTTCTCAAAAACGGTTAGTTAGGTATCGGATGTTATACATAGAATATATTTAGAATCTTTGGAAGATTTCTAAAAGTGAAAAACACAGAGTGTTCCACTCAAAATAAGCAACTTGGTGTCTATTTCCGGTGCAACCGGAAGTGTCACCATATTGAAAATATTTTATCCGAATTCCTTATACCATAACCCCTAGTTTTTAGGTCTCGACATTGCCAACTCTCTGACTGTTGCCGTGGGATATGAGATTTTCTTTTTCGCTATTAAGAATTTCTGAGAATACGAAATCTTAGGAATAATTACAAGGGTTGTTGTGAGGTGATCATTCATTGGAGCGTTGATATCATGTTTAAAAATAAACAATTTTCTTTAAAAGGAAAATTGGTACCACATAACCAGTGTTGATGATGCTTGATTTGCGATATTAGTGGCAATATACGATGAGTAAATTTTTTATTCAAATATTAATTAGTTTTATATTATATCCCTCAAAGTAACTCCCTTTTGAAGTCACATAGCGCTGGATACGGTTCTTCCACTCCTTATAGCAGTGCTGGGACTCGGATCCTGGAATAGCCTTCAGCTGGTCTGTTACAGCCGTTTGAACGTTTTCCACTGTGGTCGACGTGATTTTTCAACTTTGGGAAGAGAGAAGTCACAAGGAATCAAGTCAGGTGAATAAGGAGGTTGAGGAGCCACATGAATGTCTTTGTTGGCCAAAGACTTTGCTTGATGTTTAGTCTCACACGAATGATTGTTTTTCAAGAACCTCCCGGTAAATGTGTTGATTGACCGTTTGGCCTCGAGGTAGAAACTCGCTTCCGTGAATATCCAAAAACAAATCAGTATGCATTTGATCTTCGACTTTGTCTTTATTGCTTTTTTTGAGTCGTATTCAGACACCCAAAACTCGTCACCAGGAATGACACGTTCTAGAAAATAGGGGCCATTTTCAATCGAATCCAAAAAGTCAAGGCATCTTTCCGATGATCTTGCTAAAGGTTTTTGGAACCATTTTTGGGTAGATTTCTCTCATCCCCAATTCATTGGTCAAAATCTGATGAACGGTGGTGTGAGTCAAATTTAACTATTCCCCGATCATTCTGTCAACCGATGATCTGAACACACAAGATCCCGGATTCTGCCGACATTGTAATCGGTTTTTGAAGATGAAGGCCTTCCACTACGTGGTTCATCTTCAATAAAATCTCTCCTTGCTAAAAATGCCTTAAACCATCTAAAAACCTTGGCTCTTGACAAAACACTATCTCCGTAGGCCTACTGAAGTTTAACAAGAGTTTCCATTACACTGTGCCCAAGTCTGAAACAAAACCTGATAGCACGCCGTTGCTTGAAATTGATGTCACTCATCAGAATACAATAGAAAAAGCTGTTTCAGAAAATAAATCGCTACGGACAACTAAATGACTCGAGCGAGTTCAAACTTGTACTGATCGCGGATCACATCTTCCCCTGTCTCCCCTCGAAGACCGGCGCCTACAGACATCGTATACGCCTCTATATGGTGGTATAATAAAATCAATAAGCTACTATTATTTTAATTGAACGATTTAATCCTAGCATATCGCATTTATCTAAGCAATATGTATAATAGGAAAAATAAATATATTTGGTTCAACGAATGTGCTACACGAAAAAAGAAGTTACAATATAAAAATAAACAAACAATCGTCAACTAACGCATAATAAGCTCATATCTATATGAAAATATTGTCCATATTACAATTGCTTTTACATGTTCCAAAAATCTTCAGACGATATTTTTTTACATATATTTCACTGCTTTGAGAACATTAACAAGTAAATCGTTTAAACTTGAATAAATAGATAATATGGAATGATCACGATTCTTAAAGCAAATTTGATGCTATGAGTCACAACAACACTATCTAACTTGCGAACATGTTCTGTTGACTAGCATCGTTCTCGAAGTCGCTCCATGCATTGTTCAGCTCCATGAAGATCAGCTTGGCAAGATTCTCGTTTTCAGTTCCCACTTGCTAGAACATAAGAAAGATCTCGAATAATATCTTTATTTATTTATTTAATGTCATTTTAACAATGACATCCGACAAAGACCATATACAAAAAATTATAAATACACATAAATATATAACACAACAATATAATTCCTCTTCATCAAGGACATCCTGATGACAGAAAGATGCACCTAGATGGTTCAAACCACCTGTATGTGCTTTCATCATCCGAACTTACAAATGAAAAGAAATTGCTATTTATTGGATTATAAAATACAATGAAAAAAACAATAATCAACCTCAATATCCCGAACAATAGTTCAATCATACTATGATACAAAAAATCATTAGAAAAACCTTTCAAATTGTGCAGTATTCTCAAAAATATATTCTCTGCAGCTGGTGCTGAATGTTTTAATATTTTTCAACTTTTTCAAGTGTTCTGGCAGAATGTTATAGATCTTTGGTCCTATATACGTTATGTATCTTATGTTTAGGTTATTGTTATTCTTGGGAATTCCTATTTGCCTGCCCACATTTGCACGAGTACAGTAGTTATGACTTACTTGTTTCTGTAGTTTTTCATGTCTATAAATAAAAGTAGATACTGTCATCACGTACAAGGATCTAATATTACACACATCCTTTGTAAAAAGTTTAATAGTGGGGAATCTTTTATCTTTCTTAAAAATAATTTTAATAATATATTTCTGAATAATAATGAGTTTATGTAGAGCATTGTGATAACCCCCCCCCCATACTAATATCCCATAGCTAATTATAGATTCAACAAATGCTTTATAAACTGTTATTAAATTTTTTTATCGAGAAAGTCACGCAGTAGATAAAATTTATGGATTAATTTTCTAACTCTATTCGATACATAATCAACATGCGGCTGCCACTTTAAATATTGGTCAATAATGATTCCAAGGTATTTAGTTTGAGACACTTCCTGAACAGAATAATTATCATCCAACATAATAGTGCTATAATTTGGTCTGTTTTTATTGGTCAACGAAAACGCAATATAGTTTGTCTTAGATAAATTCAATGTTAGTTTACTCTCTTGTAAAAAGTCCTTAACCATACCTAGACCATATACTGTTTTACACTTTACATCCTCCCAACTAGAACCTGCAAAGAGAAGTACAGTATCATCAGCATAAGAAATAGTTAAACCCCTCGTGTCCAGCTTTCACCTCCTATATTATGTCGGTTTGATATAGTTTGTTACATCCACATACTACGAGGTCTGTGAATTCAGTGATGAGACTAATTTTTTTATTTAAATATAATTACAATTTTATACTGTTACCCTCAAAATAAGTTAGCAGTGCTGGAACTACGATACTGGAATGGCCTTCAGCTGGTCGGGTAAAGCCGTTTGAATGTCTTCGATTGTCCCAAAATGAGTTCCCATTAGGTGATTTTTCAACAGGAAAAGAAAAAAGTCAAGCGAATAACGAGGTTGAGGAGCCACATGAATGTTTTTACAGGGCAAAAACTCGTTTTTTGACATTGCTGTGTGACAAATAGCAAGGTGTTGTTCTTGATCTGATGAACGGTGGTGTGAGTATGAAGCAAAACCTGATAGCACACCGTTGCTTGAAATTGATGTCGCTCATGTTTAGAACACAATAAGAAAAACTATTTTGCAAAAAAATCGCTACTGACAACCAAATACTCGAGCGAGTTCAAACTTGTACTGAAGGCGAATCACATGTTTTCTTGTCTCCCTTCTAAGCCCGGCGCCACCAGTGTTACCAGATCGAACGCAACGTTGCCAGTCTCACCACTTAATTTACAGACTTCGTATGAACGGGTAGTACAGTTTGTTGTACAAATTTTCATAGTAAAAAAAAGTCACAAACATTTTACTTTACTCTAAAATCATCGATGTCCAATTTTGCTCCCGCTAGGCGGTGCTTGTAAGTTTGGGACAGTGGCGTAGCTTATTGCTACCGGGCCCATGTCAAAGTTTGCTCCAAATGTGATTAACGATCCAAGATGGGCAAATGCTTGTTTGTTCAATTCCTCTGTCAGGAGGAGGGGAAATACTGCAACCGCGACAGAATATAATTTCAAATAATAGCTTTTTTATGATTTGCGATGAATACGTGAATTGATATCACTTATTTCTATCAGGTTGTCTCTCGGTCTGCTAGCACTATTTTACTCTTGTAATCGCAGAAACGGCTGCACCGATTTGGATTAAAGTTGGGGTGCAGCATGCATAGTAGATAATGCTACTTCATTTTTAAAATCTTTTTAATGACAGGGCAATATTATGAGTAAAAACAAATCAGCTTCAAATCGTTTCCAAGGTTTTGTTTTTGTATGTTTTTTAACCTTCAGGTTAGAACGTACTCAAAAACATTAATATACATATCAGATGAAAATGTAGACACTGCTTCAAAAATGCTTATTCCTGACTTGGTAAAAATCATAAATTGGTTAAATGTAAATAAACTAAAATTGAGTACTTCTAAAACAAAATGTATGCTAATAGGTAAATACCAAAATGAAGATACTATCACAGTTAGGATAAATGGTGAAATAATTGAAAATGTTGAATCAATTAAATATTTAGGTATATATATTGATGGTAAACTAAAGTTTGAGGATCATCACTATGAATACATTATTTCAAAAATTGCCAAAAAAACAAATTACTTTTATAGAGATTCTCATAGTCTTGGTACATATTCCAAGATAATAGTTTATAATACAATTATTCTATCGCATTTACTATGTTGTTCAACTATCTTGTTCACTGCTAATGAAGCTGTAAGCTCAAAATTACAAGTCCTGCAAAATAAGCTATGAGAATAATATTGAATAAAAATAAGTACATCAAAATAAAATTTACGTTACAAGAATTGCTGTGATTGAATATAAAAATTATAGTAATATAACTAGCAAATCAATATTACAGAAACGATTACTTGAATTTTATAAACTAAATAATGATAAAAAGTCTACTTGTAATTTAAAGATGTTTAAAAGAAAATTAAAGGAATATTTCATGGACAGTGAAAATTTTTAGAGATGCAAATTTTGTTTTTTAGAAGAATGTAATTGTAGCAATCTTGCTAAATCAATCTTAAACAATCTAACAAAATATAAACACCAACCTTATCAGGATGAACAGCCAAACAAGCCTTCCTATAAGCTTTCTTAACATCAGCTGCCGTGACCAACTGATGCATTTCGCATTTCTGCCACTTCCCTCCTTCCCATAAAACAGTATGCATGGAACAAAGAAGGGCACGAATGTTGTTCTTCTTTCCCTCTCTCCATTCCATGACTTTCATCGTCTCCGGATCCATGTAGGTGGACATCTCCTCTTTCCGCATTTCGTTGATACTTCTAGGGAGATTGTCTTTCTTTCCGGTGAAGGTGTAGCCCTGCTGGCCGAGGAGATCACCGAATACGTCATCCGACTTCGGTTTCGATTGTTGCGCGGTTGAATTGTTCGTTTGAGGCCTAATAACAAACCAAGACCAAACAAATTTATTCACAATTACAACCAGGAATTACAGTGACTCATTTAAGTAATAAGTGTAATTGCAAAAAAGGCCAACATACAGAAAAAGCTGATAGAAGTGCTGATCCAATTGAGACAAAAATGAAGATCATTATGCAGTGAGAATTATAAGTGAAGTTGCTTGAGGAAAAAATATAAATAGTTGAGATTAAATAGTGTAGACCAAAAGTAGAAAATCATTGACGGAGTATGCTAATTAATATATGCGTACATCATTTTATTTTTCAGTTTGTAGTAGATACTTTTTGTAGCTGACTGAATGAAATGGAAGCTAGGAAAATAGCATAATATATTCTATAACGTTTAGATGTAAATGATCAGCGAATATTTAAATTATAGACGTCATTACTAAATTTTATATTATTCCATAAATATGGAGACGTTTTGGTAGTAACATTTCCATGGAATAATGTTGCTCATTGAAGTTTTCTTCTTGAAGCCTTATTGAGCCAACTAACTGCATCTAGCTTGTGTGATACAATGTTAAACTTGCGGATGCCGAATATGAACCTGAAATACGACTTTTGGATCTTCTGAATTCGTCACACCAGAAAATTTGTGATCAACTAGGGACATAAAATTTCTCACCTGTTAACTGCATCGAAATGAGATCTACTGTAATCGGGTCCTGAGGATGGTGACTTGGCCTGATGTTTCGGGGTGGTAGGACCATGTATTGGAGTTGTTGGTGGTCCTTCCCTATTATTTGGCGATTGAGAACCAGAAGGGAAAGTCGTAGAAGTTTTCGGAATGCTGCTATTTAGATTCTGACTACTGCTACTGCTTCCCAGGCTCCCTGAAACAAGTCATATTTATGTTTCAAATAAAGTCTGCAATGTAGCTACTAATAGAATTTTTAGACAGTTATTATGCAAAGAGGGGAATGTGGAAGGAGCCCCTATTTATAATAAGGCCTTGGGGAAAAAAAAGTAGACAACTGATGCTTAGAAGCCAGCAAAAAGTGGTGATGTGCGTGGTCTGCACCTAAAGAACGGTGCCGCCCGATGCATTACTGGTGGTGGCTGGTATTTCGCCAATTGATTTGCTGGCTGATGAGAGATGTACAATCTATAAAAACAGCGCCGAAGCTAGAAGCGAAGAAAGAGGGGCGCTTTTTGTCAGATGGCAGGAAAAATGGGATGCAACATATAGATGGCCATGGTGCATGGACTAGAAGGCTGATCCCAGATACTAAAACTTGGATTGACAAGGGAGCGGTGCGGATAGATTTCTGTACTGCAAAGTTCCTCCCAGGATATGATTGGTTTGACAGCTACCTAAGAGGGAAGGGAAGAGGGAGTACGCCAACTTCGTATCTTGCGACGTAGAGGAAGGACACTCCCAATCATCTACCAGAGATAGCTGAAACTGGCTGCTGACAATTTTTCCAGACATGTAAGCAAGGGCGAATGGGTTTGAGATTCAACCAATCGTGAGTCGAATGATGTTGAGCCAGGTGCAGGAGGACAAAAATAGACCAAGGAACCAACAAAAGGTTTCTACTTGCAGGTTGTGCAAGTACATGAGAACATATGTATATGCAAAAAAATGCTTAAGCACCCTATTCAAAATCAAACAGATAGAAAGCTGCAATGAAATCTTCATCAGTAAAAAAAAACTAACTGTTGTTTCTCTATATATATTGGACGCTTTTATGTTTGTTTTTAAAAACAGAGATCTGTTATCTTAGATAGGTGTAAGTTTAGTTTTATACAGAAAAATGCTCCACATATTGTTAAAACAAATTTCAATAGTTTTCATTTAAATGTTTGTAATTTACCGGAAATCAAAGTCAAAAAGATTATCGCGAATTATTTAATCTCCAAGGCATTTTACTCATTGAATGATTTTTTTTTGAGGATAAGGGTAGACTTCCTCTAGAGTTAATTTAGAATATTTTGTTCTGCAGTGAATTATATCATTGTTGCTTCTATACATATTTTTATTGATAACGTTGGCTATATGGATAATTGTTGTAATTAAATACAGGGTGTAAACGTTATGGTAGTCATTACTGAAATGGATAATAGGGGGGCCAGATCAAGTCAAAAAGTTCATATGACCCATGGTCCAAAAGTCAATAGATTTTTGTCTAAATGGCTTTATAGTTTACAATTTTAAGTGCTTTATATCGACCACAATCACCACAATCTTACTAATTTTTATAATCTAATCTACAACGTTTTTAATTTGGGTAATTAATAAATAGATGTGTTTGTGTGTTTATTTACAATGTTCTCGAATCAACACTTCGCCGACATGTTGTTAGTTTACGGTGAGGCTCGTCAGAATTCAAATGTTGCAGTTCAAATTTATCGCGACACATTTCGCCAACAGGTACACCCAGACAGAAGGACATTTGTGCAAGTGTACCAAAGACTTCGAGATACAGGAAGTGTTCAGCCCACTAATATATTCGCACTCGTGAAAGACAGGTTACTGTATATCAGGAGGATCAAATTTTAAATATCGTGGAAATCAATGCAGATATCAGCACTCGGGAATTAGGCCGCCGCGGAGGACTATCGCATACCATAGTCCATAGAATCCTACGGAAAAATTTGCTTTATCCCTACCATGTACAAAGAGTGCAGGCCTTGTTTCGAGAAGACTATCCTCGCAGACTAACATTCTGTCAGAGGTTTTTGAACAAAAATATTGAAAATCCGGATTTTTTTAAAAACATTCTAGCGACGGACGAATGTACTTTTATGCGAGACGGGATATTAAATTTGCATAATATGTACTCACATGCGGGCTCAAGAAAATCCTCATACCATTCGTGAACGTCATTTACAACAACGTTTTAAAATCAATATTTGGGCGGGTATTCTTGACGATCAGGTAATTGGCCCTTTCGAGTCACCCCCAAAGTTGTCAGGAGAAGGACACCTTAGCTTTCTAGCCAATAACCTACCAGAACTTTTGAAACAGACCTTAGACAACATGCTATCACAACGGAGACAGAATTTGTGGTTTCTTCATGACGGGGCACCACCACACATTTTTAGAGGCGTCAGTCAATATTTGAATGAACATTATCCAAATCGCTGGATCGGTCGAAATGCTCCTGATCCTCCAAAATGGCTAGCAAGATCTCCTGACCTCAATCCGATGGATTTCTGGTATTGGGGAGAACTTAAAGGGATGGTTTATGGGGCTGGTCCAATAACAACTGAAGCACAACTTGGCGAAAAAAAATTTAAAGACCTAGAGTAAGAAGAAACTGGGTTCGTCGTAATGAAGCTTGTGTGGAAAGTGGAGGACGATATTTTGAACGCCTTCTTCAAATACAAAAAAAGTGCAGTGTGGGTTTTAAAAAGAAAAACAATGTATGTATCAAAATTGTGTTCCCTATTTATAAGTGGATTTTTTTAATACGTTCAATAAACTTTCACACACCATGTGGAGCGCTGAGACAGTTAGTGGTAAGTCCGTTTTTTTAATTGTTTGCATTTTACGAGTACATTATCAAATAATGAAATAATACCTAAGAGCCAAAAATAATCAACTCCATCATTATTTACACTACGTTCCGTCATAATTTGCGTCTGGCATTGCCGCGTTATCAGATTTTATTTTACTTTAATGTCGCTTTCCTCTAAAAAATGCCGTTTTGACCTCCATGTTATATGAAACTTTTTGCTTTTAACCCCCTCTATCACCAATTCAAATAATGACTATCATAACGTTTACATCCTGTATATTGTTCTTGTTTATGATTGTGAAGGCACATGAATTCCTAGCAGTTTATAAAAATCTTTGTAATTGTACAATTCTTTTATAATTAATTTTAGCTAGCTAGTATACTTTGTTTATCTATGCTCTATGCCTCAGCGTATGAATAAATCTATCTAAAAAATTGTAATAGTAATATAACTAGCAAATCAATATTTCAGAAGGGATCACTCGAATTTAATAAGCTAAATAATGATACATAGTCTACTTGTAATTTAAGGTTGTTTAAAATAAAATTAATGAACATGAATAGTGAACATTCTTAGAGATGCAAGTTTTGATATTGATATTTATACGTTATGTAATTGTTGCAGTTTTTGGAAAAAGAATGTAATTGTTGCAATCATGCTACATAAATCTTGAACAAACAAAATGTGTCAAGTCGACTCACCCAAATCGGCAAACGGATCCGTACTCTGTTGCGCCTTCTGCGGCTGCTGTTCCTGCTGTGCCTGTTTCGGCGCCGCCCATCCGCCCAATAGACTAGCCCCATCTTCACTGCCGCCCAGTGGCCCAAACGGATCGAAGGTGTTCGCCATCGGCGCAGCAGCTGGTTTGGGACCGGCGGGTGGATTCGGCGCACGGAAGTCGCCCAGGCCACTCAGCAAATCAAAGTTGGTACTTGGTGAGGGTTTCCCGTCACTTGTGCCTTGGTTCGTTCCGGGAGGCATCGAGTTCAGGTTTAGGAGGTCTACGGATTCTTCGAGTGTTCGGGATGATGCGACGGGAGCTGCAGTTGGCTGGAAGCGATCAAGGCATATGCTATAAAAATGGTGTCGACAGTGTTAGTGTTGTCTTTTTTTATACTTAAACCGCCTCGAAGGCCTAAGCGCCCATAGGTACCGTGGGACTATAGGGGAGTACAGGGGAAAGGGGGAACGCCATACGGACGCTAGCAAGGGAACACGTGTGTATCCAACATGCAAAATTTAATAAATAATTCTGGGTGTTGCATTTTATATATCACTTAGTATAATTGTCACACCAGTTGGTAACTGAGAATTGGAGAAGAGCCATACTCAGAAGAAGTTGTCATAGCAGTATTTTTGGATTTGAAGAGGGCATTTGAAACGATTGATAGAGATATTTTGTTAGGTAAATTGAAGGCATATGGTATAACAGGAAGTGTTTTAGATTGGTTTAGAAATTATTTGTCTAAAAGGATGCAAGTTACAAAAGTTAATGACACTATTTCATCAAAAATTGAAAATACGTTGGGTGTTCCACAGGGCAGTATCCTGGGACCACTTCTTTTTATTTTATACATAAATGATTTACCTGCCATAGTCAAAAAATGCAAAATTCAAATTTTCGCCGATGACACTATGATCTATATAAGTACTAAAAATATTCAGTCTGGTATCTCTTATATAAATGAAGACTTGAAGCTTGTCTCAAAATGGTTAGCATCTAACAGACTAAAATTAAATGCAAGTAAAACGAAAGCCTTGTTAATCGGAAAAAAACAATGTACAAATGTTCAACTGAATATTGATGGTGAAGATATTGAATTCGTAGAAAATTTTAAATACCTGGGAGTTTTTGTTGACTCTCGATTAATTTTTGATATTCATTATGAAAAAGTTATAAATAAGATTAGTAGTAAAGTGGGATATTTATCGAGAGTTTCTGGATGTCTGAGTTCATATAGCAGAAAAATTATCTATAATACCATCATTCTTCCAAATTTCTTGTACTGTTCGACTATTCTATATTTAGCAAATAATTCCATTTTTGAAAGACTGCAAATTTTACAAAATAAGTGCATGAGAATAATACTAAATAAAGATAAATATACTCCAATTAGGCAAATGCTTAGCAAATTAAAATGGCTCAATGTAAAAATTTTTATCAAATATCTTGTAATGATATTCATTTATAAAGTAAAAAATAATATATTTCCATCAAGTCTAACTAATTTAACATCATCAAATGTCGACCATCATTTACATAATACCAGAAATAAAGATGACTTCCATTTAATGACCAAAAAGTATAACATATGCTACAAATCTGTATTCCATCAAGGGTTGATTGAATATAATAAATTATACTCGGAGATAAAAGACCAGAAAACTTTGACAAAATTTAAAGTAAAATTGAGAAATCACTTGTTAAATCTACAATTATAGGTTGCCCAGCATTTACATCGTACACCATATGGCTTGAATTTACTAGTTCTAAGTTGTTTACAATTGTTCTGTTTATGTAACCAAATGTGCTAAATAAATCTTTCTACTACTACTACATATTTTAATTGCTTGTATATCACTGTCAAGTTTTGTCGTAATTTTATTTGTATCTGTATCTTGTTAAAGTTGATAAAGTCTAAGTAGAGTATACTGTAAAAACTTACCATTTCATTTTCGGAACCGCTGTCAGAGTCCTCATGCTCCAGTTGAGCAATGACTGGCGGAGCAGGACGACTGGGTCGTCTGGGTCTTTCTACAGGTATAGGTTCGGGTGGATTCTGAACAGGTTTCGTACTTGCTAAAAACACATACAGTATTGTCTATTCAAAGTTATTCAAACCTTATTACCTCAGCGTCAAAACAAACTTGGGCACACGAACGAGTCTTTTATTCATTCGTCGCTGCCTGTCCAGGCAATCATGGGCCGATGGCCAGTAGGTGCGCGCGAATTTAAACGTCGCATGATAGCGTGGACAAGTGGGATTTGGCGCGTCTAAACGGGCAATATTTTTACTGATTATCTAGCCAGCAATACATAGAAGTATTTTTAGTATCGTCCAGCTATATTGCTACAGATATTTGACATTTCTCACCTACAGTAATGGACAAAAGTATATAGACACATTAATATTGTGCTGTATTTCTTTTTTAACTTATTTTATTAATACACCAACCTGTATACATAATTCGTTATAACATAATACTCACTTATACATAAATAAATTCATTAGAATCCCTTCAATAAAAAATTAATTGAAAAAAACTGGAACTATGAAGGACAAAAATATATAGACAAAGCAAAACAATTATAGAAAAAAGAAGCAAAGTTCATTGAATTATAGAAAACCAACCATGTTTGTGTTAATATTTTGTAGCATAACCATTGTTATCAATCACCGCCTGGCATCGTCTCGGCATAGATTGTAGAAGTTTCTTGATATAAGATTCATCAGTCTGTCTCCACTTTTGCTGTAAAGTTCATCCTTGTTTGAATAATTTTTATCTCGTATTTGCTTATCTAAGTATTTCCATAGATTTTCAATGGGATTTATATCGGGAGACTGTGAAAGCCCTTTTTGAGGACTGGTATTTTTTCATCCAGAAAGAATTTATTTGCGAGATTCGAAGTATGCTTCGGGTCATCATCTTGCTGGAAGATTGATCTTAAGGGCATATTGTTTTCCATATAGGGTAACAGGTCATGCTTTAGTATGTCTGTGTATACAAACTTATCCATAATGCCATCTATTCTACGTAAAGGTCCCATCCAAAACCCCGAAAAGCACCTCCAAACCATAACAGACCCGCCTCCATGTTTGGCAGTGGGCAAAGTGTACTTGCGGTTCAATCTTTGTCCACTAGGACGTCTAACGTAATGAGCACCATCTGATCCAAACATATTGAACTTGGATTCGTCACTGAAACATACTTTCTTCCAGTCACAGATGCTCTAATCAAGATGCAACCGTGCAAATTGTAATCGGTCCTTACGGTTTTTCCCAGAGATTAGCGGCTTCTTTTTCGGGCGACGTGCAAATAACTTCAAAACATTTAATCTTCTACTAATAGTTTTCGTAGAAACACTGACAATTCCTTTTGTCTCGATTTCGGCTTTTATTTGTCTTGGGGTTTTAAACGGATGTTTGGACGAAATTACTTTTATTAATCTAACTGATCTAGCATTTAGTTTTCTAGGCAGACCACTTCTTTTAGAGGCTTTCAAGATACCTTTTTGTTTATATTTGTTCAATATTGCCCAAACTGCTTTACGCTTCAGCTTCCAATTTTTGGCAATGTCGACTTGACCTTGACCATCTTTGTATAACTGAATATTAGTTTTCACATCGAAAGAAATTTCTGGACGACGCGGCATGGTCTTAAAATCACTCAACTTATTCCACAATACTTGATGAACACAAACTAATCCTCTTCTGACACGAAACAGTACAAAACTAATGTTGAAAACAATTTGTCTACATATTTTTGTCCCTCATAAAAAAGTGCTTATATTGAGAATTTTATGGTGTTCATTGCAGATAATGTAAAAACAAGGAATTTTGTTTTTCTACTAATAACGCATTTGCTTATGGAGCAATGAAGTATGAATTCGTTTTCTAAAGGTATTTAGGTAAATATTCATATTTATCTATATACTTTTGTCAAACCATAGGAATCCTGCTTAATGATATGTAATATAAGTAATGTAAGCTGCGGCGATGTGCATAATTTTGTCAGCGATTCTTGCCTGTTTTTGTAGCGCTTTTGATGAGAAATTATGACAAGTATTTATATGTGTCTACAAATTACAGACAATATTATGGTGATATAGCTGATATAACCGAGATACATATATATATATATATATATATATATATATATATATATATATATAGGTGAAAAATTAAAGCTTCCGCCTTTTGTTGGGTACTTCGACAAAATTTAAGTAAAGAGGACTCTTTATACTTTTTTTAATTCCCTCTAGCTTTCAATGGACTTTGCCATCATAATCAGGAGAGTAGTATGTGAGGATGTTGCTAATTGTTGTTTACGTATAGGATGAGGGAAACGTCCAGTAACATGGTGAGAGCTGGATACATGGTACAATGGTCAAAATTATATAAAATATGACAAGACAAGTTAAAAACAGATTAAAAATTATTTAAAAAAAAAATTTAGAGCATTACGTCGTGAAGCCACTTGATGATTGCTTAAATTTTGTCGAAGTACCCAACAAAAGGCGGAAGCTTTAATTTTTCACCTAACTGGTCTAGACGACAATGACCACGTCTCAAGTTATATATATATATATATATATATATATATTACTCAAAAAATATTGCTCTTTTAGATGCTTCATTAAGTACGTATTTTATAAAGGCAAATTAAGAGAAATGCCAATTTCAAGTTATCAGCAATGTACTGGATCCTGGACAGGTATTTACGTCCTCAAAAACGGATTGTCAGAAATATCATATTTTCCCAGAACTGGGGTACGTTACGCACTTTTGAAAACGTGAAAATTTACCATAGATTGTGTTGTTCATTCATGCATATCCGTCTGCCCATCCAAGAACCATTTAACCACTTAAAGACTGAATAGATGTATTATCTCCCTATAAACATCCTCAATTAGAGAAGCAAGCTTACGTAGAATCATTTATTTTTTAAATAATATAATTGATTTTAAACAAAAATTATAGTAGAGTGCTGCCTGATTAATGAAAAATAAAGTCGCTCTAGCTTACCAAAATTGTCTATAGTTTCATCTTTTTCCAGCTGTGTTGAGAATACTGTATCAACGGACCTAATGGTTTTATCAGTCGTCCATGGAGGCGGTTGTGAAGGCTTTCGTTCCGTATCCATCACAAAAACGTTGAGATTAACGGAGAATCTATCTTGATAATGATCCGAACTTTCGGATAAGTCATCTAGTTCCGATCTAAAATATATTAAACAATAAATACGAACCAAACTATATGTTTTACCGGTAAGAATTTATTCGCACAAGGTGCTCGTGTTAAATGACAAATGATCAGCTGTTAGATAAGGGTTTTTATTAAGTTTTTGAATGTTTATTTCCTATTCTCTTCCTGTTGTGAAAACTGCATAAACGCAAAAAACGAATCGTGGAACTGAAGGTAAAGAACCCGGCACCGCGAGAGTCTTTTACCTTTCAATTACTGACGGGGATCCCAACCAATGTCCCATTAGCTCAGATTATAATGCATCATTCAGTGAGTTTAGACCAATATTAATCGTCTCAAGAAGATTATATCAAGAATTAAATCTAATCAAAATAAGAGTGAGATTTTGTCTAAAAGTGTGCTTAATGAATGTTTTGATATTATTGGAGCAAGAATATTAATCATGATAAATTACTATTTGAAATATGGCGAATTTCCAACAAAACTCCAACTTCCAACTCCCTGGTTTTAAAGTTAAGAATTCCGAGTTGTACACCAATTTGCGGCCAATAAATGTTCTGCCAGATGTTGAAATAGTTTTTGAAGAAATTATTTACGAACAGATCATCGAATTTATTGAGGGAAATAACATTTTAAAAAAAATTCAAGTTGGATTCAGGAAGAAACACTCAACTGAAACGGCAACACAAATGGTTTTAGAGGGCGCTTGAGACTATTGACAGGGATAAATTACTTACAAAATTGCATCACTAGGGATTTAAAGAATCTGTATTCAAAATTCTACAAAACTATTTAATTGACAGAAGTCAAAAAACCAAAATTGGATTTACATTATCAAGATCAAAAAATATTTCTGTTGGTATACCACAAGGTAGTAAACTAGGTCCACTACTAATCATTTTATAACATTAATGACATTCGTAATATTTTAGATTATTGTAAACTTCAGATATTCGCAGATGATGCATTAATATACATATCAGATGAAAATATAGACACTGCTTTAAAAATGCTAAATTCTGAATTGGCAAAAATCGTAAATAAACTAAAATTGAATACTTCTAAAACAAAATGTTAGGATAAATGGAGAAATAATTGAAAATGTTGAATCAATTAAATATTTAGGTATATATATATATATATATATATATATATATATATATATATATATATATTTTGATAGTAAACTATAGTTTGGGCATCACTATGAATACATTATTTCAAATTTGCCAAAAAAAAACAAATCACTTTTATAGGGCTTCTCATAGTCTGGGTACCTATACCAAGAAAATAGTTTATAATACAATTATTCTACCGCATTTACTATACTGTTGAACTATCTTGTTCACTGCCAATGACGCTGTATTCTCAAAATTACAAGTCATGCAAAATAAAGCTATGAGAATAATATTGAATGAAAATAGGTACACCAAAATAAAATCCATGTTACAAGAATTGCAGTGGTTGAATATGAAAATTGAATCTCATATTTGGTTCTTATTTTTATATTTAAAATAAAAAATCATCTTTTGCCAGAACCTTTAGAACATTAGATAGAATTGAATACTCATTACCACAATTATTATACAAGAGGAAATATAGATTTTCATTTACAAAATTGCAATAGTAATATAACTAGCAAATCAATATATCAGAAAGGATTACTTGAATTTAATAAACTAAATAATGATATAAAGTCTACTTGTGATTTAAAGATATTTAAAAAAATTTTTAGAGATGCAAATTTTGTTTTTTTTTTCTGAATGTCTGTATGATATGTAATTGTTTAGTTTTTTAGAAGAATGTAATTGTAGCAATCATGCTAAATAAATCTTAAACACACAAACAAACTATAGGCTAATAGGAAGTCCTCTAAAATCACTTGTATTGCCATTTCAGTTGAGTGTTTTTTCCTGAATCCAGCTTGAAATTTGGGTAAAATTTCCTTTCTCTCGATAAATTAGTAAATAATTTCTTCAAAGGCTTTTTTAACATCTGGCAGAACATTTATTGGCCGCATATTGGTATATAACTCAGAATTCTCAACTTTCGAGGTAAATGTCAAAAGAGGTTTTGTTAACGTTTACGCATGCGGTATTTCCGATTGCTAAAACGCTCTATTGTTTCGTTTCTGCTTACTTATTGAAGCGTAAACATGTCTCCTCCTCAGGAATATATCCAGTATGCAGTTGTATCTGACATATTTTGATCCCGGTAGCCTTCCCTTGGCTCATAACGCCTCCCAAAACGTTCCTAGCGTGATATATTATTATACAGACGTCACCGCACACTGAAACGTTGATCGGAAGCAGGCACTGCAAGATAAAATATTTTTTGAAAAAATTAACACATGACAATTGAAGCCCATACACGCTCGTTCCTACGTGTGGGAAAAAATGCTCAGAAAAAATTATAAGATGCCGTCAGGGCTTTGCCGATACGAAGTACTAGTAATAGTGGGAAGGCGGTTAAAGAAGTGATATTTTCCTTCCAAAAAGTTTCATACTCTTTGAAGTTATATTAGAGGAACTGAATTGTTCTAATGAATAATCGTGTATGGGCTGCAATGATGACGACGAATCTATACCACATACCTTTCCCTCTGCAATATTATATAATCTCATCCTTTCATAGTCTTGTAAGGTAGATAAAACGCATTTGTTCTCACTAAATACTTCAACATAGGGCCGACATCCGTCACTGTAAGAAACTTACATTTAGGAAAACTTTATTAAAAAACAAAAATTATGTGCATTAATCCTTCCTGCTGAAAATGGTTCTTGCTTTATTGGAAAACAAGAAACAATCGCAAAGAAGCATCGAGTATATCAAAAGTTTGAGATTGAAATTAAATGATGTTTTTAACACAAACTTCACGTAAAAAGCAACAGTAAATTAACCTAGAGATTAATTAATCATAGATATTTTTTCTTACCGTATTTTCGTGAAGAGTGGTACAGGCTGCATTTGCAATGACACCAACGTGACAGACTTATAGTGCGGATATACTGGCGGGTTAGAAACAATATCTGCCAAATAGTAAAGATACCTAAGCTCAGATGGTCGCATGTTAGGCGGACACCTTTTTACTGCGAACATCTGAAGAGCATCTTCTGGTACTCGAAAAACTCCTGCGTAGATCAACAGCCCACATACCATTGTTGCTGAAGTCGCCTTACCATCCTAAAAGGATAATAATAATCAAAATAATATTTACTAATTATAAAAGGAAAAGGAAAATATCCTTATGCGTGCGTCTCGTTGCAACACATAATATAGTAGTAACAATATATGGTCTATGGGATTGGTAAACACTAGTAAAAATAACTACAATATAAATATAATACAGTTATTTTGTATTGTAGATCAGTAATACGGAAGAGATAGATATTTAAATGTCATAATTTTCATAAATGACATCATGATCGTGTCTGAATTCAATAGCCATGTAGATCTTTTCTTAATAATGATGTTCAGTTTTTTCTTATATTTGTTGGTATGTTATGATATAATATTGGACCTAAGTATATAAATTGCCACTGGACGAAGAAGTATTGTAAACATTTCAAAAATGAGATATGTTTTTTGCACATCACGATAAACCATGTCACCCATTTTCTTCTGTGTGTCTGTCTGTCGGTCCACAAGTCTTTGGACCGCCTATAACTTGGAAAGTAAAGGGTGTTCAGATAGGGACGCTCGATGTTTGAACGGCGCGCGCGCCCAAACCGGTGGGGATACAGCTGTCAAATTTTGTGAGGTTATTAAGTTAGTCTTGACATTTAATCATGGAGCAGTACACGATTCAACAACGCGTGGAAATTGTGAAAATTTATCATCAAAACAGATGTTCGGTTCGTGAAACGTTCCGCGCATTGCGTCCAATTTATGGTGCGCATGGCCGTCCTGCTGAGTCCACTATTCGACGTCTGCTCAATAAATTTGAGAGAACTGGCTCAGTGGCAGACCAAACAACACCCGTACGGCAACGAACAGTAAGAACAATCGAGAATATTGCTGCTGTGCGAGAGAGCGTGCGTCAAGACTCGAATCAGTCATTGCGGCGACGTGCACAAGAACTTGCCCTTCCAAAGACCTCAACATGGACAATTATGCGTCGAGACTTGAAATTGCACGCGTACAAAATTCAATTGACGCAAGAATTGAAACCGCAAGACCATGGACAGCGCCGTACATTTGCCGCATGGGCTCTAGAGCAGTTGCAAGTCGACCCTGCATTTGCACGAAAAATCATCTTCAGCGACGAGGCGCATTTCTGGATGAATGGGTATGTCAATAAACAGAATTGCCGTATATGGGCTGACCAAAATCCTGAAGTGACTTGCTCAATTGCTATGCATCCTGCTAAAGTGACTGTATGGTGCGGTTTCTGGGCTGGCGGCGTAATCGGTCCATATTTTTTTGAGGATGCAATGGGCAACGCGCTTACGGTCAATGAAGATCGGTATCGCGCCATGATTAATGATTTTCTGTGGCCTCAACTAGACGATATGGATCTAACAGACATCTGGTTCCAGCAGGACGGCGCTACGTGCCACACCGCACGCGCAACGCTGGATTTACTGCATGAAAAGTTCAACGGTTTCATTATTTCGCGCGGCGGCGATGTGCACTGGCCACCAAGATCGTGCGGTATAACGCCTTTAGACTTTTTCCTGTGGGGCTACGTGAAGTCTCAAGTGTACGCGGATAAGCCACAAACAATTGCAGCATTAAGGGCCAACATCATTCGCGTCCTCGGACAGGTAGACGCTGAAATGTGCGGAAAAGTGCTCGAAAATTGGACCATGCGAATGCACGCTGTACAGCGCAGTCGCGGTGGCCATTTAAACGATATAATCTTCCATACATAATGTCGTCGAATGCTATTTAAGATCAATATAGACTTTTAGTGCTGACTTAAATTTTTTTCCTTTTCTTTCCATTTTAACTTTCGAGCGTCCTTATCTGAACACCCTTTACTCCCCGGATTTGGTTGAAATTTTCACACAAGGCCGGGACGAAAAAGCTTAAATTTTGAAAATCGGTACAGTGACGGCAGAGTTAGGGGCATAAACACGAAAAGATACATATCGCTCAAACTTTTATGACGTTTCAGAGGCTCCTGAACATTTTCAGAAACAAATTTGCAGGGGTTAAAAATTTGATGTTGAGAGTTATAGGATGTGGGCCCTTAAAAATCCCGGACAACTCAACGAGCGCGCGCCTCTCTGCTTTGAATGGCTAGAGATGAATCTCTTATGAATTGATGACAGCAATACGAAGGAAGCGCAGGGTCAACCTACTCGACAACATTTTTTTGGTGTTGCAATAATTATTTATTTCTAGTATCATATATAAAAACAACACTTTTGCGTAAACAAAATGAAGAGTACAGTCGGACCCATTACTAGCCTTCCTGCTATTACCAGATTGATTGTTGCATTTGAAGAGGTTAATTATTTTTTTTTTGTATTGATTGTTTTTATGAAATTCCAATATAACGTTATATCAAAGTAATTTTTTATATTCAATAGTTATAAACAGCGATTCAGAGGGATAAAGGTTGGTTGTGCATTGTTTTTATGAATAATTTCTCTATTATCGTATGATGGTCATTATCACATACAGCCGAAATATCAGTGAAGTGCGTTTTATAAGCTAGATTAAATTATTGATCGGCTTAGATGTGATAAGAGTTCAACATTTCATGGTTATAGCGAATCAAAAAACTGTAAGATTTTCATGTTATGTTAAAAAAATGTTAATTACCGTGCAGTGTATCACAGCCACATTTCTGCTATCACCCGCCAAATATTGATAAATATCTTCGCTTATTTGATACAAAGAATTGAGTAAGGGTGCTCTGAAGTGTTCAGGATAAGCGAATGAACAATCTACCACTCTGGCTTGACCAAATCGGGAGTGGTAGGGCCTTCTAGATAAATTATACACTGAGTACCTAAAAACAAAATATTACAAACCACGTATAGTAACAAAATGGAAGAGAACAGAATAACCAACGTACACCACTGCTCGTATCCGAGTATATTCGTTTTATGTCGTACAAAAAATTGCAAATTAATGTTTGACATATTTACGACTTTATAAAAGTTGAGCACACTTAAAAAAACTAAAATTAATGTATGTTACCTGGAATTGGGATGCCGGGAATCTAAGAACATCTTGACGTCTTCTATATGATTAGTTTTATAGGTAGATTCAAACCCCTCTGAAGGAAAAGGTATCACTATAATACGAGATGTGATATATGATATATCTAAATCTGTCCTGGCCATACTCCTGAAAAAAAAAATGTGGAAAAACTAGTATCCTATACAATAAATTCAAAAATTAACCTCTTCCTTGTACCCCCCTATTGTCCCACAATACCCACAGCTTAAGCCTGCGTGGCCAGTTTATTGTTGCATAACTTTAAGATTCGATAGAACTTTTAAAATTAATGCATAAAGTCTATATAAACATGGGTCGAAAAATGCGTGACTTCCGAAATACAGGGTGTTTAAATTTACTTTTTAAAATAGTTTTTTTTAAATGTTTCGAACAATATTTGATGTATAACAGTGAAAATTGGAATACAAGGGTTTTTTGGTAGGACAAAACGAACCATGGGCATAGTTTTACTGTAGCCGCTAGAGGGCGATCTCTTTCTTAGTGCAATTTTTTGCTTTTTGAATAAAAAAACTGATTCTTCGCACTTTTCTGCATAAAAAAGCTCTCCTGTGAGTTTTCGTTATAGTTAGCCGTTTTTGAGATATTTCGTTTTTCAAGGTTCGATGCATTTTTAATTATTTATGGAAAAATAATATTTTCTTTACATTTTCGATTTGGGCATTACAAGTAATTAAGATGATCGTTTAGATTGTGGTTTTAAACACAGCAATAATTCCTAACTCCAAATAAACACAAAAAAACAGAATATTAATTTGTTTAATTTTCCAATATTATTTTTAACAAATTAAATTAATTATTTACAACTAAAATGCTATTGGATAGTTAGGACAAACATACAAAATCTAAAGTAGTTGCTCGAAATGTAAACCCAATTGTTCAATACACATCTATGAATGATCGAACGTGGTATAGCATTATTCAAATAAGGCCCTATTTCATCACATGCATTCCTGATTCTGTCTATTAGCATATCTCTTGTGGTTACGGGAGTCTGGTACACTTTTTCTTTTAGAAATCCCCACACAAAGAAATCTAATGGATTTAGGTCAGGGGATCGTGGAGGCCAGGCGACTGATCCTCCACGGCCGATCCATCTTTCTGGATAATTTTCGTCCAGCCAGTTTCTAACTATTCTCGAATAATGAGCTGGACAACCATCAAGCTGGAACCAGGCCAATCTTCTTAAATCTAACATAACATCATCCCACATACTTGCATGTTCAGCCTTTAAAAATTCCAAGAAGGTCGCAGCATTTAACCTTGCAGGCAAAAGGTAGGGTCCAAATAGTCGATTATGGTAGATACCAATCCACACGTTCACACTAAATTCATGCTGAAAATTTCTTTCCCGAACTGCATGCGGATTTTCATGCGACCAAATATGTTGATTATGAAAATTTACCACTCCACGTCTAGTGAAGCATGACTCATCGGTCCATAAAACGTTACTTAAAAACTCCCTATTATTATCAGTTCTATCAAGAATCCACTGACAAAATGTGATTCTTCGTTTTCCGTCCCCTGGTTGTAGTCCTTGCACAGGTTGCAAATGGTAAGGACGTCTATGGTCATTTCTAAGAACACGGTGAACATGGCTTGCTGAAATTCCCAAGACACCAGAAACTCTCCTAACACTTGTGGTCGGATCTCTATCAAACTCACGCAGAATCATACGGGTAAATCTGCGCTGATGAATATTTATGTTTTGATCCCTTTGGAGATTTCCAAAACCATTTTCAATTATTTGGCGATGCACTCTTTCAAATACTGAGCGAGTTAGATGTCTGTTTGAAAATCTTCGTGCGTATTCTCTGGCTGCTTCTGCTGCGTTTCCATTTACAAAGCCATACACAAAATGAATATCCGCTAACTCTTGATTGGAGAATAAAAATGACATTTTTATAGAACTTAAAAAAAACAGGTAGAAGAAACTAAATTTCGTGCGTTCACAATTGCAAAAAAACGTTTCACTTTTCAACAGACAACAAAACTAACTGTCAACTAATTGACGTTTAACCTTATTCTGATTTCAATTTCAAAAATATTTGCAGGCACAGCCTACTTCTAAAAATTATCGAGATACTGACCTTTTAACGTTATTTTATCATAAATAATTAAAAATGCATCGAACCTTAAAAATCGAAATATCTCAAAAACGGCTAACTATAACGAAAATTCACAAGAGAGCTTTTTTATGTTGAAAAGTGCGAAGAATCAGTTTTTTTATTCAAAAAGCAAAAAATTGCACTAAGAAAATTTTTTCGGTCATTTTAATACACTACAGGTACAGTAGAGAGCGCCCTCTAGCGGCTACAGTAAAACTATGCCCATGGTTCGTTTTATCGTACCAAAAAACCCTTATATACCAATTTTCACTGTTATACATCAAATATTGTTCGAAATATTAAAAAAAAACTATTTTAGAAAGTAAATTTAAACACCCTGTATTTCGAAAGCCACGCATTTTTCGACCCATGTTTATATAGACTTTATGCATTAATTTTAAAAGTTCTATCGATTCTTAAAGTTATGCAACAATAAACTGAAACACCCTGTATAATATTTATGTAAAAATAAATAAATTCTTCTTACTGTTGAACAGTAGCCATAACTTTTGTACTAGTATCTTTCAGATTCTTGAATAAATATCCTGCTCCTCCTTTCAAAGATGAGAACAAGCCCGATTGTTTCACATCCGGTTGCGGTCTTTGCTGAGGAGTTGTGAGTGAAGGCCTCCTAGGACTCGAAGGAGGCCGTGGAGGTGCCTGAAATGTAACGTCATGCTCAAAATCGGGTCTCTTAAGAACTGCTCTCGCCAGAAGCAACCCGAAGGCAACTCGACTCCGGCCCAGTTACGTTGTTTTCGCGTTCCCATCGAAAGCAACTGACTGTCTTGTTGATAAATGCTATATACTACAGGACACAACTACACACTAACAGGAAGTCGTAATATAAATTGTTCTTAAAAAGCCTGATTGAAGGAAAAATCATATAAGTAACTTTTTAGCAAAACTCATGCCTATTTCTTATTTACCAAAAGCTTTCAATATGTAGGGTGTCCTACTTTAGTGTCACCTAAATATTTCTAAAACTATTCATCCTAGAAAAAACGTTTAAAAAAAGCTGCGGGGTTCTGAAGGGGCAAAATGAATGTGACCTTGACCACGACCTTCACTACTAACTTCTAAATCAAACGTATATTTTCAAATTGAACCGCCCTTTTTACATCGGAATTGCAAAAAGGAGGAAACTCTACGTCCGAAAATGACCTTGACCATGGCCTTCAAAGGCATTTCAAGCTCTAGTAGATACATTAAAAACAATTAGGTCTAGTAAAAAGGTTCGTCAGCACAGTTGTTAGGTTTGTGTGCGACACCCAAAGGTGACCTAGATCCTTACCTTCAAGGTCAAGTCAAAATTTTCATAGGAAACTCCTCATTATTATTCCGGAGTTGGAAAAAAGGGAGTATTCGACTGTATAGCGGCTGGTTCAAGAAATGAAATGCGATTGTCGCCTACCCTTGATCCGGTATTTTTTTCTAATTCTGGTTCGTATTTCTGGCGTAGCGGTGATACAGGAGCGCTTCTGATGCTCTAGTTGGCGTGAAGATTGCGAGTGTGGAAGCGGTTGAAGATGCGGGGGTGCACTTAACGGATAGCACATAATTTTTTTACTTGCGGTTGCTGCGGAGGTCAGCTGGTAAATCTGTCTTTTTTCGATTGTCTTAGCGGCGCACGCGCGCAGGGTAGGCAAGCGACAACTCACACTCGCCATAAAATAAAGGCAACCCAAATATCTCTAACAGGAAATGTGACCTTGACCCTTAAAGTCAAGGTCACTACAATCGTAAATGTTATTTTTATACCGAAATCCTATATTTAAATGCGTAAAATTTTCAGATAATAAGATCTATTTTCAGTTCTTTTAACGTCAACGAATGTTGAGGGGGTATCCCACGGTAACCAGACTTGGTCCAATGCTATCTAGCACCTAAAGCATTTATTCCGTAAATCAAAAATAGTATTAAAAAAACACTGGATTCCTTCGTTATCATGTACATTTAATTCAACTGCTTCTTTGTAAATATTTCATTTAGATTTATCATCTTTATCAAAAACTCATTGTTTTAAATAGCATTAAATATTTTGATTATGCATAATACCCCCCAATGGCGTACAAGTGTAACTTCAATGCCGCGCACGAGCCTTTGGCTTCATCGGGTATTGTATATTTATTTGTAGCCTGATTGCATGTATTGTCATATTACTTTAAAACTTCATTTACAAATAAACATTACTACTACATTTCAATGGATTGCATCGATTAGACAGACTGTAACCTGAAAGTCTCGTCTTGGTTCTTAGCTTACGTTATGTGGAGCCTGCGGTTTAGATTCACTGATGGCCACAGGTGGACTCGGTCTCGGAGGTGGTTGTGAACAAACGTTACTACTATTTCTTTCTGGCATTCGCTGTCCAACATCGGTATCAGGTATGTTGTGTTGGAAGACGAGGGGATGCTTCAAATTATAGCCTCTAGTTTCAGCTACCGCAGCTATCCTCTCCAACACGCCGGATATGGTGAGACGGTGATTTGGATTGGCTTGAAGACATCCTCCTGTTTTGGAGAAAGGATCATCGTGATATGAAAAAATAACAAACTGGTATTAAAAATAATGGTTGCCACAATATTCCCAGTGTATGGTAGCTTGAAATTTTTGAATTGAATTACAATAACCGACGCTGATTTTTATTTAAATTCACGTGTATGTAAAGACTCGAGTATATAAAGCGTTTGAGCAAACTATAAGCAACTCGTTAGTGGCCAAGTGATTACAATGACTACTACTATTTTTTTTATTTTTTATTTGCACTTTTAGGTATACGAAATCTAAACATATTATGTTCTTTTTTATACAATCCAGCAGCCTTAATGTTGTATACAAAGACATATACCCTCACCATTGGAAAACGGTAAGAGATGGACGGTATGCATCAAATTTCATTTATTCATTCAATCATTCAATCTAAGTAGGATAATCTAACCCATCTCTGCGACTCAACAGCATGATACGACGTGTGTGAAGCCGATGCTAACCACCAGCAGGAAATAAATCTACATTTATAGGACGCATCGTTGTCAAAAGGGTGGACACTAATTATATGGGCCTATATGATCGACTTGATCCGTTTAATTTGTTATAAATGTTCGTAATGAACTTTTTTCTGAGAGGAGTCAACGTGCGCCATACATAATCTTTTAGGAACTTGCTATAGATTTCAAGGATCAATATTCAACTTATTACAAAATTATTTAATCAATAGAAGTCAAAGAACTAAAATTGGCAATACATTATCAAACATTAAAAACATTTCAGTAGGTGTGCCACAGGGTAGCAAATTAGGTCCATTACTATTTATTTTATATATTAACATTATTCCTGATATTTTACAACACTGCAAAATTCAACTACTTGCTAAATTGGTTAAGTGTAAATAAACTTAAACTAAACACAAACAAAACAAAATACATGCTACTAGGAAAATCTTTAGATCAAAATACGATAAATCTTACAATTAATCATAAAAAAATTGTGTCAATCGAATCATTTAAATATTTGGGCATATACGTAGAAAGTAAATTGAAATTTGAAGGGCACTATGAATATATTATTTCAAAAATATCCAAGAAAATCAATTACTTTTATAGAATTTTGCATAGCCTTAGTGTTTATTCTAAAAAAATTGTGTACAACACTATCATTCTTCGTCATTTGTTATATTGTTGGACTATTTTGTTCACTGCACATGAAACTGTATTTTCAAAATTACAAATATTACAAAAGAAAGATATGACAATCATCTTAAATGAAAATAAGTATGCTAGAGTAAAATTTATGCTGAAAGAACTACAATGGTTAAATATCAAAAATCTCATAGCCTACTTAGTTTTCATTTTCATATTCAAGTAAAAAATCATCTTCTACCAAATCACTTAGAAACTTTTATTGCATTTAACAATGAGTGTCACAATTATTCTACTAGAGAAAGTATAGACTTTCATTTACAAAACTGCAGTAGCAATATAACGAGCAAGTCAGTATTTCAAAAGGGATTGTAAGAATTTAATAAATTAAGTAATGATATCAAGATGTGTCAGTTTGAAAATGTTCAACGGGAAATTGAAAAAATATATCATGAAAAACCAGAATTCATAGTAGTGAAATTTTGTATAAAAATATGAAGTCTTGAAGACATAATATATTTTGTGATATAATGTGCAATATGGATATTATGGATATTGTAGCATTAATGCTAAATAAATCTGAAACAACCAAACAAATTACAGCATTGCATAGAAACTGCAGAGTCAACCTACTCTCGTCATTTCTTGAATATGCACGTTCAAATTAAATTTTTAACGTCAGAGTACAAAAAAAATTATCTAATTTGGTAGCTAGGAAATTCCAGCTTCAAGTGAATTGATCCCACAATCTACCATGATACTTACTGATGATATCATGAAAACAGTTGTATCTTGAATCAGCAGGAAGTGTGTAGTTTGCATTTATAATTCTCAGTTTTGCGCTATCTTCAAATGGATGTTTCATAAAACAAAGTGTATACAAGATACATCCTAGCGCCCATACATCCACAGGTGGTCCAACATAATGGTTATTCCAAGTTTCAACCATTTCTGGAGCTCTGTACATTGGCGTTGTGAATCGCGCCATCTACAATTCATCTAGTTAAATGACTTATAATAGTCCTACAACCCACGCAACATACAGAGTGTTAATGGCAACACTGTGCCTTGGTAAAACATGTGTCAAATGTCAAATCACAAGTAGTCAGTAAGTAAGCTAAAACTACCTAGTCAATGTTGCCACTTTCACTCTCTTTGATGCTTGAGTAAAGTAATATTAATAGTTTATATTGAATGCTTCCAGATTTACATCTTACATTTTCCTCTAAGGAGGTGTGTTGATTGGCAGACCATGTGGTATCTGGAGTATATATATCAGTTGTAGCTGAGCCAAAATCACACAGCTTGATACTGGATTCTGCGCTTATCAGCAAGTTCTCAATCTTCAAATCTCTGTGAATTATTGGAGGGTTTTGAGAATGCATGTGAGATACTGCCCTGCATGTTTGATAGAAAATTCGAGTGATTGAATCAGCATCTAGAGGAGCGGTGCGAGCTTGTAGAATGTCAACCAAAGAACCTCCTAAAAACCAAAAAAGGACGTTTCAGTAGACTGTCATATAACTTCATACTCGCTGGATTGAAAATATAAATAAAAAATCATACCTGGACACAATTCCGTTACTAAAAGGAATTCAGACTGGCTATGAGTTGTTTGTGACTTATCAATGTAAGATGCTGATAAATACTGTATGATATTAGGATGGCCAGATATTTTCTTCAAGATGTTTATCTCCTTAATAATGTTATTTTTAGCCTCTTCATCAGCTGCCAGCAACCTCTGCAAATAAATAGTTACATCGATACTTCAGCATTCTTTCAGCTTTAACAGGGTCAGATTCAGCTTTCTAATAACTGTGAGTGAGTCATGAGGCTTATTGTTCACCCTCATTTACCAGGACCATGCAAAGTTGCATTCCATGATCTTAATAACCTTAATAATATTATAATCCTTGGAAATATGCCCATGTCTTCCCTGTTGATAGAGAAGTAGGTGGTCTTTCCATCATATACTGCAGGAGCACTGAAAATAGCATGTCTTGCAATTTCTTGGTTTCATCTTTCTTATCTGATGTGGACGTAGTAGTAGACATTTATTTACTTCATTATATAAGAGCAATAACAACAGAAGGACAATGCCTGTACAGGATAACAAAAGGTCAATCACAAATTCAACAGCTCTTGGTTCCTGCTGTGTTCACCATTGCTCTGTCCCATCTGTTTTGGTTTGGTACTAATTTGACATTATCTTAGAAGCAACCACACACTCATCAACTCTCTCATTACCAATTATTGTCCTGTGACCTGGTATCTAAGAGAGAATTACTCAGTTGCTCTTTGCCAAGTATTTATACTATGGCAGTCCTCACCAAGGTCATCACCACATTGCCTAGCAATAGTGACGCAGAAGGTCGTACAATCTGCCGCGTTGCCAATATGTTACACCTGACCGCACCGGCTTCGACAATAGGTTAGGCTACTGTCAAACCCAAGGAGGTGTGTTCGAAAATTCAATTTAATATTTTGTTTTCCTTTTGATTAGAATTATTTATTTCAATTTTGATGCGGCTAGTGTCTTAATTTATTTTAGAATTATCTTTGATTTCCGCTGATGATGATAAAATCAATACATCCTGAGTTATTGCGTATTTCGACGACGAGCAGTCGGATGTAACAAATACCATTACGTAATACAAATTATCACTGCCTGCGCGTACGCAGGTAAAAACCATTTCGAGGTGGAAACCTTGCCTTGGAATGTACGAGTTGCGGTATTGCCAAGCAAACCAATGATGCAATGTTGCAGAGTTTGTGACAAACATGAGCTTTCATTTCAACCTAAAACAGAGCGGCATTAGGACCAAAACGGAATCGATCCTAAACAGATTCGACACAATTCAATAATATGTACGCTCAAAATAAAACCATTATTTGGGAGAAGAGAATAAACTAACGCGTATTTTCAACATGCATCTTAATTCTGCAGATTTCCGCGTCAGCGTTGATAGGCAACGATATCTAGCCGACTTCTATCTGTTTCTAACATATGTGTCTATACACACTTCTGTCATACACAATGAACTCAAGCCGTAAGACAAATTTGGTTCTCAGTGTACATGTAGTTACTAAGTTCTAACCTAATGGATATTATGGGGTACATATGACGGTTTCACTGCATTTAGAAACAAATCTTAAAATTATTTAGTGGCTGAAACTTTTTACTCTTTGGATGAATTTTTATCAGGTTTCAGAATTTCATAGTAATGTATATAAACTCAACAATATTTTCTCAAATGTTTTAATGTGCTTTTAACCAGCCAATGTTTTAATGTGTTACTTGAATTTTAAGTTGTATTTGCCTTATAGCAGCAGCTCACTTTACTTCCTCACCTTAAAAAACCCTATTTTATTTAGGTATTTCAATATCCTATCATATGTAAACCCTCAATATAATAATAAAGGGATACTTTCTCTTTAGGATATATAAAAACTACGAGGGGTGTCTTTTAAGTTTTGCATATAGAAACATAATATGCCGCGCGGATCGAACGTCAGTACTGAATTTTAACCTCACTCTTTAGTAAACTTAAATTCAAAGTTTCAAAACAATACGTGCAGTGTTCTCAATACAGTGAAGTTTTAAGTGTCACCAAGTCATTAGAAAAATGGAACACAACCGAGAACATTTTCGCGCCATAATTTATTACTACTTTCAGAGACAATTATCGCAACAAGAATGCCTTGCTGAGTTACTGTCTGTTTTCGGCAACGAAGCGCCACATCAGTCGATAATTTCCCGTTGGTATGGAGGATTCAAACGTGGACGGGTGAGTCTTAGCGACGATTCCAGGGTGGGTGCACCAAAAACGGCAGTCAGCCAGGAAAACGTCGATGCTGTGCGCAAACTCATCATTGAAGATAGACATGTGACATATCGCGAGATTGAGGCGTCCTTGAAGATCTCAAAGACCTCAATTCAAAAAATTTTACATGACAAATTAGGAATAAGAAAACTAGTTTCTCGTTGGATACCCCACCTGTTGAATGAAGAGCAGAAAGCAGCCAGGGTTAATTGGTGTCAAAAAACGCTTGACCGTTTCAATTCCAGAAACTAAAAAAATGTGTACAGCATTGTTAGTGGTGATGAATCGTGGATTTACTGTTATGAATCAGAAAATAAACGATAGTCGGCTGTTTGATGTTCCAAGGTGAAAAAAAGCCAACAAAAGTCATACGTTCTCGAAGTGCTTCGAAAAAGATGGTCGCGACATTTGTGTCAAAAGCGGGTCATATTGCAACAATTCATCTTAATGAGCAAAGAACTGTTACTGCGGATTGGTATACCACCATTTGTTTGCCAAAAGTCATCACAGAGCTTCGAAAAATCAACTACGAAAGAAGAATGATCCTCCACCAAGACAATGCAAGCTCGCACACAGCCCAAAAAACAAGGCAATATTTGACGGAAGAAAACGTGGAATTATTGGACCATCCTCCATATAGTCCCGATCTAAGTCTTAACGATTTCTTTACTTTCCCGAAAATTAAAAACAGAGTGCGTGGTCAAAGGTTCCAGTCACCAGAAGAAGCAGTTGAAGCATTCGAAAATGCCGTTTTGGATCTGCCAGCAAATGAGTGGAATAAGTGCTTTGAAAATTGTATGCAGTTGCAGATGTGCATTAATCTTCATGGAGAATACTTCAAAAAACAATAAAGTCATTTAAAACTACCCACCATGTTGTTTTATTTCCATATGCAAAACTTAAAAGACATCCCTCGTAGCAGAAGATATAGGTCAATAATATACATTTAGAAATCTACACCTTGTTTCTTGGAATTGAATCAGGTAGATCACATCCTGGACACAATAATCATGTTTTCTGAATTTATATTAAAAACAATGAAATATGTAAATTTTAAAGTCATATTTATCATTTAAATTATGAATGAAAATGTTCAGAAAATTAAACCAGTAGTTAATTTAGTGTCAGTTCAATTTAAACCTTGAGTTGTTGATATCTAATTGCATTTTACATCAGAATAAAATTAACATTAAACACTGCACTATAGTTACCTGAGTATACTCATTATTTGTGACATCTTTGCAAAAGTTGGAAAATAAGGCCTGATCTCAAAATTGCACTATGACACTACATTCAGAATGATCACAAGTTATCACATTTAGGCATCCTTTAGTACAACATCACTGAAATTTTTGATTTCACATGTTTTCATGTAGTAGTAATGATGGTGGTGATGTAAAGCATGGCAGCTAGGATCTTTTACCCTTTTTGCTGACTGAGTGTACTAACAGTCTGCACTTGCAAACTCCATGAATCTCAATATCTCAGCCCTTAGCTTGCAATACATGGGCCAAGCACTACTCTATAAGCCATCTTACTGGTAACTGATTTTTGTATCAACCAGTTCCAAAGGTTTGGTGTATCTAGGTTGAACTTGTTTTGGTCTGGTGCATAATATCAACAATGCAACATCTATTGCTCCAAATTAACTTCTGAGGTTCTGAACTTTAGCAAGACATCACTATTGGTTGTTGTTATTAATATATTTTAAGGTCTTAGATTTAAACATATGACAATAAAAAATAAAAATTGAGAGCCTATGCATATGAATTTGTGAGCTTGATTCAAGGTCATGAATATTTGCAAACAGTAGAATGTATGTTGTAAACAAATATGATATCTCATCAACAGGAGAATATAAAAACATTTGCAACAGCTATTTATTGCATTGCCGGTTCACTCCTTGAATTATGATTTGCTTGTCGATAATAATCAATAATAATGTATGTAAACAGTGCTGTAAATATTATTTACAATTCTATATTCAGCTGTTCTCTGATACTGTAACTACACTACATAATAATAATGTACCATTTTTCTAACAGCTCTGGATTTCAACAGTGATGTTTCAAGAAAAATATTTCTTCTAGCACAACACACAAAGTTTCAATTCATATAGCTTGTTAAAATATGGTGAATGATTTTAGGAACAGGACTCAAGAAATGAATTAAATATCAAGATACAGGACTTATTATATATTGATCTCTGAAAAGGGGTGTCAGCAAAATGTTTACCTTGAGAGCATATTCTTTCCCGGTGGCCACATCTTGTGCAGCAAATACGACGGCAAATCCACCTATAACAAAGCCAAATTAAGGAATAATTTCAGGGGGTATTCATAGAAGATTACCCTCCGCGATGACCCGTTTGATCCGCAGCTTTACGTTGGAAATTTCAACGATCTGACCTACGAACGGGTTGTCATTCTGTCCGTTCGCTGGACCGCTAAAGTATTCGAAGGCTGATTTAAACAAGTCGCTCATTTTGTTCGATTAAATAATAATAATTTCAAGCTAGAAGAAAGGAAAATTTGTTGACTGCAATTTGGATTATCTGCATTTTGCTAGACAACGGACTGACATTGACAGAACTTGACAGCCCAGCTGATTGTCAATTCAAAAAACGTCACGGCAGTGGCGCCGTCGAGGTGCCGTCCATGAGATACGAGGAGCATACGACGTGAGCCATGCCTTTAGCGTTTCAGCTATTTTTTCACACTCATATGTGACTGATTATTTTGAAATTCTCCATATTGGAAGTTACGATAACGCATGCGTCTAAAGGAAAAATATTATAAAAGTTAGCAAGTGCAGCCAAACATCGATTACTTCACAGAGTTTTACAAGTACCCCCGTATTAGCCAGTGTGATTGGTTCATTTCCTCGTTAACTTCCTATATGATGTTGCCAAGCGTACCAGTTTAGCGGTGGACTTTATACTTTGCCGGTACTTATGCTACTGGATCAGTTGTAATGAATAATTTTATATAAATATTGTGTTCCATTTTCTATAATTCTATGACCGTATCAAAATGGAAGACAAAAACGTGACTTAACAAACGTCGCTACTAACGTACATCAGAGGAGCCCAGCGGACACAAGTTGGATATTAACAGTGGCGCGTCAATGTCTTCATGACTCGGAGAAGTATGCTTGCGAAGCTATATAGGTACTCAAACTTGCTTATTTCTCAATGGTGCTGAATTTTATTGAAATACAAAATTAGGTTGTCACATTGACGGTGGTTTGCACCACTTTGGGTTAAAGGTGAGGGTTACTTAACTTGGAGTTAGCGGTAGCCCCAGGTTAAATTCGAGTAGCTTTGCACCGTCAAAGTTTAACTCTGGGTTTATAAATCCCGACTTTTGGTCATGTCGGCAAGCTTGGAATATAGGGATATTTCTTAGAATTAATACAATTATTGGCAATATTGCCACAAACGTTAGATCTCTGCTAAAAGTTTGTTGATTTGTGCTGGGATTTGAACGATTGACGTAAATTTTGTTATTTTGGTACTTGTGTTTTGTATTCAGTTTCTTTGCTATTTGTTCGATTATCGTTTGTGTTTGATTTGGCTGGATAAAATATTTTTAAATTTCCAACTTCCAAACAGAATCATATACATATGTATATATATATACAGGGTGTCCGCAAAGTTGGGGTTTTCCTTTTCAGAAACAACTACCCTTGAAATAACAAAGGTAATGTGTAGTGAAACGAGGGCGACCAAGTAAAAAAAATAAAGGATAAAGTACTCACTCTCCAGTTGACGAAAAGGGCTAAGTACGTCTCTGCCCGAAATCATACCGCTCCAACACTGACACTGACCAAACATGAGTGTTGCGAAAGTTATTCACCCAATTACGCGTGAATGTAGATTCGTCTGTCACCAATATGCACTTCAAAAATTCCGGATTATTGTCATGATGATGCAACAACCACTCACAAAACCACACTCTTGCTGGAAAATCGTCAGGTTGAAGGGCTTGTACACGTTGGACGTGAAACAGATACAGCCCCTCTTCACGCAGCGTTTGCCACACTTTAGTTTTTGATACTTGTATTTCTCTAGCCACGTCTCTAGTGCTTGTTGAGGGATTCTCGTCTACGCGATTACCTCTACAGGCGTGACCGTAACCGTCGGTTGAAGGTTGCATACTGACCTGACACACTGACCCCGACCCAGTTCTGTCGCCGGGTTGAGCCTGTGACATTGTACCACTCCGTGATGTCGCGGCTACAGGACGGTATTCAGATATTTTTGATGTTGCAGAGCCCTTTATCTCGGTTCCCTTAAGACATTGGTGTATATGGTACTAAGAAAAATTGCTTATGTTTTCAAGATCTACACGTCGTGTAAAGGAAAACCCCAACTTTGCGGACACCCTGTATATACACTCTGGTAATTGTGGACGTAACCATAAATTATGAAGAATTCGACGAGGATGACCTTATTCCTCTGGAACAAAATCTAAACAGCGCCTTAAACAGTTACAAGAACCAATATTAGAGAGTTTTAGCCGTCACAAATTTGGTTTTGTAAGTTTCATTTGACACTCAAGTCTTAACTTCTTTTTTATATTGTCAGTACGCATTGTGATGCGCAGGTATTACTCTACATTTTCATGGTGCTATCCGCCTTAACACCTAGTTCAAGTGAGAGGTGAATTTATCCCAGATAACTGTGACGGTGCAAAGTCTAACTCGAAGTTAGCGCTAACACTCACTTTAACCCGAATCGGTGCAAACCACCGTGATAGAATGAAATTGACATGATACAACTTCAAGTGATATTACTATTTTCACTAAAAATAGGCTTCTTTATCTCCATGGATCCTCTATACCTAGGTATATGTATGTCCTATGCGTAGTAGTTCAAGCTATAATCGCCGGATCCCAAAAACTATTGATCATGATTGGTGTACCAAGTATATCCTGAAGTAGATGGTATATTATGCCTTTCCTACTAGCAGTACCAGTACCGACTTGTAATCCACAAAACGTGTTATTGGAATGCGGTTCAAGTACTCGCGATCTCCGTCGCACACTCAAAAATGTAGATCTTAATAAAATCGAATAGTACCGTACTATAACTTTTTATAGGTGTTATATTTGGCAACCTCGCTGGTTTCATGTTTTTTTCTATTTATATGGTTATTTGTGGTTATTTGATTTGGGTGTTGCATGTTTGTGTATTATAAATGTGATGTGACTTTTATTAGTTCTAGTTTCTAGTGCTATCATTATATTCCAGATTCAAAAGTGTATTATAAACAATAATTTCCAAATGCATTTGCCACAGTGGATTTGATCAAAATAGCCAATCTACTCAATTAACGTTTTTGTGTCTAATCCTAACAAAAAGTTGGGTGAGTATTATATTGCTCAATTCTATCATCTGATTAGTTAGGAATGCTGTGGGTTTAGAATTAATTCATATACAATCTATAAATACCGTTTATAGAGATCACGAGACCAGCGGAAGTATATTATTTAATATTGTTTAATATTATTGGCATCTTGCTCTTTTCAACTTTACTACTAGCATATAAAAACATAATTGATAAACACATATTACCAAATTATGTGAGCAATTAACATTGCTAATTGGAATCAAGTATAATAATTGGCTTGTTTATGGGTCAGCAGAACTTTAGCACTTTGCTTTTCTAGTATTTTGTACATACTTAAAGTAGTTAATAGAAATAATGGTATTCACTTATGTTTTTGTAATATTTTAACTGTAATAGAAATATATTGATTGTTAAAACATCTACCAAACTTCTATGACTCATTACTCATTCATACCACATGATTTTATATACAGTTAATTTCAGATTGGTAAAATATGTGATGACTGATTCACTATAAATGAAACTGTTCTTATTAATGGAACAGAAAGTAATGTGAAGAATATAAAACATAAATGTATAATTAATTTCTTTTTAATGATATCTCACCATGTATGCAGAGGTACAATCTTACAACAATTATCAATTTGCTAAAAATATAACTCGGTTGACCTTAAGTCCTTTAGCACAATTGAAGGCTCTAATGCAAGTACTGGTTAAGTCCAGTTTTTAACTGAATTGGGTTACCCATTTTGCATGGTTTTGAATTTTGCATCATTTATTTGAACAAACAAGGCTGCTGGTATATGTATACGATAGACAATGTGATGCCACTGTCTTCATTCAAAAGGCAAATCCTTCTCTACTCATTCAAAGTACCTATATGGCTAAGCTGTTTTGCTATCTCTTGAAAGATTTATTCTAATGGACATAAGCAGTTGTTTAACAGAGTGATTCAAATGATAGTACACAAAACAAAATAGCCTACATATGTTTTGCTATATTAAAAAAAAACAGACTATGTAATTCTTTACATTAGCTACAAATACCAGTTACTCATTAAAGATTTGGTATAATTTTATTAAACAATAGGATATGTTGAAACTGTACATATATCCTTCAAATATAATTTTATAAAACAGGGTCTTTTATACGTCCTACTCTGTTCTATCCTTTGAAAGACTTCTATTATGAAATAATTCTAGGCTTTTAGCATTACATCTTATATGCATTATACAGTCCACACATCTTATCCTTCATTGACTCATTGACTTTACTACCAGTAACTTCTACTAGAAGTGAGAGTAATACCATAGAATCATTCTAGAGCTGGTTTTTATACAAAACTTCTTGGAATGATTTACTTTATTTCTTTGTCCAATAAATGTGATCTTTTTTCATCCTGTTTTAGAAACTATATCTTAAACATTGTTGATAATCTGTCTTGTTAATATGGGGTGTCCCAATATTCCATGTACATAGAAGTATCACATATTTTTAGACTTAAAATAAGTTGAACACCTATGTTTTGAATGATGATCCTGAATTATATATGAATATTTCATATTTCTAACAATTTTTTTCACTTTTCTATATTTTTGATCCCTTAGTTTCTGTAAAAAAAACTAATATAGTATAGATATATTAGTACATTAATTGAAACTGTAACTAGTATAATTTCTGTAATGCAAAAAATGTGACTGTAACTTTTGAAGCATTAAGATGAGTCTTGATTTTGTAATTTTTGTTTCAGAATCATGGCTGGGGTAAGTTCAGCAGGTGGTGTAGAACTGACTGGGAATGCAGGTCGTGCCCTCAAACTCCATACTGACACACCACATTTGGTTAGTATGGGTGGAGATAGACTTAGCACCTCAGTTACTTTGCATCCTATTTCTAAAGGTGAGTTTCTAACTTTTCAGGACTCTAAGACAGTTTGAGATATGTATAGTTCGAGAACCTTGGTTTGATATTTAAAAAACTAACAGATCTGTATCATATTATTTTAATTTTATCACTAGTATAGTCTATTTTCTGATACCATTTCTGAGTACTATTTTATTCATGTTATATTTCAAGCATAAGTTGAAAGAGACATTAAAATAATATCTGGAATTTTCTCTTCATGCTTGCTTCTTGTTTCATCAATATACCAGTAAGAATCGAGGCATTTATCTACTAGAACAGCTATGATATCAGCAGCAAGAAACAAATTACATTGTATTGTAATAACATGTGAGGTGGCACATATGACACAATATTGCAATGAAGTTTTTTCTCCGAGTCGTGAATTAGTTACTTTCCGACCACCCCTCGTATTTTACGTTTTCTCGACGGAGTTAAATTTTGGATTGATTATCAAATATAGCTCCGATATTTTAAATTAGGGATAGGGTCCTTGTTGTAAATATTATTTTGTCTCCGATATAGTCCTGAATCCTCAAGCAAACTCGATGTTTTTATGACATTCCACAGTAGTTTTTGTTGCCGTTTGTTACACAGCAAAATACATGAAAATTAATACTTTCCGTCCGATTAGAATATATTGTAATGAATGAAATTATTTAAATCGAATGTTTAGCCTTGTGGTAGCACTAGATGATATTTAGGACGTCAGAGGGACTACTATGTCCAGGGCACGTAGTATCCTTATAACGATTTTTGTTCCACGTCCTGATGCCTTTTTGGTTCTATTTCTGATTTAAATACACTTTAGAGTACTCAGCGTTCGGACATTGTAACCTGCATGGAGTTGTTGCACTTCCGGTCGTCGGGGAGGCGCTAGAACTGGCTGTATGCGCTTTTGGGGCTGGAAAGAGGCGGCCCTAGGGGTGTGGGCACTCATTTTATAGTACACTCCATAATGAATCGCATAGAAATACTTTTGATCCATTCAAATGCACCACGTCGACGTCACAACGGTGAGGTCAAGAAAATTCCCAGTGGCAAACGGTATCACGTAGCGTCTATAGTCGGTTCTGCAACGTTGGTGAGCGCTATAAAAGCGCGGGCGTATGTACGCGGGACTCTCTTCTCATGTACCAGCCGATCCGAACAGTAGTACCGAAGTACCCGCCTGTACCAAGAGGTAACGGGGAATTTTATAATTACTTTGGGCGTAAAGAAGCAAGTCGGGGACGCTTCCCTGAGGTGTAGGTTGAAATATAAGTGAGAATTAAGAGGCAGGCAGAGCTTGAAGCAGACGGGGGTTAAATAGATGTCTGGTCTTATTCTTCACCTACACATCCCCATATTGCTGTAAACCGTTCATCGCTTTGGACTTGTCGCATCGCATCATTATCGCTTGCTCGCTTTAACCGCTTTTGATTCCGTTCAACCCCGAGTTAACCAGTTTGTGTTTTAAATCGTGCTTTTAATCATAAATACCGTCCTGCCTGAAGTAAGAGATATAAAAAAAGAGAAGTATGTAGTCATACTAGAAAGTAAAGAGGAAATATATTGAGTGTGGCCCTTTGAGCGTTAAGCATCAAATCCCTGACCTATTTTCTTCACTGAAGCTGACCAGGGTGACCTTGCCAGTCTATAGTGGTCTCCATACTTTAAACAGGAGGCTGACGCCCGAGGAGCTCCTGAATTAGAGAGACAGGTAGTTCAACAGTTAGTAACCCCGAGGAAATAGCTTTACAATACACCGCAAATCCTCATCACCATATTGAGAACACTCACTGCAATATAATAAAATATTATGTCTGATTTATAAACAAACAACATTCCTTCGATGTGTGGGTTGAAATCGAATCATGCCGTATTTTTTCACCTTATCATTTGCTGTAGACGTGGCCGCATTTGATATCGCAGATTGTCAGTGAGAATCCCAACTTTAAGAACACCCTGTATACGTTGAAATTAAACTTTCTGAAGTTCAGTGTTCTCATTTACATTATAAAAACACGTTTTTGGTACATAATGTTTGCTCTTGTTCTTTCAATATTGACTATGGCTAATCTCATACAACATCAACTAAATAACTTGTCGTTGTAATTATCACAGTATTATCTAGCAACCAGATTTTGGGATCATTTTGATATTACTGCAAGGAGAGATCAGATTCTAACTTATTATAATATAGAAGCAGTAGTTACTAAAATTGGTTCAGTCATTGGAAAAAATGTAATAGGTCAACAGAAAGACAAATAACTAGACGAAAATGGATCAACTAGATAACAGATTTTCGTTAGTAATAAAATAAAACATTTGGAACCTCTTATCTTGAAATGCAAACATTGTTGTACGTGACACCTTACGTATACCTTACGTTTACCATATTTTTTTATAATGTTCGCCATATTGTGGAATTATATTCACATGATTGTCACATAAATGAATTTTCTCTGATAAAGTGTCCATTCAGCTACATTAATCCAGTCCAAAGGTGCAGCACTTTCCTACTAAATAGTAGCAGACACAGCTCAGAATATATGATCAACAAAGTACCAGTCACAAAACATGTGGAATTTGACCACGCGTAAATTTTAATTTGCGCGCAAATTCCAGAAATGCTTTTTATCCGAGATACAGGGAGTCAAAGATTGGTGCTTTTGCCTCAGTGGGTAGAAGTACCTGCTCTATTTTATGAAAATTTACTCGTCTAATGTACTCAGGGGACTTAACGATATAATAAAAATCAAGTGAACTTTTACATATGCATAACAGGGTCAAGCCGGAAACGGGGGGTAGCCAGAAAATATAAAAAAAAGTCGTGTACTTTTCAAATTATAGGTTTTAAGAAAAACAGGAAAAGTTATACTCTATGATGATCTTTTAGTTTACATACTACAAATTTCAAATGGGACAGTATCATTCTACGTAGTAACAGCAAAACAGATATTATAGTAACGCCACTTTTATTAATTCATGATGGTGTAGATCTAGATACAATGCCAGTGCTGCATCGAGGCTTTATCACATGTATTTTTGCCGCATAGTGTTTTCCATGTTCTGACCGTGCTACCACGGTGCCACTTCTCCGAGTTGTGCTCAACCTTTATGTACTGATAAGGGCGTTGCGTGGGAAGTGCAGAGTCAACCTACTTGATCCCTTTTTCTAGAACACTTTGTGGTGGCTATTTACCCCTACGGAAATAACGTAAGGGAATGACAGTAACTCCGTTTTTCATTTATTGTCTATTTGCGGTATGATGACATGAACGAGTTTTCATTAAAATTGACTGGTGGTCAACTTCCATATGTTTTGTGCCTGATACTTTGAAAAGTAAGTGGGAACTGCTGTCAAACTCATGTCCATCTCTATACAGTACAGCGATAGCAGTAGCCGTGGAATAGCTTTGACAGGTCGTAGCAGCTTTTCCTTGCCTGGTAATTTGTTGAGCGTATGTCAAATGTCAAATCTATACCATGGCTACTCTGCTTTACGTTTACTGAACGCATTCAATAAACTTATTTATTATATAATAAATGTCGTTCAAGGACGGGTGACAATCGGTAGTGGCAGCAGCGTGGACGTACACGTCCAAGGCCGCGGCGTTCAAGCTTTGCACTGCAGCATCGAAAACAGCGAGGGAGTTGTCACTATTTATCCTATAGAAGGCGAGGTGCTGATAGATGGGGTTCAGATCGACAGACCTACGCGCCTGTCCCAGGGTAAGATTTTTCTGTGCAATTTTTTGAGTCAAGTTACCGGATTCATTCAGATTATAGTGATTTTGAAATATTCCCATGTCCTTCGCGGCAGGAATCCGGCACATAGATCGGCAGAGGTATTACGTATCTTGAAAAGTGACATTATACCGTTTTTTTTACATTCTGTACAGTAATGGACAAAAGTATATAGACAAATATGAATATTTACCTAAATACCTTTAGAAAACGAATTCATACTTCATTGCTCCATAAACAAATGCGTTATTAGTAGAAAAACTAACTTCCTTGTTTTTACATTATCTGCAATGAACACAATACAAGTCTGAATATAAGCACTTTTTTATGAGGGACAAAAATATGTAGACAAATTCTTTTCAACATTAGTTTAGTACAGTTTCGTGTCAGAAGAGGATTAGTTTGTGTTCATCAAGTATTGTGGAATAAGTTGAGTGATTTTAAGACCATGCCGCGTGGTCCAGAAATTTCTTTCTTTGTGAAAACTAACATCATTGAGTTATACAAAGATGGTCAACGTCAAGTCGACATTGCCAAAAATTTGAAGCTGAAGCGCAAAGCATATTGAACACATATAAACAAAAAGGTATCTTGGAAGCCTCTAAGATAATTGGTCTTCCTAGAAAACTAAATGCTAGATCAGTTAGATTAACAAAAGTCATTTCGTCCAAAGATCCGTTTAAAACCCCAAGACAAATAAACGCCGAAATCGAGACAAAAGGAATTGTCAGTGTTTCTATGAAAACTATAAGTAGAAGATTAAATGATTTGAAGATATTTGCACGTCGCCCGGGTAAGTTGCATCTTGATTGGAGCCTCTGTGACTGGAAGAGGGTATGTTTCAGCGACGAAGCCAAGTTCAATAGGTTTGGACCAGAAGGTGTTCATTACGTTAGACGTCCTAGTGGACAAAAATTGAACCCCAAGTACACTTTGCCCACTGTCAAACATGGAGGCGGGTCTGTTATGGTTTGGGGGTGCTTTTCGGGGTTTGGAATGGGATCTTTACCTATAATAGATGGCATTATGGATAAGTTTGTATACTCCGACATACTAAAGCATGTCATGTTACTCTATATGGAAGACAATATGCCCTTAAGATCAATCTTCCAGCAAGATAATGACCCGAAGCACACTTCAAATCTCGCAAAGAAATTCTTTCTGAATGAAAAAATACCAGTTCTCAAATGGTATTGGTTATGTATTAATGTGGTGTATTAATAAAAAAAGTTAAAAAAGAAATACAGCACAATATTTATTTGTCTGTATACTTTTGTCCATTACTGTAAGTAGGAGAGCGCTGACGCTGTCACGGAATAGTGGAAATCTGGAAATACCCCAGCCTTTCTGAAGGAGAGAAAAGACTGAAAATCAAGGAGGCTACAAAGGCGTCCTAGGATCGTAGGAACGACTGACGATACGGCCCTTAAAAACGAAACCAAATATTTTACTCATCCTATAGCCTGTCGTAGGTAAATGTTTTTGTGTATATCTACCATAATAAGCGTCTTTTTTCGTCTTTTCACGCCGTGCGCCATAACATGCTCACTTACCGCACTAGATATGTAAATAATTACCCTTTTTTCCTTTTTAAGGCGTCATGCTGACGATAGGCCGTTCGAACTACCTCCGTTTCAATCACCCTGCTGAGGCGCGATTGATGAAATCCGTTCTCCCCAACCCGCGTATCTCCATGGCGCCCATCAACTTCGAGCCTGGTGAGTACACCCACCAACCTTCTGCGTCGTCTGCCCCTGGAGCCAAAAAACCACCGTCTGTTCCCCGGAAAAGCCCCAGGGAGTCGCTGGAGAACAGTGGAGGGGAGGAACCGCCGTCCAGCATAGCGATCAAAGTGTCAAAGTTCGAATATCTCGCCGCTCAGAATCTCAAGAAAAGCATATCGCCGAAGGTGTTTCCTGCTAACGTGGCCACTGTTAATATGCCGATGAAGGACGTGATTGGTATGTATTTCATGATTAATATATTTTTCTACATTACATCTGGTTCAAGTGTCAATACAGGGCTTATTTATTTTTGTAGCTTGATTTTATCGCTGAAACTGAATTCGACTCTGAATTACAAAACTTCCGGTTCTCTGTAGAAATACGAGTACTTCATCCCCAAATCGCGCTAGTGCCATGTTGAATCACTAATAATTAGACTCTTGATTCATTTTGTCTTAAAGGTTCATTCTTTTTCACCTATATCCATAAAAGACTTCTGTGAATTTTTTGACCCATAAATTTATTTATATTTCTTTCCAGGGAAGGCCCCTCCAGACCTCAACAGATATGCGAAGAGTCTCCCACAGAGTGCACTGAACTACTGGGATCTTAATTACGCCAATAAACCTGAAGAAAAGAAGAAAGGCCAAGAGATGCTTACGAAAAAATCGCACTACGTTAACGTGACGGTCGATGAGCCAAAAAATGTAAACAATAAGGTAAGAATAGTTCTCAGTGCATACTGTTCTGCGACGCAGCTGACAAAAAAAAAACGTTATAAACAAAGCATAACAATTATAAACCATGCGTCATTGGTTTTACTAGTTTGCCTGCTATTATGTGTGCCATATCGTATTCTCGCGTTTAATGGCTGTTTTCATTTTTCGTAACAAACGGTCGTATTAATTGGAATACGAGGGCGGTCCGATAAGTACTTAGCATACAAAATGAAATCGAAAATTTTGGAACAGTGCCAATTTATTTCTCAATATAGTCTCCTTTTAGGTCGATACATTTGATCAAGCGGTGCTCCAATTTCTTTGACCCGCCTGAAAAATACGTTTTCTGGTGGTCGGTAAAGTAGGCCTCCATGACGGCGATAATCTCCTCATTACAATTAAATTTCTGGCCGGCGGGTGTCTTTTTAAGTTTGGAAACAAAAAGAAGTCGCACAGGGCCCAATCTGGAGAATCTGTGGATGGGGCAGTAGTTCGTAGCCTAATTCGACCAATTTGGCTGCGTGAAATTATCGGCGCATTAACAACAAGTGTCTCGGTTTTCGGCCATAACTTTTTTACTATTAGTCGTATCTTTTTACGTGTAGCCTCATTGTGCAGGTCTCGTAAATACCTAAAAATCTCATTTGAACAGTTTTTTCGTTCCTGCCAACACTTTTGATAGAACGCCAAAAAAACGCGTTTTTCATTATTTGTTGTCGAATAAAAAATATTTTCACAAAAATTGCATCAATAAAACCAGACTTTACAATTATTTCGGGGAAATTTGCTAATTTGATTGGAATATTAGGGCAAATGACAGATGGACTTTTGCAGTCCTTTTTATAGTGAGCAAATTTGTTGCATTGAAAACACTTAACAATATTAAAATGTTCTTTAACACTACATTTTTTTTTCATCCAACATACAAACAACATCTACCCATAACAATATTGCAGACCGAAGGAGAAACTTCCAAAACAACATTAATACTTTATTTCTATTTAAGTGTTGCAATAACATGAACGTCATTTAAAGGCACAGCAAGATCATAGTCTTCCATTATGAAATCAAAAAATAGGGCCGTCGCTTTTTGGGCTCGTAAATACTGTAGGCATTACCATCTCCTCACTTACGGCCGTCTTTCAAATTATGGAGAGAGCAGTTAATAAACCACCCCTAATCATTCTTGTACCAGTAACATTGGTTTTCATAGTACTTGGCCTGAATATGGATTTCACCTCTCGTTCTTTTTTACTGCTTGAGAGTAAGAAACTGACAAAGTACGGCAAAAAACGGGCAGCAAACCCTTTTTCTGTGGTTGATGACAGTACACTTTATTACTATACATATGCATTTCTCCGATTCAAGTGATAGCGAAAAAAGGATTTAGCAGCTTTGGGGCTCACTTTTCGCATTATAATGATGTTCATTGTTACAGGTGATCATATTTGAAAATAATTGCCCCGCAAACGTGAATTTCGACTTTAACGATTTGAACAATAAAACCTCTAGTATGAACAAGAATATAAATCTGAACAAGATGAACATGCCATCGCCAAACTTCAACAGGAATCCTGTGGTATATCGAAGTGTCACGCCTAGCCTTCCGTCAAAAGCGACCAAGTCTGAGTATAGGAGAAGCGGATCCTTGGGGGAATTGAATGTCACTTGCACAGAAGGTGAACAAGCTGTACAAAGGAAGTACGAAGCTGAGTTGAGAAGAAATCAGGTATGAATTCAACCATTGATTTAATTTCCATCGTCTTGGACATGTTGCCAACCTGCCTCGCAATTATTTTTAAGATTTTTATTATCGGAATCTCTACAACAAAAAAGGAAATCCCGTGATCTGAGAGCTGTCAACGCTGACGCCTAAACCCGGTGGTCGTAGGATATATGGTTGTATGAATATCCGTTACATTCTTTTGAGTGATTTCCCAAATGACGTTCTTTCGCAACATTTTTCATTTTCAGAACCACAGGAATGCCTTTTGAGGTTAGGAACTCTGCTCAATTTTAAGCACCATTTTGGTATAGATCTTTTGCATGTGCAGTCAAAATTTGAAGAAGGATAAATCTATACAAATTTAACTGATCACTCAAGATCCTTAATGTTAAAAAACGGGATGATCTCCAAGAGTATTCACACGTTCGATATTTTCATCACCAAGCCTCCTAGAACGGACTTCATTCTCAATGTGTGTTTTGCCTTTCAAAGCTGATTTGCGCCAGCGGAAAACTTGAGCTCGGGATAAGAAATGTGTTCCATAGGCCCGTTTCAACTTTCCAAATGTCACAATTGGCTATTCTACAAGTGTAACACAAAATGTAATGGTACAACGTAGCTCCAAATTACGTTGATCCGACACAAAACTAATATCAGTTCCAGTACTGGTTGCGTTTCAAACTCCTTTCTCTGCATTACCCTTGAACTTTGAGCCTCATCCCCACTTATTTATTTTTTTATACTCGAACCACCATGAAGACCTGTGAGTACAGCGGTTTATTTTTGCTTGTAGCTCTTTTAAAAAATCGTGGAAAATGAGGACGTTTCGGTAGGTTCGGCAACACTGGACACGTGTGCCCTATGAAAGACAAAAGAGCAGCATTGCCAGATCGCTTGCAGTGTTGCCGGATTCACAACTGTTCCGTCCAATTTTGCGCAGGTTGGGTTAGTTATTTTCTGGTGGAATATGCATTATGAAACATTAGTTTAAATTTTATAGGCACATCAAGAGAGGGTGAAGGAGCAGGAAATAGAAAAGGCCGAGCAACAGAGGTTAGAAGAAATATTGAACATGTGCGTTGAGTACGAGAAGCAGACACAGTATGAGAAAAATAAGCCAGTCACCCCTAACAGGTAAGGGTATTATGAAGTGTAATTAGGGATTTCTTTTTTGTTATTGTCTTGGAATTAAAAATTGGTGTATATTCTCCCAGTAACAATTACGCATAAAATCTTAAAAAATATTCAGTTAACATCGATTTATAAACTCAGGCGTTGCCGTACAAGGCTGCGTTCGTAATCTGTTACAGAGTGTACTTTGTAACACCATGTAACAATGTTAGCGTTTGTTGTTGTTTGACATACCTGCGATCTGAAAGTAGATACTCACGAACGTGTGAAGATTTTAATTTCCCTTAAAAAATAATATGGTCCGTCGAGAGTATGGTCACTAATTTTGGTATCTTTAATCGCCTTAACTCTTATTACTAGGCTCAAGCAAATCTGCGTGCTAAAAAAGTATCCAGACATCAAGAACGTTTTGGGTTTCATAATGTGGTGTGGAATTCTAGTGACCAAAATATTCGGCCCATTTATTTAGCACAACTCATTGTGTAATGTATGATTACACCAGCAATGTTACGTGACATTCTACTGTTAGAATATCATATCTACGTTTTGAAAATAATGGCAACCTATTTGAACACTTATTGTGAATAAAATAAAATTAATGTTCAAAATGTATTTGTTATTCTGAATATCACTAGATTAAGCATCATTTTATAAAATTTTGCCTTATCATATCATTATGTAAAATGTGATATGCATCTCTCAGTAATCACATAATTTTACATCAAGTATTTGCATTTGCATCGCCTACCGATAAAAAACCTAAAAAGCACATTTTCTTTATAAGCAAGAAAACATGTGATACTTCGTTGAATTCGTAGAAAAAGATGCTATCAGATACAAGGTGTACTTTTTTCGAACCATATAAAAAATAAAGTTGATGATGGTTTCTCAAAAGAAAATGTCGGGCACAAAATTTACAAACACCATCATGCGTCAATGAAAAAGGTCCATTAGTTTTTTGATATATCTCAAAGTCAGAAAAAATAAAAACCAAATTTTAGATTTTTCCAAATACCATGACATTTTTAAAAGTCTCTCAACGGCATGTAAATACGCCCCAAAAAACGCAACTAATGGGTGATTTTTTTGCTAGTATCTTTTTGGCAACACTGTTTTTGACAGATGACGCGTGAATCGTGTCTTGTGTCATTGTCAAACTTGCTCAGTTTGGTCTATAATTTAACCATGAATCGACTTACGAACGAACAACGCTTGCAAATTATTGAATTTTACTATCAAAATTCATGCTCGGTTAAGAGAGTGCATCGAGCACTGCTTCCAATTTATGGGCAATTTGGTCGGCCTACTGAGGGAGCTATTCGGAAGCTTGTGACTAAACCCAGTTTACATTATTGGACATTAAACCACCAACACGCAGACGTAGAGTGAGGACTGAAGAAAATATTGCGGCTGTATCCGCCAGTGTTAGTGATGACCGTGAAATGTCGATTCGCCGCCGTTCGCAGCAATTGGGCCTCTGTTACTCCACTACGTGGAAAATTTTGCGACAGGATTTGGGTGTAATACCTTATAAGATACAGCTGGTGCAAGAATTGAAGCTACATGATCTCCCACAACGTTTCCAATTTGGTGAATGGGTGCTGGCAAAGTTAGAGGAAGATCCACATTTTTATCGAAAAATTGTGTTCAGCGACAAAGCTCATTTCTGGTTGAATGGGTACGTTAACAAGCAAAATTGCCGCATCTGGAGTGAAGACCAGCCAGAAGCATTGCAAGAGGTACCACTGCATCCCGAAAAAATCACTGTTTGGTGTGGATTATGGGCCGGTGGCATCATCGGGCCGTACTTCTTCAAAGACGACAATGGCCGGATCGTAACTGTGAATGGCGAGCGCTACCGTGCGATGATAACAAATTTTTTTTGCCCAAAATGGAAGAGCTGGACTTGGCTGACATATGGTTTCAACAAGACGGTGCCACATGCCACACCGCACATGAAACAATGGCCCTATTGAGAGGCGAGTTCGTTGAACAGTTTATCTCACGTTTGGGGCCTGTCAGTTGGCCTCCTAGATCGTGTGATTTAACGCCGTTGGACTATTTCTTGTGGGGCCATGTTAAGGCTAATGTCTACAGGGATAAACCAGCGACGATTGACGCACTGGAAGCCAATATTGAAGCATTTATTCGTGAGATACGGGCCGATATGTTGGAGAGAGTGTGCCAAAATTTAACCTTGCGCATGGGCCATCTAAAGCGGAGCCGCGGCCAATATTTACATGCAATAATCTTTAAACATTAAATTATATCGACCGTTCTATCGACTCAAATAAAGATTTAATCGTTTTTTCAAGTTTTTTGTGTTTTTTTTGAAAATCAAATCCCATACCTCTTAAAAAACCACCCGTTATTACCTAATTTAACCTAAGCTGTATCTCTCTCAGGTATTGAGATCCTCATGTATAGGATCCTTATCTTGGATATATTGTTCGAAAAACGTTTTGACTCACGCATTTTTATAGAATCAAGACAAATGGATCCCTTCCTCGTGACAAACGTGGCCAGTACGCACCTCCATCACCTAGCTATAGTACCTCTCCACCTCTCTCTCCGTTGGATCTCCTCCAAAACGAACTGCTGAAGCACAACAACCACAACTACGAAAACGTGAACAGATCCTTTTGCAAATCGCCCAACGAAACGACAGAACAAATATCGTATCCAAATTCGAGAGAAAACTCAGAAATGCATTTGAAGACTCCCGAGCAAAACAGTGAAAGTAGGAATTTGGAAAGAAATAGTCCGTACGAGAACATTATGATGCAGCAAGGTGTTGTGGTTCCGGTTCCATTGTCACCTCGAACGAGAATCAAGACATTTGTCACTTCAAACAAGGATAAGTAAGTAATAGATATTTGCCAACCACGAACATCAAGGTAAAACTAACAATAAAGTTGAATATTTTGCTGCCTTTAGGAACTAAGGTGTCATATACAGTAGCGGACAGAAGTTAGGAAACATTCTTAGTAATTTTTAAAAAGTGTGTTAATTTTTTATTCTATATTATTAAGGACTATTTTTTATCTCATATAGTTTGCTTACAGTCTTGAGGGCACCCATGACAATTTATGTTTGCTAGGGTACTCATGACAATTTATGTTTGCTGTGGTACTACAGACTAACTAGCATTAAAATATACCTTCATATTATTTTATGACCAAAAATGAGACGACAAAAGTATGGAAACATATTTTTGCCGTCTACTGTTTAGCTAATATTTGGTGGTATAGCCTTTAGCATTCAACACTGCTGAAATCTGTTGCTCATAGAAGACACCAATTTTTTACAGACGTCTGTCGTGATATTTTGCCAAATATTGTTTACATAATCAAATAAATTGTTCCTATTCTCAAAAGTTTTTCTTTTCAGTTGTCTTTTAACATGCTCCCAGAGATGTTCTATAGGGTTTAGGTCTGGCGATTGGGAATGCCATGTAAGAACATTAACCTTTTTTAGTCTTAACCAGTCTTTTACGAATTTTGAGGTATGCTTGGGGTCATTATCTTGCTGGAATGTCCATCGTAAAGGCATTTCTTCTTCAGCAAAAGGGAGCATGTGTTCACTAAGAATATCTTTGTAAAGTTTTTAATTTATTTTCGCAACAATTTTGACAATTGGACCCGTTCCAGAACTAGAAAAACAGCCCCAAATCATGATGTCGCCTCCACCGTGCTTAACTGTTGGCAAGTGTTTGTCGGATCTTTTTCGTATTGGACGTCTCACATAATATGCCGTACCGTCAGATCCAAACAAGTTAAATTTGATTTTATCGCTCCTTAAAACTGTATTCCATTGTTGTTCTGTCCAATGAGATGCTTTTGCAATGGACGCCTACCAAAAAGCCCAAAATCCACCAAGCGTGTCTGAACTGTTCTGACAGAAGGATTCTAGACACCCTCTTCTACGATTCTTTCGAAAATCTGTGTGGCTGGCATACGAGGATCTTCATGGAACAAACGTTTAAAGTAGCGATCCAAAACATAATCGGTTTTTTTTCGGTCTTCCGCACCTGGGCCACGTTGCTGTTGATCCGTATTCTTGATACTTACTAACACTTTTCGAAATCGTCCCTTTGTTCATTTTTAATCTTTGAGAAATGTCAACATTTCTGACACCACTTCTAAATAATTCAATTACTTTGTTTCTTAAATCTTTTGAAAATCCTTTTACTGAAGTATTGCAGAACGAATAAATACGGCAAAATTGAAATGTTTCCATACTTTTGTCATTAAAAAAACTGTGGTATTTAAAAAGCGCGTGTTTTTATTTTCAGAGAATTTGGATATTGATAAGATAAACCTTGTACTAGTACGGGAGCCAAAGGTAGACTTTAATTAATTTTAATTTAGGTATATGTTATAGTTCATAATAATGTTAATATTTGTTTCCAATTTTTTGTCCGCTACTGTATTTTTCGCTCGGATGGTTGTGGTGGAAATTTCTAGCCCCAAGGAGAAACATCCCACCATCAGTGGTTAGAAAATTTAATAACAGGCTATCCCATCTAAAACAAACGACTTTCTAAAAATATTGCTGTTTTTATGTAAAAATATACATTTCTCTGTATCTCTGAAAATTACGAGGTCTTAGAGATATGTACCGCTAGAATATAAGCAGAGGAAAGTTACTGGATCAATGGGCTCACAACACTCGCGTGTCAGTGATTCACTTTATTTTGTGTTTATATAATATGGTATATAACATCGATTAACTATAATTGATAACTAACTAACTAACAAACTAACGTATAGATAAGATAATACGAATAATATCCTGTATGACACATCTGCTGTCGTCTGTCGATCCGGCCGGCAGTTGCCAGTGCCGTCTGTGATCCTGTTACAGTTACTATATGAATAGTACTTTACAGTGATTATCAAAGATTTTTTGTCGGTCGCTGATACGTAAAAACATTTAAAACAGTACGATTTGGAAATGAGAAAATACACAAGGTAATTGAATGTTTAAGGTACAGTGAATTATGTGATCTTGAGAACGCTGTACATTTAATTGACTCGAACAATTCAAGGAATGGATAAACTAGGTAGCAATTGAAAACTAGCAGATATACTAAGTGACATATAAATCCGAACACCCAGTTTAAATGGTTTTATTTTAATAAAATTTTGTATAAGTACTTAATGAAGCATAATAAGTAAATGATAAAAATTTCAAAATGATTGCACTGCTTTAAAGCCCTTTGACCTTTAATAATGTGTGGATGCACCCTGATGTGCTACGCATTCTCCAACGCGCCTAGGCATGCTTCTGATCAGGTGGTCAATGTCCTCCTGTGGTATCTCATTCCAGGCAACCACCAACTCCTCTCGAAGTGCTTCTAGAGTCTGAGGAGGACGTTGCAAATTGAGCAATCTCCTACCCATCATATCCCACACGTGCTCAATTGGGGATAAGTCGGGAGATCTTGGTGGCCATGGTAACAATGTGACATCATTATGTTGAAAGAAGTCTATTGTGACTCTTGCAACATGTGGTCGGGCATTATCTTGTTGGAAAGTTGGATCTGCCAGGGTGTCAAGATAGGGTAAAAGATGGGGTTCTAGAACTTCGTGGATATAACGCTGCGCGTTCATGTTACCTCTGATGAAGATTAAAGGTGACCTGGACCCATAAGCTATAGCACCCCAAACCATAACTCCAACAGTGTGATGAACATGTCTTTCAACAAAAAACTGTGGATTCCTCCTTTCACCACGTCGCCTTCTAACCTGGCACGACCATCGTGCATGCCTAAACAAAATCGAGACTCGTCACTAAAGATAATACTGTTCCATTCCTGATCCCAGAGTGACCGTTGTCTGCACCACTCAAGGCGATTACGTCGGTGTTCTCGAGTTAAAGGGAGGAGCCAGTGTGGCCGGTATGAAAACAAGCCAAAACTTCTCATTCGCATGCCAATAGGTCTTCCGTGTTCTGCAAACCATTCATTTGCAATGGACCTGGTAGTGGAGAAACGGTCCCTTACGGCCAATAATCGTAGGCGGCGATCTTCACGGTCTGTTGTTCTACGGCGGCGTCCAGTGCCCCTTGCTCTTTGCGTACGGCCTTCTCGAAGCCATGCCTGACAACACCTAACCACAGTGTCTACACTTCTTTGCAATCTAACTGCAATTGCCCGAAAAGAAAGTCCAGCTTCCCGAAGTCCCACTATACGGCCCCTATCAAACTCACTAAGTTGACGAAATCGTACAGGTCTCCGTACTCTAGGCATCGTAACCGATCGTAAAGGATGTCAAGAACCAAAATCCGCCAACGTTGATTCTTTACTGCGGCTGAAATATTCATTTTTAGAGCATTGGTGAATTAAAAAAAAGCAGTATAAAAACCGGAATGTCCAACTGATAAGGCTGAACATTTTTTCACTTGTTATTTACAGTAAGATAAATACATTCACCAACTTTTATTAAAATAAAACCATTTAAACTGGGTGTTCGGATTTATATGTCACTTAGTATATCTACATCAAATAACCAGTTTGCTAATTTCTATATAATTTTCATATATTTCTCCATATGGAATTTAGAATGACGTTATTTGGTTATGGTGTTTCTTTCAATAAGCCCATTTGATATCCATAGTATAGGCGTGGCTACGGAAATTATAAATCGCCATTTTGCTGTGGTCGCCATATTGGATTTAGAATGATATTTCGCTGCCTTGTTATGTTTCTCTTATCGAGCCCTTTCATTTGATACCCATGTCGTAGGAGTGACCATGAAATTTGTAAATCAACATTTTGCAGCCTCCGCCATATTGGATTCAAAATGGTGACAGTCAATTCATTTCGTAATGTCACGCAAACCAAACATGTGTACAAAACTTCAGCTCAATTAATTAAGGTTAACAAGATTTTCCCCATATATACATACATACTAACAAAAAAGCCAAATTAAATAAAAGCTTGTAAAAAGAAATAAGCAGTGTTGCTGAACCATTCAGTAGGGATGATGATATGGAGTGCCCAACTTGGAGGTCCTGTATGTTGAAAACCAGTCGTGGAAAACATTGCGCCCACGGAAGTTTTTTCCTACTTCTTGATGTGCACAACATATAGTTTGGCAAACGGATCTGCAACATCGGGGTATCGGTGAGGGGAAAGCAAAACATGACTGGTTTCATTCATAAAATGCCAGCAGCGGCGTGCGGTATTTTATAAAAGTTTGGGATTATTTCATAATTGGTTTAAATTTAGTAAACTATACGTTTATGTTTCACTTTAAATTTGGGAAGTATCTCAATAAGCCCACAATAATATGCAGCATTGTCCATAATAATAAATAAAGTCTCGGGTAAACTCAAAAATAGCTGTTCTCTACAGTCTACACATGTATAAAACACTTGAGTTTGTTTCTACACTTCAACAAACGGGAAAATGTCTACTCACTTCCCAAAATTGCCACAATTCAAAAAATCATGATAACTGCGCGATTTAAAACCTAATTTGAAAATCAAGCTAGCGTTTTTGTCAAAGCCGTAAATAAAATATATTTTTCAAATACAAATAGATACTTAACGTGGTTTTTTACCTTGAGAATATATATATATATATATATATATATATATATATATATATATTATACATCCGTGATCTTATAATATGCTCATTTACTTTAAAAAGTGCCACAAGCTGAAACATGACCAGAATTAATTTTTATTTTATAATCCGCATCTTTCTGGATTCCTATTGTTGCAATTTTGGACTGTTGATGTGGATATTTCTAGATCACCGGTGTCGCTTAAATAGAAACAAAGAACTTTAAACATATTTCATATCCGTTTAACTTATAACCTCTGTAATAAATAATACTTACATTATACAGCATTTCAAAATTACATTTCACCTATTGAATTAGCATTGGTGTTCGTCAACTTCATCATTATCATCGTCGTCACTGTCGTCATCAGTTTCGCTGTCGTCATCTTGCCCTATAGTTATTATATCTGGTTCCATTTCCTCCATAAATTGATCATTTTCCCAAAATTTATCTTCAATGCCCCTAACATGTTAACAAAATTTCTGCAAATCATTAGTGGATATTAAGGACATCGCTTCCTGAGCAACTTCTTTCAGTGCGGTTAAACTCAAGTTTCCAGTGGTATTGCGGCTTCTTATATGAAATTTAAGCTTTGCCCAAGCTAATTCTATTGGGTTTAGCTCGCATAAATAAGGAGGTGTTCTTAGAGGAGTATGTCCATGTGATCTTATGATCCGATCAACTACATAATTTTTTTGGTTGTCAGGGGGCTTATGAAGTAAGACC